GGTAAGATCGAGTCATTGTTTGAAGTTCAAGGTGCATCTATTAAATCTGGAATTTTCAATGAACTCCGGGGATTTGAAATGAGAGAATGAAAGAATTCCATGGATACAGATGATTAAGCTGGATGTCGGAGGGGGCGTCCCATACAAAACCATGTTATACAGAAATAATTTGCGCTCCTATTTTCGTATTAACCAATAAGAGGCTAAAATAAAAACAGATTATATTATTGAAAGAATGGTTCTATATCTTGGCCAATTATTCGAGTTTGACTTGCTTAGCGTCATTTTACGATATATAATCCGCGAAATGAATTAGTATAAATAAAAAGCAAAAACTGATCTAGCTTGGTTAAATACTCGAATATTTTGACCAAGAATTTGATTAATTCCTTATAATTTAATTTTTATATCAGAAAAGATCTGTGAGTATAAAATATGCCACTCAATAATGCAACCCCTGAAATTTAAGTGATGGGAAGCGAGGGGGGGGGGGGGGGGGAGGGGGGGGTAATGACCGACCTACGAGTTATGATGTTTGTTCACATTTGGTAAAGTCGGGTTACTGTTTGAAGATAAAGGTACATTTATTAAATCTGGAATTTTCCATGAATTCTGAGGACTGGAAATGAAATGGTTGCATGGATAAAGATGATTCAGCTGGTTGTTAAGAGGGGGTGTCCTCATACCAAATCAGGTTATACAGAAATAAATTACGTTCCATTTTGGGTATTATACGATGAGAGGCTAAGATACAAACGAAATTTATAACAAAAATGTACTTTGGATATCACCAGCACCTCTGAGTTTATAGTAAGGAAAAATTTAAAATTGTTTTTAAGCACACCTTTCCAGGTGTGCACTTAACTGAATTTGTATGAATGCGAGTGTACTAATGTGTTGCTTATGTACATGTACATGTACATGTTCATGTACATGTTCACGGAGGGTTTCACCAATATAATATCCCTTGCATCAAGGACATGCGAGAGCATATATGAGATTCTCTGAACCACATGTGACATGTTTTCATTGACTTTAAATTCACATCCATTGAAATTATAGATTTATATAATGTCATCACGTGTACAATACCGAGGATTCATACACTTAGAGACTGTATAAGTATGGTCGTTGAATTTTGAAGAAAAAAGTAATCTCTTTTGGTTTAAGGATTTGCGATTACTGATGATAAAACTACAGTTCTTGTATATGTTTTAGTTTGTTCGTCCTCTCGGAGTAGGTTGCTTTCTCGGAATATACATAAAGGGTATTATTTCACCATCATTCGCGCGTCGTGTGTTTAAAAGTAATTGGCTCCTATCGCATTCCTTGGATTTCTTTGTTTCATTGTCTACAAGTTGCTCTGGGTGTTTTTGGCTTAATCAATACAATTTTTATTCCTCCAGGCGGATATCTCTGATATTGGTATTGCTCACAATGGTGCATATCCTTTTTTGTATAGTGGAGATTACTCGATCTAAAATGCAGATAATGCTGTGTACCGGTTTGTTATAACTTCAACAAGTTCAAAGTACCAGTTGGAAAATGATAATAATTGCTATAAATAGATAAAAATTCTATGCATTAAATTATGCTTTTGTGTATAATTTATTCTTTCAACTATTTTTTGGTATAAAGTTTAATTTACGTGACGATTAGGTTCAAATAAAATTATTATAATCTCAATATTTGAAATTTGCATATCTATGCACTTACGTTTATTGATTTTTCTGGTGTGCAATTCATCTTTACCGAGTGACACGTAAAATGGAATTTTTTCAGAAACTCGGCATGTGCAGGGTTGGGGTTAGCAATATATCTGAAAATGTGATTTAGTGTTTTGCGTTTACCCAATAAAACGTTTAGAACCAGGAAGACTTTCAAATATAAAAAATGTCATTAGATACAACCATGCCTCGATCCACCGAATGACGCCCTATGACTGTGATCAAAAATAAAAATCTCCTTATTTTTGTGGTATAGGAATAAATATTATCCTGTTCTTAAAATATTTTCTCAATTTTTAAATGAAACTTAAAAACTGATTTTCCACAGTAATATCATGGTAATGACAATTGTAATCCTCCGTTTACTCTGAGCTTTTGAAATCTATTTTTATTACAGTTAATGTAAAAAAAAAATAATGTGCTATTGACAATAATTTCTTTAAAAATAAAGTTTACTTTGGTTGACTTATTAAAGTAAAAATTAATGTGTATTTTTTAAAATTTTTTTGTGGTATTTACCTTAGTTATTTGGACAGTACAACAGCATATTCGAGAAAATGGGTTTAGCAGAGCAAACACGGACCTCTGAAACATCAGAGGTGGGATCAGGTACCATGGAGGAGTGAGCATACTCTGCTGACCAGTCATACCAGCCGTGTGCTCCTTGTCATGATCGGAAAATAACGGAAAACCCGTCGTCAATGCTGTGTATAAATAATGGACTAACAATTAGTATGAAAATCGTCAGTCAGCATTTGACTTAATGAGAAATTGTATTAGCTGACAAGGTCACTGTATCGACAATAGAACGTTCGAAATGATGACTTTAAAGGAGACTGCTGATATTCTTGTTTCATCAACTTTCTTGTCAATAATTTACTTCGTTTAAGAAATTGTTCATATGTAGAGCATGCTTTCGCGTATTGAATCAACTGAGATATATATACTCCGTATGCAGGCGTTGAAGGTATATTGCTGCATAGCTGAGGGAAGTTGACGAAAATATGCTATGAAATACATTATTTCAAATGTTTTATCCTGTTAATATATATTGTAAGTAGGTTTTTTGCATTAGAAGAGAATGCTATCAAATATTTTAATGTGCTTTGATTATTTTGGATTGGGCTATAATTATTGGACAATTTCATTAGTACTTTTTGAATTTTTGTGTTCTATGGTTTTAATTCAAATTTTACTGTAGTCGAGAGTACAACAAAAGTGCTTAACAATTACCAAAATATTTTTAAAATTATCTTCAATAAAATTAAGTTAAATAAAAAAAATATTTGATACTTTTAGATGTTGAGCGGTTGCAGAGAATCTGAAATGATGTTCAAAACACTATCTTTATCACAAAATTACACACATTTTTCAGTCATTCCAGGGATTTTTTTTTATCATTTTACATATAATTTTTAATTTACCGTAACTGATAAACAGAATATCAAAACGACAAATTGATCTGCAAAATAAAACTGGGTGATTGTAATTTATAGTTTCTTTTAAACTGTATTAAATTGATAAATATGAAATGTCAGAAGTTCAACACAATATTTTAAATAGGATCACTTCAAAATCTAGTCCTCTTTTAATAAATTTGCACATGTATGTAATTTTTTTTAAAGTTAGATTAAAAGAAGTGAATTTTGCGGACGAAAAACATTTACTAGTATATGGAAATTTTATACTTTATATTTTTCAAATTAATGCTTTTCAAACAAGAATTTGAAAAAAATATTGTAAAATAACAATTAAAAAGTCCAATTTTTTGTCAGTTTTACAAGAGGAGAAAATCAAGGTTTAGATTTAATCGTTTATATCCGTGTTACCATTTTGAAAGATGAAACACTTGATTTTTTGTGATTTTGTATTTTAAACCTAAAGAGATTTTCTTATTTCAATAGAAAATTTACTATAACATGGTCTCTTTTTAATTCACCCGGAAGCGAAAATAAGAATTATATATTACACCACCATAATGTTCTGGTTCCAATTGACAAAGCAGATAATAATATTGTCTTTGCATATTCTATTTGTATTTAAATGGAACTGGGATTTAATTCTACAAGTGGTAATCAAACTAATACCCTTTTCTCTCCAATCGGCAACCCTCGGCTGACTCCGTTTATAAGGACAAATATGACAAATTGTATGGAAGAAGCAATGACCTTATCAGCAAATATAACCTGTCATTGACTCAAAGTCTGACTGACCTTTTTCATATCAATTAAGGCCATCATTTACAAATTGAATTGCAGACGAGGTTTGTGTTATTTCTTGATCATGACAAAGACCATGTGGCAATTATGAGCGGTCAGCACCTTTTTCACTCCTCAATGGCAAACAGTCCCACCTCTGATGTGTTAGAGGCCCGTGTTTTCTCTTTTCCTGATTTGTATCGCGTGAAGGGACTTTTGAGTTTGAATATCGTTCGTTATATCAATATAATTTATCTTATTTCAATCTAATTTTCAAAAGGCTAAAAAATTTTTTAAAGAGGATCCTTAGTTGAAAATTGATAAAATGAAAAATGGGAAATTTACTTATATTTAGCATTTGCGCTATTTAACAAAGCTCTTGATTTTCATTGATCAAATAGATAATAAATGATCAAATGAAACACCCTACCATTATAGTAAATTTCGAGCGCTGTTCAATAAACTATATGTCCTGAACTCAATGACATGCCAATAGAAATCATTTTACATTTGCTTGACCATCTTTTATGATGGAATCTTTAATGAATTGATTACAGTTTATGTGACCAATTTTCATCGCATACAGTGTAGTTTTATTTCAGAGAAGCTGGAAAACAAGGGCTATTCGAGCCACTGCATTAAAAACTAATGGTGAAGAATCTGTGAACAAGAGTGGCTCTTGTTCTTCATTCGAAATTGTTTTTGAAAGCAACCGCATGTTTAAATTTCATGAAAATTCGTATATTATTTTCATTTTTATATTTATTAAATAAATCAAATAATGTAAGCTTTACTGTTTCAAACCGGCATAAAGTGTACTTAAAACACTCTGTTTCAGATATAAATAAGGTTTCTGTCAGGCTTGGTCAATATAATGACAAATGGTATGACGTAATAATTTATTGCAAAATTTATCGTTAGTGTAGTTTTTTTGATAAAGGGTCGTTTTACTTTTTATCAACCTTAAAAAGGAAGTATTTTTACATTTTTTTTCTTCTTATCTAATCAGGTCTACTATATAAGGCGCTGTTGCAAAGAGAGAAATTCATACATTTCGATATCAAACGATTAAGAAATGCAGATAACTTTCTTACTTTTGAATATTTTACCTGCATGTTTGGGAATAGAACTTTATCCATTTGGTTCTCAAGTTGGGGACGAAAAAGTCAGTAAAAACGATGACGGTAGTTCGCCGGATATTCCTATAGTAACGCAGTTCCCATTCTTTAACCATCAACACGACCGCCTGATTGTGAGTACTGAAGTTTTCTTATTGGCAAAATGTTATCATAGCCTTAACATCTTTCAGATATAACGTGGTCGAAAAAGTATCTTCAATATGAAACTAGAAAAAGAATAGAAATAATAAATGAAGTTAAAAAAATCGCCAAAAATGTTAATTAAACTTTTATATGAAAAACTGTGAAAATGTATAGAAATCTGCAGGCAGGTTGATGATTTTGTTATTTATAGATAATTTTGATTTGTCAAAATTTTAGTATATTTATAAATGCATATAACTGTTTTACTTTGTTCGTAAACATTAGTTATTCAAAATGAGATAAATTTTGAAAGAAAGCATGTGTTTTTTCTCTTTAAAATTTTAAATCAAATCCACATGCAGCATTATATACGAAGCCTTATTAAATATAATACCTGTGAATAACAGTCAAAGCCCCATCCAATTAAAAGTTGGGCCAATGCTAGTTTTGCGGACAAACAAGAAAAGGCGTATAAAAACCATTGGAAAAATACATATTGGAAGTCATTGTTTGCAATACCGTTCTCCTATGTGCTGAACTGTGGTACGATAAATTAAGGATGTTGTCTATCGTACCAGATATCCTTTTAATCTTAATTTGAAGAATTGGATGATCAATTTTAAATAAACTTAAACAATGATATCATCCATTGGTGAAAGGGTTAAAGATCAAAGCAAGATAAAAGAGATTTTTACATTTTCAATTGATTACTGATTGTAAGCAAATAAATTTAATACTGATAATAAGCAGGATTTCTTCAACTCAGAGGTGTGTAGCGGAGGGAGTTGGATGTACCGGTACAATTTGTATTTATTCACCAGCGTCATTACCCCTTTATACTTAGCATGCGATTGTTTGCATGATAAGCATGCAACAAATTTTGACATAGAAACTTTAAGCTATATAAATGATTATGCAAGCAAATGCTGCTAGTTTAAACATCCGTGCAATTCAATAAAACTACTTATCATTAATACTGTAATTTTTAATTTGTTTTATTTGCTATGATCTTTTTTGCTCACCTGAGCTGAAAGCTTTAATGAGCTAATCTGTTCACAATTTGTATGAAGTCCGTCTCTCCGTCTAAGTGTCCGTCTGTCTGTCTGTTCTTCCGTCTGTAAACTTTTCACATTTTTGACGTCTTCTCAAGAACTATTGAGCCAATTTCAACCAAACATGCCACAAAGCATGTATTAAAAACCTTCTTCTCGAGAATAACTGAGTCGTGAAAGATGAAACTAAAGTGGAAGCATCATCTGGTAGGGTAGAATCAAGTTTGTTCAAATCGTGACCCCCGTGGTTTTTATGCGAATAGAGCGCCCTTCAAAATGGGTGTGCTTAATAGACATAAGAGCCGTTTGTGACGTTGCAAAGTTAAATATCGAAACGAGCTTCGAGAGAAAATGACAAATTAATTTTAAACATACATTTGTCTTATTTTTTACGTTCATAAGAGAGTTACATTTTTTGATTAAATTCACTAAAAAAATGTACATTTTGGTTTTCTAGAGTATTGAAAATGCATATAGTTCCTACTGTGTATTCTATCGCGCGGTGACAAGGTTTCGCGTGTGTTATAGAGATTTGAAGGTCATGAGTTTCTATATGATTACATAAAGAAATAACACTAAATGTAAATATAGTTGTTATGGAAGCATTCTCAAGTAGTTTAGATTCAAGATTATTAAAATCATCATCCCCCCGGATGTAGGGTATGGTCATAATGGAAGTTAAAATTTACATTTATATTTAAATTTACTTTAAATTTACATGTAGGAAAAACTTTTTAAATCTTCTATTGAAGAACAACAAACCGGCGATTGGTCATATTTATAAGGAGGAATCCTCAGGTAATGTAGATTCAAGTTTGTTCAAAACATGACCCCTGGAAGTAGGGTGAGGCCAAAATGAATATTCAAACTTAGGGAAAAAAGCCACAATTAGTCAAAGAAATATGTAAACTTACTTACGCAGCACAGTTAAGGTTACAAAAAGGAGGCGGAGCCTAATTTGTACGGGAAAACTTGACTATGACATCATACACAGTATACGTCATACAACATTTCTTTAAAATACCACAAAATGAGTTGATTTCCTAATTTAACCAGTAAGAAGTTATCCAACTACATAAAAACTCACTACAGCGTGCTGTTTTGTCGTTATTTAAGTCCCACATAGCAAGTTATAATCAAGTCACTGATCGCAATACACTTGTTAATATGACGTCATTTCTTACAACGTGACGTAGTTTGTATGGAGTGATAGACAGATAAAGTAATATTTTCTCAACAAAATGTGTACTTTCTAATTAAATAAAATATTATTTACAGATATTCTATAGGGTAATAACTTGAATTTAATGTCTTCTTCAGTATTTTATTAATATATTTTCTGTACATTACGTATTTAATTGACACTGCTGTATATTTGTATGCAAGAACATCGGAGTGTAATGTGGGGGGTCTGAATAAATCGATCTAGTGCAAGGGCATACACTCTATGGATCAAAGTAAGCTTTTACATTTCAACTCTAGAACTATTAAGGTATCTGAAAAGTGCTGCGATCCTGATGAAATCAGCAAAAAATACAGCATTCGATCATACAAACATAATTTTAACAATGAAATTGCAGAATTTAGACAGGATCGCAGCATTCTTTAGAAACTAGAATGCGTGTCGAAAATATTTATATACTAAACTTGGAAATTTAACTTGGTTATGCCCTTGCACTAGTGATATTTATATGTAACATCAATACTGCACGTCAATGTGCTAAAATCGCGTGAATGCCACATCACGTGACTAGTCTAAATATAAAATAAAATCGTCCTCGATATATAGTTATTATTCATAATAACAATTATCCAATATAAATAATGTAGTAAAAATAATCGCTATCCTGATTACGAATACATTTTTAAATACAAAATTTAGTCGATATTTCCATTGCGCACCTTAACTGTACTGCGTAGTAGATTCAAGAGAATTCAAAGCAAACCCCCTCTTCAGCATTTTAGGGGTATTCAGGACCACAGACATTTAAGCTTTTCAAAACTGTATTGATTTTTGCTTTTTTTACTAACCGCAGTGCTCAGGTGAGCGATGTGGCCCATTCTTTTTAGATGAATCTTAACATTCATGTGTCTTTTAAACATGATATTCTGTAACAAATTTCTTAGGTTAATTTAGAAAAGATTTTTTTTCTTAAATCAGACAAAAAATTATAATTCCATCATGCAGACCATCATGCTGTCTGTGGAATGCAATATTTATCTATTTTGAACATAAACGTTATAGTGATTCATCTCCGTCAAATTCTGATAGAATATACGTTAATAATATAGGTCAACACAAACGGAGTCATCTCCTTCTTAAGAACCGTTTCCACATTTACACCGGATCCCTTCCCACTGGATGACAACCGAAGGCTGGTTGCTATATTCTGGGCTGATGTCGACACACGAAACGGGGGCACTGTGTGGTATCGAGAGTCAACTGACCAGTCAATACTAGACAGAGCAACAAACGAAGTCAGAGCATACTTCCCACAATTCTTCCGTTTTCAAGCCACTTGGGTCTTCATAGCTACCTGGGATGATGTTGCATTCTACAAATGTTCTCCCTGCGTCAAGGTTGATCTCTCTCTTTCTATCTCTCTGAGCGTGTACAATGTAAAGTGTAATAATATTGTACTATCATGTATTTTACAGAGGAATTCATTTCAAGGGATTCTTATCACAAATGGCCAGCATTCGTTCACTGTTTTTAATTATGGGAAAATTGAATGGACAACGGGAAAAGCCAGCGGTGGGAATGCAAGTACCGGCCTTGGAGGAACACCTGCCCAGGTAAGAATATACTCATCTGAATGAAACGCTTCAGTGAAAGTTAAAATGTTTTTAAAAAATTTATTCAAATTCATATTGATTGAGCATAGTTGTAAGATTGTGTTTTGAGAATTTTATCCGAAATGTGGATGTTTTAAGGAACACGGATCTTAAACTAGAGAAACCCTCTATACAGCAAGAAATGACTCATGACTATATAAGTTAAAACCTAATAATCAAGTATAATACCCAAGTTCAATGTATAAAATATCCAGGGAAACCCATAATTTTAATCTACACAAACAATTTTTACAGTAAAATGTAATGAATTTACTTTTGGTGTAACTCTTTGCCGGGTTTAGATGAGTTGGGAAAGGTACCTGGGCTGTGTTGGGAAACAACAGAATTGTTAGTTAGACCACTCGGCCCAGGGACCCAGTTCCCTAGTGTCTTTGTGACTAGCTATGGTGTCTCAGTGACTTTAGCTTGGGTCTAACCATAAGTACAATGCCCTGTTGATAGCTATGGTGTCTTGGGGACTTTAGCTTGTGTGTGTGTGTGTCTTTAGATGTATATGTGACTTTGTGATTTTTATAGGGTGTGTTTTAGGTGGTTGCAGACTGTGTTGGGAAACAACAGAATTGTTGGTTATACCACCCAGTCTGCAACTACAGAGATAAGTTAATTTTATATTTGATTAATGGTTACATTGTAAGTAATTATTTATAGTTCATTGTTATTCAGTTTACTAATCATTATCCAGATGAGACCAAGGAAAAAGTATATATATCGAATTTCAGCCAGTTGTTCTTTTAGCGCCATTGTTATTGAAGTTTGTTTTAATTCGATATATAAACGTGATTCTTAGGAAGGAATCCTAAGCGAACCCAATTATTAATTATTTGTACTTTGTAAGAACGTTACAATACTCAAAAGTAAATGGTTAGAAACTGTGTATTCAAAAGTAAAAGTAAGACTATCTTCTAAATGTATGATGCAATTGAGATAACAATATGAGGAATAATAACATTTTATGCACGGCTTTAAGAACTGGTGGGGGCTGGGTGGGACACGGAGGCAAAATTTTGACGATATATAATAAATATAATAAAATAATTATGTCTAAATGCAGGAAAAATTATGTCAATATGCAATGATAAAAATTATGATTTTAGTATTGGTAAACCTAATTAGTAAGATGGTTTTCTGAAATACATTCAAAAAGCAACTTAACTATGTTTACAAGCAATTTATTAAATTGTTACATGTAGCCTGCAACATTTTTATGCCAACACGCATATTATTTCCATATCCTTCTACCCATAAATATAATAAATTATATTTTCTGATAAAATTCCTAACTTCCATGTCAACATAATTATCGTATATTATATATATGGTGACATAGATAGGTTGTATATCTACATAATAATGTTGCTTGTTAACATTTGAGGTGCAGAAATATGCCACCATAATTAACAACTAATCGTTCTTCTGACGAAAAACGACTGGTTTGAACATATTTTATTGTTAAGATGTTACAACAAAAGGATTGGACACAAGTACTTAATACTTAGAACGTCCTCTCCGAAAAACGACTGATGTCAAGATGTCGTAATGAGGTTGTTCCAATTTTTTTATTTACTTGTATAGCTTATGAGCTGTTTTTGAAGTTTGATATACATTTCATACTTTAATTGCTTTTAAATCTGTTCATAACATATTTTGATAAGTTTTCATGAATGTAAAAGAACAAATAAATTGTCTTTTTTACTTAATCTTTCTACCATTTTTTTATTTGTCAGAAACCTGCCTCAAGAAATTGATATTCCGCAAGAAGATCGAGTATTAATTAATTTTTTTAATTGTTTTTTCGATTCTTTTTGATAAATTAGTTTCAACTGAAAGATCTAACTTATAGGTATTTTTTTTTGTTAAGTAACGATCCTAAGCTCATAGAAATTTAAAAGTTTTGAAAAGAATCTGTAAATCTTCTTCAAAATGTCAAATAGGTTGGTTTTAATGCTGGAGATGGCGAAGTATTTTATGTCGTTAATGCGTCTAGAACACCAGACATCGTCAACGTTAACCAGATGTCAAATATTGGAATATCGGGAAAATTTGCCTTCCGTATTGATGCCGCTGAGATTGGTAATGGTGGCTGTAATACACAAGGTACGAAGCAATTAATAAGTCACATATGATGAACTGTATTGCATGATTGAAGCCACTGTGATGTTTTCATACAAGTTGATTTATCTAATGAATCACTGTGTAGGTTGTTGGGTATCCAGACCATCAACGATAGCCCGTTATTCATCAATTATCCTACGTGTTCAACTGTCGTTGATGTTCTTGGCATAATCAGTGATTCCTAATATTTAATTTATATGTGACATGAAAGTTGAATATACAAAATTCTCTCTAAAACAATAAGAAGAATATCAATTTTTAAATTATAAATGGAAATACAAAAGTACCAATTAAGACTGGTGGACGGTTTAACATCCCTAGAGAAAATAGAATTTATAAATTATTATGTTACTACAATAAATTTCTGGATGAATTTCATTACTTATTGAATCGACTGTATCTAAAAAAAATCACATCCTTATGTGTAACTTTAAACTTTCAAGCATTATGCATAATTTGTCAAAATATTTTCAATTAAAAAAAAATATTTTGAAATTCTCTCTCACGTAGCACATGTGTAAAGTGCTATTTGAGAGTAACCAGATGAGTATTCAGTGTTAATTAAACAAATACCAGGTTTCAAATTCGAAAAAATCACATCGACATCATAGAGCGAAAGGCACGTAGTAGCTAAAATTCCTTTGATTTTCGTTTTTGGTGTCAAATTCTAAGAATGGGTGAAGTTTCATCAAAATCGATGACTATGCGTGGCAACGAAGTTTAAGTGCTTAAAGAGAATAGCTCTTAACGAGGCCGAGTCTAATTCGAGTGCGCATCACTTTGCGCAGCTTTTTAATTTGATGCAGTCATTAATTATTTTAATTTTAATACAAAATTCACATTATTTGTAACTCCTACTGATCTGAAAATGTGATTTTACGACAATGATTGGAAAAATAACGTTGAAATGGCTCTAACAACGTCACCATAGATACGTATTTTTACCGTAATATGGCGATTTTAGAGGTATTTGGCTCCGACCTAGACCAATCGAAATGGTGAACTTTTTTGAAATTTCACAATTTGGTGACTTTTTACATTTACTTTCATTTACTTGAATTGAAAAGAAATCCCTAGGGCAGAAGTACAAAAAATATTGAAGAAATGTAATAATTTGGCGATTTTCCAACAAATTCCCATAGGGTCCAATAGTAAAGTTTGATAACATGTAAGATGACCCACTAAGAAAACGGGGTGGTAAACATTCGATTTTTTAATCCTAAAACAATAAATATAACAGTAAAAATAAATTATCAAAAAATTATCAAAATCCCTAGGGCAGAAATAATTAGACTCGGCCTCGTTAATTATCAATTAAATGAAAGATGCCTATATTTAAAAAAATTGAGAAATAAATTCCTTGAATGATGCTTTACAAATTTCGCTTGGTTAAAAAGGTGTTTCAGGCCATAATCTGTAAGTAAACAAGATGAAAAAGCATGTTTGAAACTGTAATTTTCAATAAAATATTAAGAAAACCAGTCATGAATACAGTGTATGGGAGTGTTTATTTTTCAAATTCGACAAAGAAATTGTAACCAGATTGCCTACAGTCCCTAAGAAAACGGTAATTTGCATTTTCATGGCCTTTTCTTTAAAATAATATCAGATTATATAGGTATCGGGATTATTTGTCATATGATCTTAAATCGAATGTCATAAAAATACCCTATTTTCTACATAATTATACTAAATCCGTAAAGTACGAGAAAAAAAAGTTGATATTGTTAATGACGTCAATATAGATCTAGCACCAAAAAAGGGTCTAAAGTCATTAACTACATATTGGCCTTAAATTAATTATATATATATATATATATATATATATATATTTTTTTTTTTTTTTTTAAATACAGGCAGCTTGCAGATTTCACCAAGGTACGGTCCGATGCTTGGAGGTCAATACTTAGTGATAAGTGGACCTTGCATTAACCCCGACGATGTCATCCAGATACAATATTTCCCAATGCTGACATTGTTCCAATGCAAACGAGAATCAAACTACAGCGCTGTATGCATCACTCCCATATTTAACATGACCGGTGACATCACAGTAAAAGTCATCATTAGTGATAACTATGGAAATATACAACATCATACAGGACTCTATCAGATAGGTATTCCATGAATAAAGTCACTTGATCAATTTCCTATCTTAAAACTTTAAAATGTTTTCATTTATGCCCTATATAACAATTTACACTTGCTGCGTTTATCTACTAAGCGAACTGTGAGATTGAATTAAATTGAAAACCGTTTTTGTTTACACACGCGAAGAAATATGCGGCACGGTGAAACGCAAGCTAACTGAAACCACAGAAACGCTTATAAAATGTAACAATATATTGGAAAAAGAAATTCAAATAGTTCGCTCCATGAAATATTCCTAGAAGTACCTGACAAGTTTTGTGTCATCAACCAATAACTCATATAAAACTTCAAAACATCCCTTTAACAATTTAATTATGCAAAGCGTATCTATAGCTGTATAAGCACGGGTTTCTCATGTCATTATTGTTTGATAATGTCTCAGTAACATCATTTCAAAAAAATTAAGTTTGGTTGTTACGCTAAATTTGATTGGATATATCATAAGTATTTTATGTGAAACCTATGTCCATATATCACAATGACTTGAGTCAAAAACATATCAATCCGCTTGACGTTTCATCGAAAGTTTGCCAAATTTACAGGCATTTTAAACGAAAATTAACTTCATGAAGCAAATTAAATCAAAAAGAATGAATTTAAAAGATACCCAAGTTATACTGAATATAATGGTATGACCCTGTTTTGAAGCAATTAACGCTTTTAAAAAAACTGTTCTAATTCGGTTTCTCTTGATATGAGTACTTTTCTTACATGATTTCAGCAATCACACTGTTAAGGTCAAGATCTAATAAATGAAAGGTGCCTACAGATTTATCAAATTTGAGAAATAAATTCCTTTATTGATGCTTTACAACTGAAGCTTGGTCAAATAAGGTGTTTCGGGGCATAATTCGTAGGTAAACAAGATGAAAATCTGTATTTTAAACTGTCATTTTCAATGAAAAATTAAGAAAATCAGTCATGAATATGGGAGTTTTTTTCATATTCGACAAAGGAAATGTATCCAGATTGCCTACAGTCTCACAGAAAACGGAAATTAGTATGTTCATGGCCTCTTCTTTAAATCAATATCAAATTTAATAAAGGTATCCGGTTTACTTTTCATATGATTTCAAATTGAATGTCATGAAAATATCCTATTTTCTACATAATTCTGCTAAAGCCGTAAAGTACGGGAAATAGAAAGTTGAAATTGATTATGACGTCATAATGGATCTAGCACCAAAAAGCTAGTCTAAAGTTATTTACTAGATCTTGACCTTAATTGATGAATTTTCTCAGGGTTCTGAACTTTGACGTGTCAAGTGCATCAAACCAAATGAAATAAATACATTATGTTTTTTTTTTTTTTTGTTTTTTTTCAAAAATTCTTCCGCTTTATGAGTGTTCAAAAACATAGCATGTTGCTTCATTCTATATCATGTCAGTCATAAAGATTAAATAAAATATTATTCAAAATAAAATCAACAGTAATAGCTATGATCTTGTCCTAATGAGTTTTTCATTTTAAATTGTAACCGTGTATTTGAGTAAAAATTTTATTCACATTCCATAGATAAGTAAACAATCATCTAGTTTTTTCACGTTTATTTATATAAAGTGAATCCAGCTGTGTTTAAAAATCCTGTAAAAAGACACCAACCTCAAAACTGGTTTAGTGGACACCAGCACATTATTTCTTGGGATCCTCGTGTGTTTGAACTAAAGGATTCAGAGCATGTTCAGATACACCTATTTGCTATTAAGGTATAAATCAGATATACGTATATTTATGTAAGATATGATTGTCACATGCATAGTACATGTTTCAATTTATATTGATCATTTATTAACTATGGATGTTTTGTAGGAACAGTCGTACAACCAGCTTGTGTGGGAGAAAACTGTGTTGCATGAAAACATACCGACAATTCTTGGAACATATACCATTGGACTTCAGACAGATGGGTATTTGGCAGCGATCCGTGTCACTGCCGCCCTAGAAACAGACATTAATTTGTAATTGTTACACATTTTCCTATGGTATTTCATATAACTTTATTCTTGCTTGTTCGATACAAGTATTGTTAGTGAGAAAACTTGCATGGCTCTTATATACTGACACGCAAAAGAAACGCAACACCCTACTTTAAGGGGAAATAATTATGTAAAGTAAAGAATTTTGTATCTTAAAATTTTGAATATCTTCAATTTGGTAAACACCGGTAATTTAACGGTTGAACGATTTCCATACCATAACTGGAAGTCAAGTTTGAGTCTGCTTAACAGAAATCAAAAATTGCATGTTTAACAAAACATTTGGCAACATTGTGAGTTTTAAGGGTTTTTTTTACTGTTCATCATAAGTAATGAAGCAATAATTCAAACAATGAACTCTCCTTTCGTTCCCGTAACGATGCCAAGGCTACTTGAAAATGGCTTATGCACCCATTTCCATTGCTTTAGCTGGAAATGCTGATGGAGAGTTGCTGATGCGGAATGTCACTACATTACGCCTCAACGGGGTTTTAAGTACATGTCACACGCATTAAGGACAGTCCTTGTACCGGAAGTCCAAGGGTGGCTACACTGCTTTAAGTTAGAGAAAATTCTACCTAATCATCTGAAAAACGGGCATTTAAAAATACCAAAGAATAATTCCTTCGCTCAGATCTCTATATTAATGAACCTCTTGTATCGTAGAAAGTAAGCTGCAATTGTTGTTTAGGGCAGTCTTGCACGTTTTACTTGAATGGCTGGGAGAGGGTTGTTTTAACAGTCATATTTTACTTAGTAAAGTAAACAGATAAACATTTAACATTTTTATCAAATCTCTGATGTTCTGAAAAGTGAGTTTAGTCTTACTTTATTCGCTTTTGAAAATTATAAGATAAAGAAATTAAACATTTGTAGATTACTGCTTGTTGCGTTTCTTTTGCGTGTCAGTATATTTACGGATATCTACCAGCAAATCGCTAACTAGAAATCATATAATCTGAGAATGACATGCTGTTTACCATGTATTGCATATCTTTTTCAAAACATCACAGAAATTTCTGACCTTTTCTAAGTTATAAGATATATTTCTTCCAGATCAGAAAGGGGTTGTTGGACAGATGTTTTTGCAGTTGTTCCTCAACGTCGAAAATCACAGCAGTTCTGTCAAAACTGGATGAGACATGAGTATCGTCTTTCTGAGGTATTTTCGCAAAACGTTCCACCCTGTCCTTGCACACTACAACAAGCTTTGATGGACACGGCTCAATACCAGCCTGATCCCGACTGTAATATTATTACAAAGAACAAGGATGACGACTTCAATTGTCTGTACAGAGCAGATGCTCAGCACTGTGTTAGACTCAGTATGCCTGGGTATAACTTTTAAGTTTACTGATGGTTATAAATGTCACCATGAAAAAACAACTTGAAATTCATTAAATGACACTTTCTTTTATTCATGACCTTATATTTGTAGTCCTGATGATAATGACAACGTTTGTTGCTACGATATAAGAGGGAACCTGATTGACTCCCGTGTGAAGGAAGGTGGTTCTCTACAACGTTACCACTATTTAGGAGGAGTGAGAAATATCCCCTATGTTACCAACTTCTACTACGATGTTCTTCCTTTCCTGCACTGCTGTAGGTACTATGGTTCCAGTTCAGATTTTGGACAACACGGACAAGTTATTTACTCAGCGTGTCAGGATTTCTTGCAGTTCAGAAAAGTCAGTTCATGCTTCAACTATATCCCCCCACGACCAGGTACATGTCATTCTAATTCAAGTAAACACAGCAAAGTTGAAGAAGGAAAATTCATTTGCAAGATATAGATATTTGTCTTTCATCTTATATTTTTTATTTATTAAAACATACATATATTCAGTATAAAACTTATTTTTGTGTTTTGTTTCGCATTTACTGGTTATATATGAAAAACGATCATTTTTTTTTCTTTTTTGTAAGCCGGTGCAAATGGGGATCCACACATTAAAACTTTGGATGGATTTGGATATAACTTCAATGGACTCGGAGAGTTTCATTTTATTGTATCCAAAAATATGTTATTCGAAAGCCAAATCAGATTTGAACAGGCAAGGCATAGCAATGGTAAGATTTAAGTTTTTTTTCAAACTAAATAACCCTTTCTCCCTATCAATGAGAATGTACCTGTACTATGATCTCGTAATTATAGTCTGAATAAACCTTTAAATGTGTAAATATTGTAGGGGGTACAGTTGGTGCCAGCGTCTGCACGTCTTTTGTGGCTCGTGTTACAAATTCGTCTGATAAAGTTGAAGTTATTCTGAATTCTATCAGAGTGGCGGACGTCCTCATCAACGGACAGATACAGGACTTTAGTGACGTGCCTTGGTTGATGTATGATGGTACGTAAATACTACCTTTGCACTTTTGCACCCGCCTATTTATTCTTCACCTTACTACCAGAAAACTACTATTTATAGAGTAGGTTATCATAATTATACCATTCACCATAAAACTGAAAGAAACTGATTGTTCGATGTTGATCTTTGAACTTCACGTTGGTGTTCCACTCATTTGCACATGTGCGCGGAGTTTGTCAATGCGTATTTACCAAATACCCATTTCAAACAGGGTTTATCAAGACTTTCTACCAAACAATCACATTTACCCACTCGATGGTCTCCGAAAAGTCCATCTTTTTCTTTTTGAACATTTGTGGGACTGAGTGGAAGATAGTACCTTTCAGCTAAGGGCTATCTTGTTGAAAACGTAAAAGGTTGATAAATATCCCTATTTGAAGGATTAACACACTGTTAAACTCAATGCAAAGGAGAAACAATGCTGTTACACATGCGCAAAGGAGAGATTGAAGATATTGAGAATTTTTTTATTTTCACTTATAGGGGTATTGTCATATCAGTTTCAATAAGTTATGAATAATGAGGCAAAGTCAAATGGAATTTATATTCACAACTTTTCCACCAATAATATAAATCCCATAATATGAAATGCCTGTTCGCAGCTTGTTCTTGTTGCTTTACCCACTAGAGAAAACATGAGAGATGAGTTGAGTGAAACATGTCATTTATTAACTAGATAAATGACGCAAGTGAACAAAAGCACATTAATATACAATATTACATATAATCTTGTAAATTATAGCTGGGATAAGGACAAATAATGAATAGTTTCAACTTAGATATAATATATTGCGACTTATTGCTTATCCCAGCTATTGTTATATAATGATGACCAAGTTTGTGTAACAAGAAGGTGGCGTAAACCAAGAGGCCACAAGGCATGTTATATGCTAATTTTTGTATAATAAAGAAAATTCTATATCACAAAAATTGAAACATTTAAAATTTTCCATTACAAATATTGTTACTAATTGGGAGGAGGATGGGAGGTGGCGGAAATTTAACTACAACCTCGTGTTTCAACTGTCAAAATATAATGGCCGATCAAGTTGAACCCGATCTTAACAAGAGTTCCATTCCGATGTTAAAACAATAAATCGAGAACAACTAGCTGTAATTTTCATCTTGTCAAACAATGTAAAAAAGATTGCATATAAAATATTTTATGGAACATAAAATTTTATTAAAGTTACACTTTTACTTAAGGTGATTTTAAACGTTAGATAGGAATATTAGAAAATACATGAAGAAAAATAAAATTCTTTCACCTCAAAAGTTAACCCTGCATTTCTTTTGCTTTCAGTATATTAATAAAGACATTTCGTACTTTGGATTATTTCATTTTGGATGCTTTATGGCCCTACAGATATAAAATAAAATGGAAAATGGCTACTTCCAAATGTGTTTGTAGATTGCTCATTCAATAGTTTTTGGACTGTTAGCAATATGATATCATATAGCATATTTATCAGGGAATCCATGTCAGAGACCTATATTGAAATATCTGTTTTAAGCTCATCTGAGCCGAAGGCTCAAGTGAATTTTTCTCATAACATTTTTTTCAGTCGTCCGTCCGTCTGTCGGTCTGTCTGTCTAGCTGTCCGTCTGTCCGTCCATCTGTACACTTTTCACATGTTCGATTTCTTCTCAAGAACCACTGGGCCAATTTTAAGAAAACTGGATGCAAAGAATCCTTTGGTTAAATTGTAAAAATAAAGGGCCAAGTTTTCCAACAAGGGAAGATAATCAAGATATGACTTGGTATCGCTTGGTATTTATTGTTTTCAAAGTAAATGGTGTCCACCGCAATGGTTATACATGTATTCAGTAAATATAATAATATTTAAAAATTGAAATATTTATAATGTAACCAAGAAATATAAATAAAATTGTGGGAAAATTGTCACAATTCTGATATTTCGAAACCCGGGAAATGTCAGCCCTTGGGGACATAAAACTTAGGTGAGCTCACTTTTGATCTCAGTGTCACTTTTAACAAAGGAACTAATAGTAGAAAAGTGATTCTGAGATAAAAAGGGGGCTCACCTAAGTCTTATTGCCCCCAGGACAGGTCCTGCCCGATGTTTAATTCTGTATATTTACAAATTTGCTGATGTCTTTCTTTATATATAACAATGCTAAGAAAATTGAAATTCACTTTTCAATGACATGCAGTTGGTCATATGATCAGACTTTTTTGTGTATGGAAAGCAAACTGCACGAACAATTTGGAAAGTTTCGACTGTGATGTCACACCAGCATCAGTTAGATAAAATACGTACATGCTTGCTTGTAATAAAGACTAATAAAAGCCATACTCCAATGAAATTCCAAAACTGATATCTTTTCTCTTATATGTTCAAAAATTCTATTAGTCTTTATTACAGGCAAGCATGTACGTATTTTATCCAACTGATGCACAAACGTTACATGTGTTGGTTGCTTTATGTTAAACATTTAAATTAAATTTGAATATACATGTATTGAATAGAAATATGATTTTAAATATTTTTTCAGGTTTATCGGTTATTAATCTGCTGAAGTCTCGAAATACTACCCGAAGGGAAATTCTCTTGATGTTTCCTACCATAGGCATTTCATTTCGAGTGCTTGCCAACACTGAGTTATTAAATGTCATGCCAATTATTGCAAACCATTCTTTGAAAGGTACATTTATGGCAGGAGTATAGGTACATTTATGGCAGGAGTATCGCTGTTCATTCGCTTTTGTTGTATTGAAAAAAGACAAACACAGATATTCTCGAGATAAGTTTAATTCCAAATTCACAATATTAAAAATTTGATTTAAAAAAAACCCAGTTATATAGGATTTCACATGTAATACATTTATATTATTTATGTTTCAGTCTGAGATGAGACATTTCAACATAAGCTATAAAAGAGGACAACATTCAAATATGCTTTAAATTGCAAAAATACACGAGAACATTTCGAATATAAAAAGCTATAACATAGATAGGGAAATTATACTTCGAAACCAAAAATTAAAAAAAAAAACAATTACTAAAAGATTCTTTTGCAACATTGCTAAAAAACATAGATTCATAGACTATACTTTGATTTATTTCATTTAGGTAAGATAAATGGACTTCTCGGAGACTTTGATGAGAACCCGTCCAACGACTTGATTTTACCAAATGGAACGGTCTTGGAGACAAATACAACGGAAGAAAATATTTTTTCATCTTTCAATAATGCATGTAAGTACTGCACAAAACCCGTATACCTTGTAAAACTTATTTTTATAAAGATTAGTCATTGATTTGTTTACTTTCAGGGAGAATTACCAATGCTGAATCTTTGTTCACCTATCCAAACGGTAAATCCTACATCTATTACAACAATGATGCAAAGAAAAACTTTCGTCCGGTGTTTTTGTCATCTATTGCTAGTTCTTCAGGACAAGAGGCTAAAGAAATGTGTGGAATCAACACAGACTGCTTGTTTGACTTTTATGTAACTGGGTCTAAGGAATTCGCTCGGGCTACCCGTGACTTCACAAATGAATTAGAAGATGCAGAGATTGCAGCCAAGAAAGGTAATAACCAATTATGCTATAGCATAAAATAATACGATGAATCCCATAAAATCTATCTATCTTTTCATTCGTCCATCAACTAGTATCAAAATGATCCCTATATTTTAGTGATCGTCTGTCCGGTATTGCAATCCGAAAATGGAGGCAGTTGGCTTTCCAACAGCACACAAGAGAATGCCACAGCTTCTTTTCATTGTCTTGAAAACTACTCGATGAATGGTACCTGTCAACCAAAAACGTGTATAAACGGAACATGGTCCAATAACCGAAGATGCTCATGTGAATTGGATTCGACAACAACTAAATATACACAACAACAAACTTCATTTCTAGAATCTTCAATCTCTTCGTCCACCACAAGAACCTTTTTGTCGACGGATACCACTAGAGTTCCATCAACAACATCAAAAACTATACTTCCAACATTTTCGACCTCCACAGTCAACATAAACGCGGCATCACCAATATCAACGTCGAAAGGCACAACACTATTGCCATCTATATCCTCGACGGTCACTAAAACAGCGCAAACGTCTTTATCCTCAACACATAACACTCCTGCAAATCCACACCTACCGCATACATTTTCAAGGCACACAACAGACCATAATAGAGTTTCTCAAAATCCAACGACTCCCTTCGCGCGTACAAAGGAACAAAATGATATAACAACGGATGACAATTCTGTTATGCTGAAGTCTGTTTATAACTCTATCAAGATGATGTGGGTCAGCGTTGGTGGAGGAGTAATAATAATCATCATCATTGTCCTTATCACATCCTTTGTCGTCTGTTTCAAAATGAGGTAATACGAAATGAACAAATCGAAAGAAATAAGTTTCTTTCCAAATCATTAAGATTTAGCACTACAGCGAATATTTTCCTAACTTAAAATATATTTCAATTGAATACCTCAAATTTGTGTTTTCCCCAATAATCGATCTTTTTTCGTTTTTATTCAAAAACTGATTTATAAGAAAAAATTTTGATTTGGCCTTTAGTTCACATACAGATATTCACATTCAGTGTAATTTTCTTTATGAAATCCAGTAGAAATCCATGACGTCCAAATCTCTATAACACACGCGAAACCTTGTCACCGCGCATTACAATTAATACACAATAGGAACTATATTTTTTTTCAATACTATATGAACACGAAAATTTACACTGTTTGACACAATTTAATAATAAAAAAACTAATTAACCCTACTGAATTAAAGTAAATATACAACAAATGTGCATTTTAATTAATTTGTCGGTTTTTTTCCCTCGCAATGTTCGTTTGTATTATATAACTTTTGGACGTCACAAACGTCATAAACGGCTCTTGCGTCTATAAAGCACACCAGTTTTGAAGGGCGCTAAATTGACATAAAAGACTTTTGGACGTCACAAACGTCATAAACGGCTCTTGCTTCTATAAAGCTCACCAGTTTTGAAAAGACGCTAAATTGACATAAAAGACTTTTGGACGTCACAAACATCATAAACGGCTCTTGCGTCTATAAAGCTCACCAGTTTTGAAAGACGCTAAATTGACATAAAAGACCTTGGACGTCACAAACATCATAAACGGCTCTTGCGTCTATAAAGCTCACCAGTTTTGAAAGACGCTAAATTGACATAAAAGATTACTGAAGTAAACAATTATGAAGAGCAAAAATTAAAGAATGTAAATAAAAGTATACTTTTAAAAAAAGAAACGCATAGTAGAATTTTAGTGCCACATTGAACATCAAGATTATTTAGTAAAATGATGCATTAATAAAAAACAGAAATGTGGGAAGCAGCAGGAATACTATATAAATCTAATAATTACTAAAGAAGTTTAAAATTATAGTCAGTTTAAGATCATTTAAGATCAATATCTGGTATCTAATGGAAGCAGATATGTGTAATAAAACTGTATAGGAATACTCTCCATCTCCAAATGTAGAGCTTAGCTCAGCTGTTACAGTGTCTGGGGATGCGATTGTCAATCCATCTTGTCCAATCCTGCTTAATTTTAATTAAAATCTAGCGATTTAGATGACTGACTGTGGCAGAAACGGACTGCTATTGCTTTGCAAGAATGGGAGTGTCAAACGAGCCGCTTGTGGCTGTGTGTTGTGAGATTGCAATACGGCTCTAGGATGCTTCAGAATTTGAATAGGCATGTGTAGATAGAACATGGTTAGAGTACCTTTTCCATCAAAGTCCACTGAATTCAAACCAAATCAATCTTACTTTCTTATTGTACCGTTTTCCATATTATTACACTACCACCACCAATTTTTTAACGTTCTGGAGTCGGTTATCTGTTCAACAATCATAACAAAGCATTAGCACTCTTAAACTTATAAGAGGCTTTCAGATTAACATTTTAGAATAGTAGCTTAATCAAAATATTCAGCTGTGATGAAACTGAAAACGGTCTTGTTAAATGATATGTGCAGTTCAGGGATAGCTTATGCTTTAGATGACGTCATTGCGTTACATTCATGCAATTTACGTAATCCCCTGAAGTGATGCTCTGCTGCTGATGTCACCCGTAGTCTAACGTATTTTCTGCGAATATTGGGAGTTCGATGTCAAATGGTTTATGTTTATAGGTTAGATATGGCACTGTGCGTAACATCAAAACTTCTTGCAATGGTATATTGCGGTACCCCTGCTTCCAGTCGCCCATTTTCCTTTTTGTGCTATGCAACATTCAGATGCAGCATTTTTAGAAAGCGTCAATTTTCAGATAAAACCAGATTCAAAATATCGAGAACCCCCGCTTTTGATAGCCCCTTTATATCAGAAAGAATTGCATCAGAATTCAACAAATGAAAATTGAAAAAAAAAAATTGGGGGGAAATTTTGCAAAATCGGTTCTTTTTGTCTCTGGAACTTGTAGAATAAATGTAAAGTTAACAATTGCATTACAAAATCACGCATTTCATTCGAATACATCACATCTATCTAAAAATAAAAGGTATTGCAAAACTTTCATACATTTTTCAGGGCATTTTTCCTACTATGAGTTTTTTAAAGAGTTGTATTTACTTATATATAAGTATAAACTTCATTTATTTCTTTATTTATTTAATATGCTTTAGCATAATTACTTATTTGGTGAAACAAAGAGAGATGACTCCATAGTTTTGTGTTAATCACAATAAAAATAAATAGCCCATTCCACGATTTTTTTTTCAGGCATTGTGGACTGTAACTTTTGAAGGGACATTGACACAGTTTCAACAAATTTTTTAAAACTAATTTTAACGTTAAGGATATTTAAATGATAAAAAAAATAAATATCACTTGTTAATTTACAAAGGAGATACAAAGCTTAAAATTCTTCATGATGTAAACAAGGCTCGTGCTTTGGTTTTGTATATATAGATATATATATATATATATATATATATATATATATATATATATATATATATATATATATATATATATATATATATATATATATATATATATATATATATAAGCACAATTTACAACAACTCTTAAACTAACATAACTGCCCTAAGTGAAGAAATATTAATATAGAAAGCACTAAGAAATTCACTTTTACATGGATACCCACTTCCGCCCCAGCCCGGAGTTGAACTCTCGACCTTCGGAATCTGTCTCCTAGCAGTGCAGGAACAGCGGGCTAGACCGCTCGGCTATCTAGACAAGTCAAAAAACTCGCTTTCGATGCCGATGGAGTTCTCCCGGCGCTGTCCTACACTACACGGTCATTGAGAATAGAAGTGAGATACAATTATTTGTAAGTTGTGCTTTCTATATTAATATTTCTTCACTTAGGGCAGTTATGTTAGTTTAAGAGTTGTTGCAAATTGTGCTTTATAAATAACAATTAATTTCATTACAACATGTATTTGTAACAATCCTCTGTTATAACTAATGTCCAAATAACTGTAGCGCTTACAGTAAAAATGTTTTTCGAATTTTTTTTCATATATATATATCACATTTATAGCTAAACAAAATATATATATATATATATATATATATATATATATATATATATATATATATATATATATATATATATATATATATATATATATATATATATATATATATATATATATATATATATATATATATATATATATATATATATATATCCTCTAAAAACTAATGTCCAAATAACTGTATCTCACTTCCATTCTCAATGACCGTGTAGTGTAGGGCAGCATTGTGAGAATTCCATCGGCATCGAAAGCAAGTTTTTTAACTTGCCTAGATAGCCGAGCGGTCTAACGCGCTGTTCTGCACTGCTAGGAGACAGATTCCGTAGGTCGAGAGTTCAACCCCGGGCTGGGGCGGAAGTGAGTATCCTTGTAAAAGTGAATTTCTCTGTGCTTTCTATATATATATATATATATATATATATATATATATATATATATATATATATATATAATATCACATTTATAGCTTAACAAAATTCAGTAAATCACTAGAAACTGTAAAATGGTTATTTGGAATTAATGTCTTTATTGGAAAAAATCTGCATATTAGTAGACGGGACCTATTTTTAAAACTAAAACGTGACACAGGCCTTGTTTACATAACAAAGGGTTTAGAGTAAAATCTGTCTTGTGTCTCGATTGATTGATTGATTGTATATTGTTTAACGTCCCTCTCGAGAATTTTTCACTCATATAGAGACGCCACCACTTGCCTGTGGAGAGCTGCAAATTTTGTCCTATACTCAGCACTTAGGGCCATTGAGCAGGTAGGGATCTTTTTCGTGCCAACACCTACTGCGACACGGGACTTCGGTTTATACGGTCTCATCCAAAGGACCGGTCTCCACGTCCCACAGTGGGATTCGGACCCTCGACGTAAGGATTGACTCCTTACTTCGCGACTCTAGAGCAGATCCTCTAACCACTGCGCCACGCGGGCGACTCTTGTGTCTCGACAACTGAGATTCAAATTTTTGATAATCATTACATATACCTAAATTAAGTATTTGTACGCACAAAATATGGAGAAAAAGAATTTGAAAATGTTCAGCTTAAATTGTGTCATTGTCCCTGTAAATTCATACCAAAACATATATTTTTCACGATATAGAAGGGAGGGCTATATTTATAGTTACAGACAAAAACCGACAAAATATGTTTAATTTTATATGTGTTAAAACTTAAGAAAAGGTTTATATAGAACATTGATTCATATCTGAGTATATTTTGAAATAAATTATGGCGTTACTTTAAAAGTCCGATGTCAATTGAAAACTTGGTTTAATTTTCTCCCTGCCTTATAAATTGAACCGGAATAAAGAGGTTATGAAAACTTAGATACTGGTATTGAAAATATTAATTATTATTAACAATTATTATTGAACTGCTCTTCGTATTCAACAAATTTTTCATGGGCAAATTGCCATTAGTTTTGAATTAAATGGGTGCAATTGGGAATCGGTAGTCACTGTGTATAGTCTCAACAATTTCCTTCTATTCCCTATTTACGAAATTCATTAAACCATCAGGTTTTCGAATTTAAATTTCAAATTATTCACTTCTTTAGGTACTTCTTTTTTTCCATTAGAATGTAGATCTGATTTCTTATATTATAACAGAGATGTTTTGTTTTGTAATTAAGTATTTTTGTGTATCTTCATGCCCTGTATTTCAGATCAAAGTCTAAGGGTGTGAAAGACGATGAGAGTACTTCTTTTTCCTCCGAGGGTTCGAATGGACTGAGAAAATACGCAGGAACACCTCCGCGATCATGTGGAGGTTTGCGTAGCGAGACGAATAACGTTTATTCCGATTATAATGAAGGCAGTAATTACAGCTTGCCTCGTTACAACATCCACAAAAGTGGTGCACATGGATACTTCGATTGTGATCGCAAAATCTTAGGTAATCCGGCGAGAGAGCAGCGGGGATATTACTAGAGCAGTGGTACAACGCACTTTGAAAAAAATACGCACTTTGAAAATTTTTTTCAAAGTGCGTTAAAATTTGGGACCAAGCTAACGCCCATTGAAAAATTTTTTTTTCCAAAGTGCGTTAATATCGACCATATTAACGCACTTTAAAAGAATGTAAAGATTGATCAATATTCCTTCAAATAATCGGTATTATAAATAACAGATCCAGGTTTTGTAACTTTTTTATGATAAAGTCACTGTAGGACCTGAGATATTGACGTTTTAATATTTTAGGTTTTGATAAAATAAAAGGGAAAATTAAAGGGTCCTGAAAAAAAGAGTGACGATTGTTTAAGTTCATTAATTCGTTTCTTCTTTTTTTTTAAATTTTATTGTAGATGTAAAGGGGGCACTAACAGAGGACAGCTTAGCATTTATCATAATAAAAAGGGGCCAGTTTGATTGTTCAAAACTATGAAAATTCTTTCTCTCTCATACGTTTTACTGTACTTAAAATTTTCTAGTTTTAATCTGTTTTAATTAACTCATTTATTATTGAAAGTTTTCAACGTCATACCAGTTAGGTAAATGCATAATTATATGAATGCTTTGAGTATAGCATAGACATCGAGACTGGGCGAAGGGCCAGGGGAGGGGATGGGGGCTAAGCCCCCCACTTATTTTGGAAAGATATGTACATCGTATAAGCATTTAAAATGCAGCGTACCCTTTTTAGGTTTATTGCTCCCCTCTCCCGTTTGTTACCGACACCTATGTATTCGAAAGATGAAGATTTAGACTGAGGGATCTTATACCCGTCTTCTCCTCTTTATGACGGGAGTAAATCTATTTAATTTTGAGGTTAGGGTTAGGCTTAGTTTTTTGAAAGATAAATAACAAATAAAATCTTTCCATTACTAATATGATTTTTTTTCAAAGTGCGTTAAGTGTTTCCATGGTAAAATATATTGATGTAGACTCTTAACGCACTTGTGCGTTGAGTTGGTCCCAAATTTAATGCAATTTGAAAATTTTTTTCAAAGTGCGTTGATTTTGTCCCAATTTTAGCGCACTTTGAAAAAATTTTTCAAAGTGCGTAATTTTTAGCTCTACTGGTCAGAGACCAGAAGAGCTTATGCGATAGTAATGCGTCCGGCGTCCGTCCGTCTGTCCGTCTGTCTGTCCGTCTGTCTGTAAACAATTTTTCAAAATGCTACTCCTCCTACAGTTTTGGTCTAATTTCAATATAACTTGGCACACAATTAGACTACACTAAGATACATAATTCTGTGTATCGGTTTTTGATTTCGATGAACGGTGTTGCCGTGGTTACTAAAAATAGAAATTTCTGTGAAATTCTTTCAAAATGCTACTCCTCCTACAGTTTTGGTCTGATTTCAGTATAACTTGGCACACAAGTAGAATACACTAAGATACATAAATCTGTGTATCGGTTTTTGATTTCGATGAACGGTGTTGCCGTGGTTACTAAAAATAGAAATTTCTGTGAAATTCTTTCAAAATGCTACTCCTCCTACAGTTTTGGTCTGATTTCAGTATAACTTGGCACACAAGTAGAATACACTAAGATACATAAATCTGTGTATCGGTTTTTGATTTCGATGAACGGTGTTGCCGTGGTTACTAAAAATAGAAATTTCTGTGAAATTCTTTCAAAATGCTACTCCTCCTACAGTTTTGGTCTGATTTCAGTATAACTTGGCACACAAGTAGAATACACTAAGATACATAAATCTGTGTATCGGTTTTTGATTTTGATGAATGGTGTTGCCGTGGTTACTAAAAATAGAAATATCTGTAAAATTGTTTCAAAATGCTACTCCTTCTACAGTTTTGGTCTGATTTCAGTATAACTTGGCACACAAGTAGACTACACTAAGATACATAATTCTCTGTATTGGTTTTTGATTTCGATGAATGGTGTTGCCGTGGTTACTAAAAATAGAAATTTCTGTGAAATTCTTTCAAAATGCTACTCCTCCTACAGTTTTGGTCTGATTTCAGTATAACTTGGCACACAAGTAGAATACACTAAGATACATAATTCTGTGTATCGGTTTTTGATTTCGGTGAACGGTGTTGCTGTGGTTACTAAAAATAAAAATTTCTGTGAAATTCTTTCAAAATGCTACTCCTCCTACAGTTTTGGTCTGATTTCAGTATAACTTGGCACACAAGTAGAATACACTAAGATACATAATTCTCTGTATTGGTTTTTGATTTTGATGAACGGTGTTGCCGTGGTTACTAAAAATAGAAATTTCTGTGAAATTCTTTCAAAATGCTACTCCTCCTACAGTTTTGGTCTGATTTCAGTATAACTTGGCACACAAGTAGAATACACTAAGATACATAATTCTGTGTATCGAATTTTTATTTTAATTTTGATGAACGGTGTTGCCGTGGTTACTAAAAATAGAAATGACTGTAAAATTGTTTCAAAATGCTACTCCTCCTACAGTTTTGGTCTGATTTCAACATAACTTGGCACACAAGTAGACTACACTAAGGAGTAAGAACATAAAGAGACTTTATCAACGATCATTATTCTATTTATTGCTGTTGTAAAATTTCAAATCCCAGCTGCTTAAGTACTTTTCTTTTCCTTTGCTATAAGTTCAAACCAGTAGAGCTTCAGTCTCGACAGAGACTTCTGGTTTCAAAGTGCGTTGCCACAGAGCAGGCATGAAGCTGAAAAATGACATCTTATGTGTATATCCATTCATATTTCAAAGCATTTATATATATATATATATATATATATATATATATATATATATATATATATATATATATATATATATATATATATATAATTTTAAATAATTTTAAAAGAAACTTCATATGGTAGAAAATCATGAATTAAGTAATTCTACACGGTTTTCCCGTAAAACAAACAGAAAAAAATCTATTTCTTCCTTACTTAAAAAAGGTTGAAATTTATATGGCCGATTTATAATATTTGATATATTTGAACGTCATGATCAATATCATCATGCAAGGATATTTTTTCAAGGCATCATTGCTGTGCTGTGTTTTTTTTCTGAATGCATATATATTTCTAAAATTTGAAATAAACATCTTTGGAATACTGTTTTTTATATCTATATGTTTCATTTTTACAATTAGATGTATTAATAAAAGTTCATCAGCTTGAAATTAAAGGTACGCAGTGACAATTAAATTTGATTTTAGATACCTGAAGTGTTCCTTTTCTTTTATTAATAAATTGATGATGCATGACATGCAGCTATGCGTCTTGCCATTTTTATACTATGAAACTTGAAAATTGCTGATAAGAAAGATTTTTAATGAAGATATAGAAAATAGATAAATATAAAGTATGGGTGTACATTGGAATACACAATGAAATTTTTAAGCGGAGATATAAAATTGAATGGAGGAACAACATTTTTATATTCTACATTATGTACATTGTACTTACTGAATTTCATGTTATATCATCAACAAATGAATATTATGTATGTCGATGGTGGACTTTGAAAGCAACTTTTCTTTCATGCAGTACCACGGTAAGTGAACAGAAACAGGACTTAAGAAACTGTACATAAACTTTTCAACTCAATTCTAGAGCACATTTTGCAAGAATGTGTTGTTAGTCATACAAATATGTACATTGATACATTACAACATATTGAACTGTAGAAAGCTTCTTTCTAATATTTTACCAGTCTCTGATATATACAGATAAACTATTTAATTGTTTAGAGTGATCTGTCCTTAGAAGTACGGTAGAAAAAATGGTTATTTTCTATTAATTACACAATGTCTGCTGAATTAAATATTCAAAACAATTCATTACGCCAAGAATAGGTAATTTAATTCATTATTTCATTAAATTACCCAATGTTAGTAAACAACAGTGATTTCTGTTCATAAATAAGTCTATTGTCTTAATATTTTTACTGCGGAAATAAGACGGGCATTCTAAGATGAAAATGAACTATATAGTCTGAATATACAAACCTTGATATATATTTTTCTCTAAGTTTAAAATTACTTTTTGTTAGTGTTTAGAGCTTTCTTAACACCGTCTATATGTGTATCTCTACAACGGGGCATTTACTATGTTGTGTACGGGGTGTAGATTTTGAAGCGTTAGAAAAGGGTTCTAGGATTTTTCTCTTTTTTTGCTCGAAGTATGTTTTTTTCATTTCTCAATTTATATGGATATATTTCACGGGAAAAAAATATGCCTACGGAAGTAAGCATTATCTAAAGAGTATATGGATACCTATGAATCCACTGAACAATTTCTTGTTAAAAAACACCTTAACGCGATTCCGAGGATCAGAGCAAGATTGCCGCTTCACTGTGTTTATGACCAAATATCAATACAAAGCTTTGCTTTATCATCAATTTCATATTACTGTTAAACTGTTGAATACATGTTATCTATCGAATGTAAATGTTTGTATAAATTGCCAGTAAATAATAATATGGTTTGTATTAAAGGCATTAAGCAAAACAGATATTAAATTATTTTTAACATCTAGTTATCTTGAATACTTTTTACTGACATGTTTATACATAGGACATTCAAGTAAAAGGTGTTTTCATCTTCAACAATAGTTTGACAATTGAAACAACATTTTTCTATAGGAATGAAAGGATTACAATGTCTACCTGTTTCTACGAACAACTTATGTTCACTTGTTCTTGGTTTGGGGAGATAAGTATATTAATTTTTAATGATTACACATGTAGTAGACATAATATTCTCAATATATTTCATAATATTTCAGAGAATTTTTTTATGTTTAGGGTCATGCATACCCTATTGAAAAATTGAATATTATAAAATAAATTTACATGTTATATTAAACAGGGAAAAGTAGATTACTTTTTTAATTGACTGCCCTCGCGAATTCATAGCTATAGATAAGGGCATTGTGGAATTGAACATTTCGGATTCTTATCGCCAGTTACTGACTTTGAAGTTCAATTACTACCTGATATATATATTTTTAATAAAATTAATTCACTCGGCTACAGAGTCATATAACTTATAATTAGTTAGTTTATGAGTTACAACTCAAATTTTATCTCAGCTTAACGTTCTAGCTACTTGCTCAAAGGTTAGGGATCGTTACTTTTCTTTGATAATGCTTTAATTATCCCATTCTCAAACAAATCTAAATAAATATATCTTTTTTTCAATCTTGGTAGACCTAAACTAACCAAAATGATTGTTAAATTGATTAGTGTTTTAACCCAAGTCGGCAATATTTTAGCCACATTTCGGTGAGTATTCAATGCAAGTGTCAAAATCGTCCGTGAACTATTTTTGTTGAATTTGGTTGAAAATTTACTAATGAACATAATACAAAACAAAAGATATAGAATTCATTTTAATTTGTATTATTTACAACAAATGCTAGCAACTATTAATCATTTTTGATAATTAAAGAAAATTATACTTCATGCCTTCATCAGCATAGATTTTCATTAATGTGTATAACGACAATAACTTTGGTGAAGTTCTTTTACACGCCTTCTCCTGCTGTGGACAAGTCGTTTTCGACGGTTTTAGAGGAATGAAGAATATGGAGATAACGAACAGTATTCCATATTAAAGTCCATAAAACAAAATAGGTGCAAACACGGACCTTTAAAACATTAAAGGTGGGATCAGGTGCCATGGAGGAGTAAGCATCTCCTTCTGACCGGTCCAACCCGTGTACTTTGTGTCATGATCGAGATATACCGGAAAAATCCGACGTCAATTCAGTGTATAAATAATGGACTAACAATCAGTATGAAAAATGTTAGTCAGTATTTGACTCAATGATAATTTGTATTTGCCTAAAAGGTCATTGTGTCCACCAAAGAACTTACGAATTGATAACTTTAAATAAGATTGCCGATATTTCTGTTTCATCAACTTGTTTGTCAATAATTTACCTCGTTTAAGAAATTGTTTATACATAGAATATGCTCTTGCGTATCGAATCAATTGAGATAAATAAACTCCGAACGCAGGTGATGAAGGTATATTGCTACATAAGTAAGGGAAGTTGAAATCATCATGTTTATCATAGAGATTGATTGTAAGATTACCATTACCGTCTTTTTAAAGTAAATAACCAAGTATGAAACATATATGTCAGACTTTATGTATCTTTTATCTCAAGCTCACAAAGATATATCTTATCGACAATGGAATGGTTGTTAATTGACTATACGACGTCGACATACCTTAAGGTTGAGTTGATTGCCACAGCAAGTGTTTTCTTCTTTTATCGCATTAGACTTTGCAAAAATTCTGCTTCATATAAATAAATAAAAACGAATCTTTCATTTTCTGAATATTTTCACGCATTGATGTCACGACCCACGTAATCGTGCTGAATTGGTTTCAAAGGCTTCATGTCGAAGGCAGTCCGTCACTATTCGGGCCCTACGTGATCTAGAGTTGTCCTTCAAAAGTACAGGTTGAGTTGCTAATAATAGCTCATCAAACGGGTGGGCACAACTAATGGGCTTAGAGTGTTATATCTGTACTTTTGTGCAGTTCTCGTGCCATCAAGAATGTGAAGATAATAGTTTAACCCGAAAAGAGAATACCTTGAAAGTGATACACCGCCTACACTAAAATCCCTTGTTTCCAATACATTGAGTGTGTATTTTTTTTTGGGGGGGGGGGTTGATCAAAAAATGGTGTTTCCTTTTGAGGTGATTGGAAATTGAACAATTCTTTCGCAAATAACGCAACATATTTTTTCAGTATTTTAGTGTGTTAACATGTATTCAGACAGGAAAAAATATACATGTACTTCCAACTAATAAATTTGTACAATATTACAAGTATCTGTTCCCAAAGGTAGCCTATGTTTTTAATATTTTAATATCCCAAAGAACCTAATGGAATTTGAACTACCATATATATATGATTCCAAAACATCATTATTTCCTTACAAAGATACGTAAATGGTTCCAATAAAGTTCAACAAGTTCAAAATGTCCGTTATCGAAAACGATGTTACAGATCTTAGATCAAGGTCTATGCGGGACAATATCCTTATTCATAATTATCCTTACGAACCCAACGAGAACCTAACCACGTCGATGCCAGTTACCTTTAAAGAACTTCTTGGGGTGGATGTCAGTTTTGTAAGGATTCATAGGAATGGGGCGCGTCCAGAATATAATTCTGATCGACCAGTATCCATTACTGCAAAGCTGACCGACCGTAGTAAAATCAACACAATTCTTAATGCCCAAAAGCTAAAGAAAATGGCTAAACAACCTTTGCCTTTCTTTATCACTACACAGCAACCTGCATCTATTGTTTCCGCTAGAAACAAGGTGTACGATACGGCAGAGTCTTTGAAAACTCAAAATATTACTGCTAAGATTCAAAAGAACCAAGTAATCTTACCCAACGGCGCCAGATATAAAGAGGATGTTCCATTTCTAACGAATGCAGATGCGTTATTGGTAACAGCTGAAGAGACGGAACACCTAGACTCGGTTGAAATAAAAAACTCGGAACCAATCAAAAAGGACGGCTCGGAATTTATAGCTTTCGGTGCTCGAGTTAAAACTGTGGATGCTGTGAAGAATATGTACAGCAAAGTTTTAATAGATCCCTACGCAGCCAGTGCCGATAACCGAATCTTGGTATACAGATTCGTCACAGAGGACGGTACCTTACATGAAAATTACCACGATGATTCCGAACATGGTGCCGGGCGAAAGATGTTGCGATACATGAGAGAAAATAACATTCAAAACGCCGCCTTCATCATCACAAGGTGGACGGGTGATGCTTATATTGGACCTCATAGATTTTCAATAATGGAACAGTTGGTAAATGATGTCGCCAATTCTTTGGAAATGTGACTTTTGATGTCATACAGATTACAGATATACACACGGTAATTGTTAAATAAAACAAAATGAAACCATGTTAACAGGCGTCTTCTAGCTGAAAAGTGACCATATTGATGTTGTAAATTTGTTTCCTTTTTTGTTAATACGAATATTAATGCCGTTCTTTTTTTCGTCAAATTTAATATAATGAAAGTTTATATTAAGAATTTCATTTTTGTTTAATATATTATATATGTATGAAACCGGATTTAAAAATAGTTTTCGACTTGGAAATTACATTGGTACTTTTCTACTCTTTTTGATTTTCTATTTTATTCTCATAACGGCATTTCCGATATGATTTATATATAAATTTAGCGTTGCCCTATCGACAAAATCTCTTACAAGACGTGCATATCTATCACTCTATGATGCATGTGTCTTTATTTCTAAACCATTCTTTAATCTCCTCTTCTATCTTCTCTTCTACCTTTAGCATGTTCAGAGCGACATATTTTCTGATAGTGAGTAAATGTTTGTCCAGGTTTTTTGCACCAGTTCAATTTCATATTTCATGTCTGGTTTTACAGTAATTTCAGTAAATTGTCAGGGTCTTGATGATTTTAAAAAGAGAAAGGACGTACTCCAATATTATAAGCAATTTCAATGCAATATTTTGTGTCTACAAGACACTCATTTTACAGATGATATGGAGAATGATATTACAAATGAATGGGGATATGAAGCATATTTTAATTCATTTTCGTCAAAGTCAAGAGGGGTAGCTATATTTTTTAATAATAATTTTGAATACGAGGTTCATAATAAAGTAACTGATGATGAAGGGAATCTTTTGGCTTTAGATTTGACAATTGAAAACAAGCGTCTGAGTTTAATTACAATTTATGGACCAAATGAGGACACACCCTCATTTTATGAAAGATTATCAGATATTATAAAGGATTTATCAAATCAAGATGTGATTTTGGTTGGAGATTTTAATTTAGTTTTAGACCCAGAAAAAGATTATTTTAATTATCTTCATATTAACAATCCAAAGGCAAGAAGTAAAGTTTTAGAAATAATCTCTGATTATGATTTCAGTGATATTTTTAGAGAAATGCCTCCTGATGAAACAAGATATACTTGGCGTAAACCTTCCCCTTGTAAACAAGCAAGATTAGATTTCTTTCTCATATCAAATTTTTATTTAAATAGTGTTGAAGAAAGTAAAATTCTGAATAGTTATAAATCCGATCACTCACCAATATATCTAAAGATTAAACTAAATGAGTTTACTCATGAAAAAGGTTTGTGGAAATTTAATAACTCACTTCTTAAAGATATCAAATATATTGAAACAATCAAAAAAGTTATTCAGGAAACAAAGGAAAATTATGCATTACCTATCTATTCTAAAGATTATGTCAACAAAATATCAGATGAAGAAATTCAGTTTACTGTAGATGAACAGCTTTTTCTTTGAAACACTCTTAATGGAAATTAGAGGCAAAACCATCTCTTTTTCCAGTTTTGTAAAGAAAAAAAGTAATGAGAAAGAAAATCAGTTAATTTCTGAAATTGAAACTTTGGAAAAAGACTATAATAAAAATATACAAACAATAAAGGATAAAAAAAAGGAATTAGAAAATATAAGAGAACATAAACGTATGGGAAATATCATAAGGTCTAGAGTAAAATGGATGAATGAAGGAGAAAAACCTACTAATTTCTAAACCTTGAGAACATACACTATACAAATAAAATAATCCCTAAATTGATTAAAGATGAATCAATAGATTCCGAAATAACAAATCAGAAAGATATTTTTCTTGAAATTGAAAAATATTATAAAACACTTTATGAGGCTAATTCTGATATGACAGATATTGATCTAAATGATCATACTTGGGACATTGCTGCAGAAAAACTTAGTGATGCACAAAAGAATAGTCTTGAAGGGGAGATAACTTTAAATGAAGCATTAACTAGTTTTGAAAAATATGTCAAATAATAAAAGTCCTGGAAGCGATGGTTTTACAACAGAATTCTTCAAAGTTTTCTGGAAACAGCTAGGAAATTTCATAGTAAGATCAATAAATTATGCTTACAAAAAAGGAGAGCTTTCTGTAACACAAAAACAGGGAATTATTACTTGTATACCTAAAGAAGGAAAAAGTAAATTTTTTATAAAAAATTGGCGCCCAATATCTTTATTAAACGTTGTATATAAAATAGCTTCTGGCTGTATAGCAAGTCGAATGAAAAATATCTTGAATACAATTATAAGTTCAGACCAGACAGGTTTTGTACCTGGAAGATACATAGGAGAAAATACCAGGTTAATTTATGATCTAATGCATTATACAGAAGAAAGAAATATCCCTGGAATGTTGTTAATGATTGATTTTGAAAAAGCATTTGACACAGTGTCATGGAATTTTATTGATAAAGCCCTAAAATTCTTTAATTTTGGTCCTTCTCTGAGAAGATGGGTTTCATTATTTCAATGTAATATTGTATCAGCAATTAATCAAGCAGGCCACCTATCTAATTTCTTTAAATTAGGCCGTGGTTGTCGCCAGGGTGATCCAATTTCTCCATATATATTTTTACTATTTGCAGAAATATTAGCTTTAAAAATAAAAAATAATAAAAATATTAAAGGGATTAAAATTGATGGGGAGGAATACCTAATATCTCAATATGCGGATGACACACTAGTTATATTACATGTAGATGGAACAGAACAATCCTTAAGAAATTGTATTGAAGAAATAGATAAATTTTATAAATTATCAGGACTTTAAATTAATCTCTCTAAAACACAAATAGTCTGGATAGGAAGTAAAAAATATTCAAATGAAAAACTACTTAATGAAATGAACTTTCAATGGACAACACAATTTAAAGTACTAGGTATTTTCTTTGATGTTGACTTAACTAGAGTTCCAAAACTCAACTATGACAAGAAATTGGTCAAAATTAAGAATATAATACTACAGTGGAGTAAAAGACGTACTACTCCTTTGGGTAGGATTTCACTGATAAAATCACTATTAATATCACAATTAAACCATCTTTTTATTGCTTTACCTTCACCTTCTGAAAATTTTGTAAAAAATCTAAATTGTGTTCTATTTAATTTTCTTTGGAAATCAAAAGTGGACAAGATAAAAAGAAAACAAATTACTCAAGATTACAAGAGTGGAGGATTGAATATGATTGATTTAAATAACTACATTAAGAGCTTAAAATCATCTTGGATTAAAAAACTACTCAATGGGCAGGATTCTAAATGGAGATCACTGGTTCAAAAACTTTTAATATCAAAAAGCTATTTAATACTGGTTCAAATTATATTGAAATAATATTACAAAGTATAACTAATGACTTTTGGAAAGATACTTTAATTGCTTTCAAAAATATAGAAGACAAAATGAAAATAGAGTCATGGGAAGATTTTATCACTCAACCATTATGGTACAATAAAAAACTTAAAATTGACAATAAGCCCATTTTTTACCCCAAATGGTTTATGAATGATGTAATTTTTATCTCAGATTTGTTAGATGAAACAGGATCTTTTTTAGAATTAGAGAATCTAAAAGCAAAATTTAATATAGAAAGCAACTTTTTAACATATGCAAGTTTACAGAAAGCAATAAAAGAGGCAATGGCTGTAGAAAAAGTAAACAAAGAAAGATTAAACCCAAGGCCCATTCTACCTTTTTATTTAAAATTATTCTGTCTATGTAAAAAAGGAACAAAAGCTATGTATAAAATTTTGAATACAGAACACATAGAACCTTTTTCAAAAGTAAAATGGAGTAAACATTTTGAAATTCAAGATTCCCTATGGGAAATGATATACAATATTCCTTTTCAATGTACAAAACGTTCTAAATTGCAATGGCTGCAATTCAGAATAAATCAGCATATTTTGGTTACAAATAAAACGTTATATAAAATAGGTTTGAAGGATACTAAACTATGCAGCTTCTGTGAGACATGTGAGGAAACAATTTTTCATATTATGTGGGAATGCCAGAAGGATCAGGAACTTTTACATAGTTTTACGCTTCTCTGTGAAGCTCATAATATAGATTTTCCAAACGATAGTGCTAATTTCATTTTTGGAAATCCAAATCCCAACAATAGTGAATTAAATACAATATTTTTTATGCATTAAATCATTTATACATAGAAATAAATGTCGAAATGAGGTTTTGAGATTACAAGCATTACGTGGAGATATTAAAACATTACTATCTACGATGAAGTATAGTGCAACAAAGAATAATCAAATTAATGAATTTAACACTTAATGGAAAGACTGGCTTTCACTCATGTAAGACCCTGAAACCAGACACCTAAAGACCTTTTGCAATGCTTGGACATGCATATGCCACAACTTTACTCCTATGAACATGATCTAGCTTCTTTACCATTTCTCAACCCCCTTTTTCTCTCTCTATTCCTTTCTTTCTCTTCCCCCTTTTCAATTGTCACTATTATATTTTTTGTATTTGTTTATTATATGTATTAATGATGTATTGATATTGATATTGTAAACACAATGATGTGACAATTGATATTAATAAAAAAAAAAAAAAAAAAAAAAAAAAAAAAAAAAAAAAAAGTTCAACAAGCCTCTTTTTCCTTGAGTATGTTATGAGGTTGGAAGCTTTCAATGGCTCACAATTTAGCCGTTTTAATGATGTTAAAAAAACTTTAGTCCATAACAGTGGGTTTCTGTCGTTTGTCTCATTCTTTAAAACTTTTGTTTTTTTTTAAATTCATTTTGAGAGGCGGATAAGTATTTTCCAATGATTAGAAAATAAAATATGAGCGTGATAATCCTTAAAATAATTTTTCCTAAAATAAATAGGAACGACATTTACGCCAATAAACTTGGAATATTTTTAGTGAGAAACCAGGCATGAATCCGTATTAAAAATCAGGGCCATAATTTTTTTTCCATTTTCAATTATTAATAAAGAATTTAAATAATCTTTTTTTTCTTTGTTTGAAAAAAATTAAATATAAAGGAGATAACACTTTTGAATATTTTGTTGTAATCTTATCTACTCCTGTTATCTATAAAACACAAGTGACTGTCCTAAACAGACATATCCAAAAGGTACAACAACCAGTCAGAAATGCAGTTTGTTGTCTTGTTTTTGTTTAGTGTACCTGGATGTTTTGGGATCGTGGAATTTTATCCTTTTGGATTTAGTACTGGAGATGACAAGGTCAGTAAAAATGACGACGGAAGTTCTCCGGAAATTCCCATCTCCACACGGTTCCCATTCTTTAACCATCAACACGACCACTTAATCGTGAGTATATTTCAATTTATTTCAATTTATAATATATATTCAGAAGAAAATGAGTTAGAACTATTTCATATTATCCTTGTGTTATATTAATTGTAATAACAATGCAAGACTTGTATTTCAAGGTCTGTATTTTTTCTATTGTTTATAACATACACAATGTATTTGTTCCCATACAAATTTTTCAGAAAATCGAATAGATTAGACAGTAAACAGGGAATTGATATTTTTTTAATTAAATGTCAACATGAATTTATAGCTATAGATAAGGGAAATTGCGGAAGTGAACATTTCAGACACTTATCGCCAATGAACTACTTTGTCTTGCAATGACTACTAGGAATATTCTTTTATATAACATGTACGAGGGTTGTCCCAAAATTTCGTAGACTGAGCTCATATCTTTTAAAGAAATTAATGTATCTTAATTTTCAGGGTGGATAAAACGTGTTCTTGGCAGACAAATTACGAAGTTTTATCATGTTTACTTGAAAAAATATTGAGTAATGAAATTTAAAGTGATATCGTTAACTAACACCCGGAGCAATCTGCAACGTCAAAAATAAATAAATAAAATGTCAACGGTTCAAATTTTTGGAGAAAATATTTCAATTACCAGAATCAAATTCTTAAATCAAACGAAACGGTTATAGTTATAAATGTGATATATCTTATTTACTATGATATGATCAAACATTAAAATATGTAAACAAAGTATATGCATATACAGGTATGAAATAATAATAATTTGTAAATGCCATATTTCTACGGGCTTTTCGTCTGTTTTCTCTAATGGTGTTGCACAATGGAACTCTTGCCCATTTCTTAGCCCGTCTTTTACTTTAGTTACTTTTAATCACATATATAAAGAAGCCCATTTAGGACCTATCAAAAAATATTTTTGAATTCGTTATAGCGATTTTTTTGTTATAATTCGTTATAAAGAATTTAATTTGTTATAACAGATTTTTAAAATTCGTTATAAAGAATTTAATTTGTTATAACAGATTTATTGAATTCGTTATAACGAATTTAATTTGTTATAACAGATTCATTGAATTCGTTATAACGAATTTAATTTGCTATTACAGATTCATTGAATTCGTTATAATTAACAAATTTAATCTGTTATTACAGATTTGTTGAATTCATTATAATTAACGAATTTAATCTGTTATTACAGATTTGTTGAATTCATTATAACAAATTCAAGAATTTGGTTATAACGAATTCAACAAATCTGTAATAACAGATTAAATTCGTTATAATGAATTCAATGAATCTGTAATAACAGATTAAATTCGTTATAACGAATTCAATGAATCTGTTATAACAAATTAAATTCGTTATAACGAATTCAATGAATCTGTTAAACAAATTAAATTCGTTATAAAGAATTCTAAAAATCGTTATAACGAATTCAAAAATATTTTTTGATAGGTCCTAAATGGGCTTCCGTACATATACATAGCTAAGGACGAGAAAAAGTTTCCTAGTCTACCAACATTTATTACTGGTACATTCTGTAAGAGTGAATTCAGGATCAAAACACTTGATCATAATCCTGTGCGCCGCCTGTGCTAAACGCGGAAAAAAATAATACGCGGAAAAAAAAATACGGAGTATTAATTACTTTTCTACGAAAGCCCAGAAGACTCATTCGAGATTCGAGTTTCCAATACGAGATTCGAAATTCGAAATTCAAAATTCGAGATTCGAGATTCAAGATCCAGACTAACCAATCAAAAGCGGTTTCAATATTTTTAATTTGATTACTCCCCTTTATTATGTTTTTACTATCAAGAAATCGTTTAATATATTTATAACAAATGTGTCATTTGATTAAATAACAATGCAAGTAAGAGTATTATATATTTTCAAAGAAAATTTAAATAATTATTGGATTCTTAATCAGCTAGATATACCTTAATATATATGATAGATTCTTAAATATTAAATAGATTAATATACCAGGACTTTATATATATTTTTTGTATTGTCGACTACACTTAATTTTTTATGTATTTCCTCTATTAGGAAAACCACAGGTACTTGTAGATGTGACCCCCCCACCCCCCCTCGATATTCAACCCCAGGGCTTATTGCACATTTTGGACATTTTTTTCACAAAATATATCTATTACACTTATTCATCATGTGTACAATACGAAAAAATTGTAAAATCCCAAGAATAATCGCTTAACAAAAAAATACCCCACTTTACATTATAAGAGAGAAAGGTATGCAACTCCGGTTTGTTTACGTTGTACCCCCACTGGTATTTCTAGGTTTAAAACATGCATTTATTTTATTTCAACTTTAAATATCGATTCACACTGTCTATACATATGTTTCTGTCTTAGTCCATGCTATCGGACTGTCCCTGCATCTCGTAATAATCCCACATTTTCTCCTAAACAGCATTCTCTCTATTATTCTGGGGGTTTTACGCCAGCGATTTTTTCGTATTGTACACATGATGAATAAATGTAATAAATATAATTTGTAAAAAAAAAATGTCCAATAAGCCCTGTGGTTCAATATCAAGCGGGGGTGGGGGTGGGGGGGGAGGGGGGCTTGTCCACTAGTACCTGTGGTTTTCCTAATAGAGGAAATACATGTACATTAAATTTAGTTGACAATACAAAATATATATACTCCTGATATATGTAATCTATTTAATATTTAAGAATCTATAATATAAAATGAAATATATCTTGCTGATCAAAAATACAATTATTATTTAAATTTACTTCTAATATATATTACACTCTTTCTTGCATTGTAATTTAAACAAGTGACCCAATGGATATAAGTATATTAAATGATTTCTTGATAGTAACAACATAATAAAGGGAAGTAATCAAATGTTGAACCCGTTTTTGATTTGTTAGTTTGGATCTTGAATCTCGAAACTCGAATTCCGAATCTCGAATTTCGAATCTTGTGTTTGGAAACTCGAATCTCGAATGAGCCTTCTGGGATTTCGTACTTTTCCGTAGGATTTTAAATATAATACACCAAATTTTAATTGCAACTTTTGGGTATTGCGCCGCCTTCCTACACCAGACAATGAAATGTGTCTTTTAAATTGGACTAATTTCTGTAGTTACTCCATATTTGTCCATAAATTTATTAGATAGTGTTGGTTCAATCTAACTTTCATTAGTGTATGACATAAGGTTCCTAGAAAACAATTTTGGGAATTTTGGTACAACCCTCGTATATATGTCATCTTGCCACAAGGCAATGCAACCACAAACACTTTATTCGGCAATAAAAATTTAACTCATACTACCATATGTCTTTTGATAATGTATCCAACTCCAAATTACATGGATAACCATTTTCCCAGAATCGTACTCATTTACACTTTCAGAGAAAGTGCACTGGCAAACTGTTTATTACGATTGTCTTTTACTATAATTTATTTTAAAAAGCATGTCTTACATGCTTGGTTTTATATTCTTTTATCTCATTTAGTCAAATGCTTACTCATTTTTATCATACTGATTGTTGGGCTATTTTTCATACACCGAATTTTCCGTTATTTCGCATAACAAGGAGCACACAGCGGGTGTGACCGGTTGGCAAGGGATACTCAGTTTTTCTAGGCACCTGATCCCACTTCTGATATTTGGAGGTCCGTGTTTGCTCTCCTCCCATTCTGTAATGCTAAATGGACTTTTGAACTGGTATACTGTTCTTTATTTCAAATTATTTCATATCTGTAAACAGTGCCAGAACCCTAAATGTCGAGTGGAAAAGTCAAACCACACCATGTAATATTTTATGGAAAAGTATATGTAAATGAGCAACAAAGCTTAATAATAAAAATTAAAGTTTAACTTCACAATCGTCAACTTCTCTTACTTATGTTCTAATATACCTTTCTCACATGTACACATCGGATTTGTGTCTATTATGCAGTTGATTCGATACGCCAGAGCATGACCTATATATGTACGAACAGCTTCATAAAGGAGGCAAGGTATTGACAAACAACTTCATGAAACAAGGTTATCAACAGCATCGTTTTAAGTCCTCATTTGCAAGTTCTTACATAATACGATTATCACACCTGCAAATAGTCTATCATTATATCAAATTCTGACTGATATTTTGATACCTGGTGTAAGGCCATCATTTACACAAAGGATTGGTCTAGTACTGGCTTTTCCTGTTAGACCGGTTAAAACAAGGAGCTCAAACAGCATGTGACCGGTCAACAAGCGTACTTTTTCCTTTAAAAATCTTGCCGCAATAGACACCCCAAATTAGTTACTGCTTATGTTATTAAATATTTAAGCATTTCTCTTGATAAATCTTTTTTATTCTCTAAATTGTTTTGAATCAACATCGGAGCATTTTTTACATGATGGATATTAAAAGTTAGGAAATACAATTCTTACATAGTCATACACTTTCGTAGCTATAGTATATATATCTTGTTTCAAAGTCAATAAAACAAGCTTAGCATACCTACATGTTAAAAGAAATTAAATATATTGATATGACGAACAGTATTCAAGCTCAAAGGTACATAAAACAATACAAAATAGGAGCAGAACAAACACGGACCTCCAAAACATCGGAGGTGGGATCAGGTGCCATGGAGGAGTGAGCATCCCCTGCCGCCCGGTCGCATCCGCCGTGTGCTCCTTGTCATGATCGGGAAATACATGTAACGGGGAAATTTGTCATAAATTCAGTATATGAATAATGGACTAACAAATTGGTATGAAAAATGTCAGTCAGCAAGAATGTGGATTTGTTTCATGTGTGATTTATTTTAGACATTAGATACTGTTAAGTATTCTTAACGCCTATTGTTCAGGTCAACACAAACGGAGTCATCTCCTTCTTACGTACCGTTTCCACATTTACCCCGAGTCCATTCCCACTAGATGGCGACCGAAGGCTGGTTGCCATTTTCTGGGCTGATGTCGACACACGAAAAGGAGGGACTGTGTGGTATAGAGAGTCAACTGACCAATCAATACTGGACAGAGCAACAAACGAAGTCAGAACATACTTCCCACAGTTCTTCCGTTTTCAAGCCACTTGGGTCTTCCTAGCTACCTGGGATAATGTTGCATTTTACGGATGTTCTCCCTGTTCGAAGGTAATGATTTATCTCGCACTCATTCTCTCTCTAAACCTGTGTGGTTTTGATAATGCATTTACTGCTTTTTACATGTATCTACTTGACAGAAAAACACATTTCAAGAGATCCTTATTACCAATGGTCAGCACTCGTTTACTATTTTTAATTACGATCAAATTGAATGGACAACAGGAACAGCCAGCCAAGGAGATCCAAGAACTGGCCTTGGAGGAACACCAGCTCAGGTAATGTCAATATGTATACTGTAAAGTCACATATTTTGTGGGGTCATTTTTTTGTTGTTTAGGAAAAACTCGTGGGAGTTTCATTTTGTTTAAAAAGAACTTTTGAGAAGTAATATCTATGAACAATTACATTTCATGGTGGACATAAATTCGTCTCTTCATACCTCGAAAACCACGAAAATTACCCCCCCCCCCCCCTGTAAGTTAGTGACTTCACAGTAACCCTTTCTAAAAGAAAGTCAATGATTTATTTTATTTTATTTTTATTTTATTTTAAACTATACTTTATATGCAATAGGAAAAGCCTATAAATCAAAGTGGAGATTGGTGTAATGTGTAATTCTTATCCCGTTTCGGTACTTTTAGGTCGGTTTTAATGCTGGAGATGGCAAAGTGTTTTATGTTGTGAATGCATCTAGAACCCGAGACATTCTGCATGTAAACCACATGTCAAATATCGGAATACCTGGAAAATTCGCCTTCCGTATCGATGCTGCTGAGATTGGTAATGGTGGCTGTAATACACAAGGTACTGTATACTTTGTCATAAGGATAAAATGGAGATTATTAGAAATGAAGTTGTATTTCTTGTAAAATTTTATACGTTTTTACTCCACCTCTAATATAACAAAATTGGTGCTGATTGATTGCTTGTAATACAATTTAATCAATTTAATTGTATATTTAACGTATATTTTATACCCATCACGACGGAAACGCATCATCACTAGTTTTTTCTAAAACCTGAAGAATAAATATATTCATTTACCATTACTGTGTTTTTATATAAAGAAAGGTAGAACTAGTGTCATTTCTCATGTAATTCGGCTGAATCTTTGAAAAACTCTGTATATCCATTTGGTTAGATTTTGTTCTGATTTGAGTGTGTAGTTTTAAGTTTATATTTTGCAACGATCAGAGAAACAGTTGCTTCTATTTGAAATGATCGCAGAATTTGACAACGTCTTTGCAGATAACTCAACATCTTTTTATTTAGTTTCTTTAGTATACTATTATCATGTATATGTATGAAGGCATGCTGCAGGAAAAAATATATTTACTTCCAAATGATTAGTTGTAGAATATCACAAGTATTTATGCTCAGAAGGTAGCCTATGTCTTGTCTTTAAATATTAAATGGAAAGAAAAGTATTTGTCACTAGGTCCAATCCCTAACCGTAATATCAACTGTTGATCAAAAATTTGCCGAGTTAATTAAATAAAATGTGGCGAGAATTCATGTAAACAAATAAAAGTAATATAGAAGAAAAAAAAATTGCATCGCGAAATCCAGTATAATATATATTGAATTAAAAATGAAGAACATGGTATTTATGTAATTTTTTTTCATAATAAAAAAGAACAGTGTTTTGAAATCCCGATCAATCTTTCCTCTGTCTTCCTAAACAAAAGTGATACAATAGTTCAACAAAACACAAAAACTTTGAAATATAATTTTGTTTATATCGAAAGTTCGTATTTTAATTCTACTTGTAATTCGAAAAGTGCTGCTGCAGGAATATATGAATTCATGAAAATCCTTCAATTGATGTGCACATGTACCAAATGTTTAAACTTTGTTATAGGTTTGTGCAAAAAAGTTAAATTGATATTTCCAATTGAAAGTAAGACTCTATATAGCAGGGGTTTTTTTTCACGAGCCAGAAAATTAATTTGCATAATTATTTTTTTCAAAAGAACAGAAATATTTCCAGGATAATGCAGAACTTTTTATTTTTTTTTCATTCAGGTATTTTTTCCCATCAGACTTCATTTGATGACGTCTTAATGTAGTGGCGTCTATAAAGTCGGGAAAAAAGTAAATCTTTGATCCATGTCTTTTTAGTTTTATCAAAATTACATTTTACAAAAAAAGTAGTGAATTTACCGAATAATGATTCATGTACTTCCTTAATTGACATACCTGCGTTGCGGAGGAATAAGAATCTATTCAAATTAATATCAAAAATTTTCTCTTAGGGCGCCAAAAAGTTCTGTTTTGTTAAGAAAGTTCAAAAGGTGTATTTCATTTTATCATGTGAATTGTGGAATGTATGGCATATCAAAACATGTAGCAAAAATTATTACTTTACAAATAAATTTGAAGTAATGTGATTAGATAAATGTTACCGGTATATCAGAACAGAGAAGACAAATTAGCCCAATATCTAGTTTCCACGAATCTGATTCACAGATTACATAAGGTGTTTAAATTTTTTTAAAGATCGTTCATTCATGTTACATACGAAGCGATAATGCAGTATTACATAACTTTTTTATAATAAATTTTCACCCAAGGTATATGTACATTGATTTGAAGATTTGAAAACTGGGTCTCACGGTTGCAATCGTTTCTGATAACATTTACATAATACCCAATTGCAATTTTTTTCATTTTTATTAGACCTGTCATCTTTAAATTTCTGATCAAAGATAAATTATATCTTTTTTATTAAATCAATTAGAATATTATATTCACCACATCTTTTTACCTGTACATGTAATCTTTAAGAAAAAATTGTTTACTATGTTTATTTAAAGCTGATTAAGAGTAGTAAATAGGCACTCGCCATTTTCGATACAACTATCTACTTTGTTAGCATAAGGGTATACCCTTTGCATTCGTTACACCTGACAGCTTTATTGTCACGAGCATCGGCGTGGATTGGTGACCCGTGTTTGTGCTTGTTATCTTGCATTACCTTTGATTACATTTTATTGCAGTTACGTGTATGAATTGTGTTTGTATACTACAAAATACTGTGCAACTATTGTAAGTTTCTTTGGTATCTTATTCCCTGCATTAGAAAACTATACAGTTATTTTTGTCGCTACTGAGTGCTGTGAAGCATACGTCCCTCTACACCGGTAACGACTGATTACACTGAACAGCGAGAAAGTCAGCCGCTTTATATAGGGGTTCTCAGATGTAGCGAGAGTCCGATCAAAAATGGCGGACACATTCTTTTTACGAGTTGTGTTCAGCTTTAAGGAACACCTCTCTAGTTTTTTGATGATCTGAATAAATATAGACCACATATTTATATGATTTCGTTTTGAATTTGATTTTTTTTTTTTACATAAACACAGGCAGTCTGCTGATTTCCCCACGTCATGGCCCTATGCTTGGAGGACAATATCTGGTGATTAGTGGTCCATGCATGAACCTCGATGATGTCATTCAGATTAAGTACTCTTATATGCAAGAGTTATTTCCTTGCCATCGAAAATCAAATTACAGTTCCATTTGTATCACTCCAATATTTAACATTACTGGTGACATCACGGTCAACGTCATCATTAGAGACAACAAGGGACAGGAACAACACCACACAGGACTCTATACGATAGGTACTACTAAAAACCTTTTTAATTCTGATTTATGTTGCTCTGCGCACAATATAAACCTTTTTTTCATAAAAGGAAACATGTATGTCTTTTGAAAAAGGGAAACAAAACATGATTTTATTTAAGCACGGTTAAAAATACTTACAACATACATATAAAAAGTAAATTATTCCTATGTATGAATGCATATAAATATTTGTTAATACGGGTTATTATCTTAACTTTTACTTTTGCATCTACATGCAGGCACTTTTAGCTTTCGCAGTATATGAATAGAATTGCTTTTATACAAGTAGTACAATGTAGAATCCTTATACATGTACATGTACAAGTGTATGAAATTCCAGCTTTGTTAAGCAAAATAATTATTCTTTCCTGAGGAAACATTTGACACAGATATATTCCTATTGTGATCCTTAGTAAATCCAGCTGTGTTTAAGAATCCTGTAAAGAGACACCAGCCTCAAAATTGGATCAATGACCATCAACATGTTATTTCCTGGGACCCGTTTGCGTTTGAATTAAGAGAATCTGAACGAGTTCACATACATTTGTTTACAATAAAGGTAAATCTGATATTTACGAATATTTAATTATGTTTAGATATGTACAGTTAATGTATGTATGATCAACTATAGAAAATTGTCTTTGATAATATTTTGATTGCAATTGAATTTCAGGAACAGTCTAACAATCAGCTTGTGTGGGAGAAATCCACATTGCATGATAACATAGCGAGAACTCTTGGAACCTATACCATTCAGCTTCAAACAGAAGGGTATATGGCAGCAATCCGTGTCACTGCTGCAATGGAAACGGACACTGACCTGTAATTGTATATTTCATAAATTAATTACCCCCTGGTATTTCTCATTTTCTACATTTAAAATTAATAGGATCATTATTTATACACATTTCACAATATGTTACAAAAATATAAATATGAAGATAATGAACTGTATCCAAAGTCAAAGACCATTTAAAGAAATCGGACGCAGAGCAAACACGAATCTCCAAAAACATCAGACGTGGGACTCGTGACATAAATAAGTGAACATGCCCAGCCAACCTGTCACACCCGCTGTATTGGGAAAAATGTAAAAATCCGCGGACAATTCCATCGGTAAATAAGGATTTAACAATTAGTATGAAACACATCAGTCAATATTCGACTCAAAGATCTGTATTTGCTGATAAGGTAATTGTACCGAGCATAGAACTCGCAAAATGATGACCTTAAACGAGACTGTTGATATTCTTCTTTCATCAGCTTGTTTTTCTATAGCTTGAATGATTTAGAAATTGTTCATATGTACATGTAAAGGATGCTCTAGCCTATCGAATAAACTTTATGATACCCATATATAAATAAAGATTTTTACCTCAGAAGCATTTTGCCTAATTCTTAAACATTTTTACCAAAATGCACTTTATTTGGATTGGTTTTTGTTTTATCTGTACTGTAATCCTAATGAATTTTTTAGCATAATTTTACATCTGCTTTTTTGTTCCAGGTCAGAAAGAGGAATTTGGTCAGAAATCTTTGCAGTTGTTCCACAGCACCAAAAATCACAGCGGTTCTGTCAAAACTGGCTGAGACATGAGTATCATCTTTCAAGGGTATCTTCGCAAAATATTCCACCCTGTCCTTGCACACTACAACAGGCTTTGATGGACACGGCTCGGTACCAACCTGATCCCGACTGTAATATGGTAACAAAGATCAGGGATGGTAACTTCAATTGCCTGTACAGAGCAGATGCAAAGCACTGTGTTCGACTCAGCGTTCCTGGGTACACTAATCTAAAAATTTGAAAAGATGTTTCATTCAATATCGCAGCATTATTTCACTATCAGTTATAGATGTTCATGTTGAATTGTAAGATTTGCATATCAGATATTCAAGTCAACTCTTTTGATATTATTCATCGTATTAAAGAACCTAGCATTTTATTCTTAAAGCGCGTCAATGCCACTTACTCAACCTCTCACCATCTTATTTGTCGAGTCGACATACATATTAACGATAAAACGTCATTTTTTGATTTGATGTTAATTTATTATAAGTAGAACTTATATCCTTACAGGTCAATATAATGGTCAATATCAACATAATTAACTTAACTATGATGTCATATCTAGATGACATTCGAGGTTATTACTGTAATGATTATTATACGGTCTATTTTAACATAAACACATTTTCATTCTAAATTTGAAAAAGAAAAATAGAAGGTCTATTTAGAGAAAACGAACAGACAAGTTGACATGTAATGTAACATCCGACAATTGGCAACGACAGCTCTTTTTTTACCTATATTTTAAAAATGAATTCAGTTTGATGAGGTTTCTCATACAATCAGGTATTTTATCTGTAGACCTCGGAACAGCGACAATGTGTGTTGCTACGACTTCAGCGGCAATCTGATCGACACCCGTGTAAAGGAAGGCGGTTCTCTACAACGTTACCACTACTTAGGAGGAGAGAGAAATATTCCCTATGTTAGCAACTTCTACTATGATGTGCTCCCTTTCCTCCACTGCTGTAGATATTATGGTACCAGCTCAGATGTTGGACTGGGTGGACACTCTCTTTATTCAGAATGCCAAGATTATTTAGAGTTTAGAAAAGTTAGTTCCTGTTACAACTACATCCCGCCACGTCCAGGTAATTTTATTTAACTTGAAACAAAGGCAAAAACAAAATATTTCAAGCCAATTTGAGAATGATATTTGTTTGTCCTCTCTCGACTTGGTCTGAAAATATTTTCTCCCGTAAAATTTCAATTTCAATGCTATTTTTTAATTCCATTTTCCAGAGTATATAAAAAATAATTGCTTCCTTGAGGTTAAAAAAGTTTTTTTGAGTCGGGTCATTTTTAGGCAGTCGGCAACCAAACATTTTTTTTAAAGACGGTCTCAAGCTAAACTTTTTCTAACGTTTATGTACATGTTTTTGTTTGATGATTTTCAATCTGTTAGAGCAAAGAAAAAATAAGTTTTTATAAAGTTTAAACAGTTTTAAGGGTAAGACCGTCTCACTGCAGACCGTAATAATCAATTTCGCAAAAACCTTAAGTCAAAGAAAAGAAAAATGACATCTCTGATTAAATTTTGTTTCTTTGGGTTTTTTTCTTTACATTAATACTGTAAAATCACATATTTTCAAGGGGTCAATTTTCATGGGTTTGAGGAAAACATAATTATGCATTTGCAGGGATTTCATTTAGTGGATGAAGATTTTTTGAGTAGTTATATCTGTGAAAATTAAATTTCATGGTGGTAAATTCGTGGGTCTCTACATATCTCCTCGAAAACCATGAAAATTAAACCCCCAAAATTAGTGATTTCTCCGTATTCACCACTATAAATTGAAAGTAAAAAGACTAATTAAGGTAGTATAAAGGTTAAGATCAGAATTCAAGCTGAGAAGTCCGTTCAAACGATACAAATTAGGAGCAAACATACACCTCTAATACATCAGAGGTGGGATCAGGTGCCATAGAAGAGTGGGCATCCTCTTGCAAATAATATTGAGTCAAATGCTGACTGACGTTTTTCATACCGATTGTTAGTCCATTGTTTGTGCGCTGGGTTGGCGGCGGATTTTCCCCGTTGTTTCCTGATCGTGGCAGGGGGCGCGCGGCGGGTGTGGCCGGTGTCGGCGGGGGATGCTCACTCCTCCATGGCATCTGGTCCCACCTATGATGTTTTTGGGGTCCGTGTTTGCTCTGCTCTTATTTTGTATTGTTTTATGGACTTTGAGATTGTATACTTGAGACAAGACAAATTATATCCTTCTCTTCCGACCGATCACACCAGTTGTGTGGTTTTTTGTTATGATCGGAATTAAACAGAAAAATCCTTAGACACTTAATTATGTAAATAGTGGACTAACAATTAGTATGAAAATGCTCGTCAGCATTGATTTTAATGGTTGGTTGTATTTGCCAAAAAGATCATTGTGTCCACCAAAGAGATTGCGAAACGTTGATTTTAGACGAGATAAATGATATTCTTCTTTTAACAACTTGTTTTTCAAAAACATACATTTTTAGAAACTCTCTTTATTAGAATTTTAGAAATTGTTAGTACGCAGGACATGTCGTTGCATATTAAATTAACATCCATTTTTGTTTGTATCATCTGTCCAAGTTGAAATATTTACGGCTTTTAAAAAAAATAAAAAAAAATAACACAAAGTACATAAAAAAGTATATATATATATTTACATTTTTTTTTAGCCGGTGCCAATGGTGATCCCCACATAAAAACTTTGGATGGATTTGGCTACAACTTCAACGGGCTTGGAGAATTTCATTTCATTATATCTAAGAATATGTCATTTGAGAGCCAAATCAGATTTGAACAGGCAAAGCATAGTAATGGTAAGATAACAATAAAACTACAATTGTCAGAATTCTTTGATAAAAATTGTTACTGTAATTTTCATCGTGCATATTTTAGGCAATACAGTCAACGCCAGCGTCTGCACGTCTTTTGTGGCTCGTGTTACAAATGCATCTGATACAGTAGAAGTGATTCTGAATTCTATCAGAGTGGCGGATGTCCTTATCAACGGGCAGATACAGGACTTTAGTGACGTGTCCTGGTTGAGATATGATGGTACGTCCATCCAAACACTTACCTCCTCTACCTTTGCACTTTTTTATCAAATGAACCCCTTTATCAGATATACCTATCAACAAATAGTATATCTATCATAACCCCCTGTTGTTTTTTGCAATAGTGACATGCATAGATTGACAAGTTGGTGATTATATCTTTCTCTGATATTAGATTATTAGATTATTATATGTTACATATGTTACATAAAGTATTATAACAAAAAATGTGTTCTCATATACATAAATGGCATAACAAAAATTAAAACAAAACATGAAGACCAAGAAAAAAAACAATAAGTCTCGACGTTCATATGATAAATATGAATATTTTGAAATTTTTGTAGGTGTATCAAAAGTTTACATAAGACATCTATAAACACTTTGACAAGTTATGGAAATCCTACGTGATGTTTGCTGATGTGGGATATCCTTAAGAATTTTGGCAAGCCTATATATTTCTACTTAATGTCATGCCAATCATTGCCAATGATTCATACCCCAGGTACATGTAAAATTAGATTATTTATATAATAAAACTACATGTAGGCCTATATTTATTGTTTGTTAACAATGTCGAATCACATACCAAAATTAAAATGTAGCTATTGAAAACATTTTTAAAATGTTCCTTCCTAGGGTATGTTAAGTTAATTCGAAATGTTATCTTTTCTGTGCTAAAGATTAATTCCATTATTTTACCTGGCAACAAATTGTAAGTCGTCTGTTTATCATAAACTATTATGTTTATTGTTAATTTAATATCAATTCAAATTGTCTTTTAATATTCAAAACAATAAAACCTGGGCTGTCTGATTATCTTTAATGCAAATAGAACTCGAAAAGGTTTAAGATGCTATCGATTAATTACAAATTTACTTAATTTAATATTTAATTAAAATCACTCTGAATCTCAACGGCAAACTGATCGTTTTGATATATATATATATATATATATATATATATATATATATATATATATATATATATATATATATATATATATATATATATATATATAAAATTTGCTCCTTGTCATAAATGGGTTAACAGAAAAATCTGAAAACCATTCAGTGTGAAAATATAAAGATAACAACTTGTGTGAATAAAGCGGTCAATAGTTTACGCAACGACAGATTGTATTTAAAAACTAAATGTACTGTGAGAACTGACCTCACTTTAAAATGATATACAGTGTGCCTCCCACCTCCCATTTCGTTATAATGGCAAAGTGCATGTTTTCCTCTGGAAGACCCGAAATAAGTGTTAAATTCAAAAAGTGAAATAAGAGCTAGGTGCACATATGTAATTTTAAAAAAAACTGTGAAAGTGTCATTAAATTGTTATTCGATGGTAAAGGAGGAACTGTGGATAAGAAATGGGTACCCTTCAATATTATAGAAAGAATGGCAGTATATCCATGTTTTGCACTGGGATACCCAGAATATATGTCCGATCAAAAAGTAAAATAGGAGTTGCAAAATGGCACTATGTACAGTTACTGTAATAGAGATCTGTTTCAATTTCATTCAGTGGTATAAGAGAAGTTGTGGATAACAGATGGGTACACCAACTGTAACAGTGTACTTACCATAGAATTTTCAAAATGTTGGTTTCAGTGAAAATGCTGATCAAGGAGGAAACGGAGTACGGACCTGTAAAGATGGAATTCTTATAGTCCTCCACAGCACCTGACCCTATCACTGATGTTTTAAGCTCTCCTTTTTAAGCGCTAAGCGCAGCGCAAAGCGCTTTCTGTCAGCGTAAATCTACTTCCATTCGCGAACCAGCGCCACTATAAGCAAGTTAGATAACTCCTCTTGTTATTCTGAAAATATTCAACAGGAAATCCCTGACTCTCTTCCTGCTATTTTAGTGTACTGCTGCGTTACGTGTATTTCTAATAATAGGAAGCAATTAGTAAGGTAAAGGGATATTTCACAGTTAGTAGATAAAAGCAGTTCTTATGCTCTTCTCTACACATTGTAGTTACTTTAATTCATGTCGGCACACATTACTTTTGTATCATGTAGGTAATAATTGCTGCATCTACTGCGCAAATACTTAATTAAAAGCAGTATATTATTAATCATGTACATGTAATATAGTGATTGAATAAGTACACAATTTAAAACTCAGATGGGATTTTAATAATTAAGTTTTATACAGCTGTAACTCTCAAACTGGAAGTGAGATATTAGCATGCTGAGATCTATCTGTGAAGTTGATTTTTGCATCTACGTATCAATTAGTAACAGACTGCAATGCATTCATGGACTGTCTTTTTAATGTCTTTACTTGTGTTGTACTCTATACTTGTATCATATGAGTAAAACATATTATGTAAATAATTCGAAAGGAAAAGCAGTTTCTGTGGTTGTACAGACATGTAGGGTATGTGGTGGTTGTTTTTTCAACGATTCCATTCAAACAGTAAAACTTATTTCTCGGAATATTGTGCTTTAAAATTGTGTATGTAGTGTACAGGATATGGCGAAAAATGCTAAAACCTTAATTAAGGTATACCTTTACTCAGAGGACTAAAACTTTCACTGATAAGAACGAGAAACCACCTTTGGCATATTGTACAACTATGATTCTTGTGTTAAATTTCAATTTCAAATAACTAGGTCAATGGCCTACTTTACATGCTAGTGGCCCCTGAGTATTTCTCGGAAAATACCTCAAATTTACACACTATGACCAATATTTTCTTTATTAACAAAATATTAGAAGCAACACAACTCTTTGAATAATGAAATATTATAGCAATGGAACAGCGTTGCTTCATATAAAGAAACAATTAGAGTTTAGGTCATAAACTTAATAATTATTATAGTCAGAATTTCCTCTTTTATATTTATATTTTTCGCCGTTTTAAATCGAATATTTAAAAAATCTGAATGATAAAAACTCTAAGCCTATAGCCTCAGGTTACATTTGTTGCATTAATTCTCATGGTATTAACATTATATGAGGTCAATGATCACATTATTGAGATATGTTGTCAGGAGTGTTTTTTGTTCATATTTTTGAATTTCTTTATTTCATAGCAATCAATTATTTGAATTAATTTATGAGGTTAAACACATATAATATTTGCAAAATGTTGTTTAAAATTATATGTAACCTTTACATTGTAATTAATATTGCAAAAAATAAAAAATTCTGACAAAAATGACAAATTAAAAATTTAGTCCGAATTTCCTCTGCTCTACCATACATTGATTTTTGTTCCTGTTTATTTTCTTCAAATAATAAAATATTATTTTTTTTTATTTGATATTGAATTAAATCTTGGTTTTGTTATCCATTTTGAACAATTTTTGATTTAACATATTATACTTTTTAAAATTTCCTTTCTGTTTTCTCAAACCTGAGTACAAACGTCATCCTTAACGTTCTTAGCAATGGGCAGGAATAGGGTTAATGTAATGTTAAGCAACAGTTTAATACTTGAAGTAGGAAAATATAAGGAAGAAATAGTTTATGTAAAAATGTGCTTAAGCTGTGTTGCCGATTCTTAATGAAGACTAAATGAAAACAGAATAAAACTAGAGGTTGAGCAGTGAGCCCACTAAATGATACCCCCCGCCTCCCATAATGTCCATGTTTTGCTATTGTTTTACGGTAATGTGTAAAGAGGAATAACTCGTCTTATCAAAAGTTCTATATGTGACGTCATAGGTAAGAATATAATGGCAATGTCCATGTTTTGCAATGGGAAACCTAAAATACGTGTCGAATAAAAAAGTAAAATAGGAGGTGCACAATAGCAATATGTAATCATTAAATTTCACTCAGTAGTATAAGAGGAGTTGCGGATAAGAGATGGGTACAACAAAGCGTAACAGACGGACGTACGGAAATAACTTAATACTTGCATATATTTTCTTTCTTGGTCTCTTGATCGAATTAGTTATCATTGAAAAAGCAGAAAAATAATGAGCAATTATTTTCCGTATTCCTTTTCAACTAGCACAACCATGCCGTAGATGTTTTTCCTCTCAGCATGTTATGCATAGTAGAAGATCATACATACAAGTAAAGAATGATATAAAGCATCAAGCGTCCGTAAAAAAATATTGAAGCATTTTAAATTATTTTAACAATAGTCAAAAATGCTTGGGGGGAGGGGGGAGGGATAATGAATTTTTTTATTCCAAAGAAGAAAAGAGTAAAAAAAATTTACAAATGAGTAAAACATGTTGTGATATCAACACAAATGTTACTGCAAATACGCCATAAATCATGTATTTGAGAATCAGAGATAAAAGGATAGCGTCGAAATATTAGTATAATGTTTTATACTCAAATATTTATTTACCTATTTAATGTATCTGACAAAAAGGGCGTTAATTCTAGGATGCTCATTCCATCTACATAGAGTTTTGTCACATGACGATGTTACAAACATGATGCCAATCTTCAGTTTGAAACACTCGTAAACGCAGAATGAATTTGTGATTTAAAATGATCACCAGAGGATTTTAGCTTTCAGTGTTGCACACAAATGAGAGGAATGAGTGTTCAAATTTATTTCAAAATATACATTTTCCAGCAATTGTATCGCTACATTTAAACTCTAAATTTCATCGGAAAACTCGATTACCATCTCCCTTCCAATAAATAGCAATTTATACGCAAATATTACCTCGAATAGATTCCTACAAAGCGATGGGGAAAGAAAATATTTTTACACGGAGAATTATCTTCTTGCAGTTTCATGTATGTTATATTGAAAGATTTTTTGACAGAAGAAAAAAAAGACATAAGACAATGCTGAATTTCATTATCCAATGGGAAGTTTTCAGGACTAACATATTTGATTATGTACCAAACAACTGTGCTCCCCAAGCGCTGTCGCACTGTCAAGATATCGCTTAAAATTCAATACAACAGGAAATTTAAATTCAAAATAATTCTGATGAATTTCAAATCAATATGCTTAGCGCTTCCCAGTACTTTCAGTACTTTGATTTTGCTCTGCTTTTACTTTTTATTGTTCCAATATAATATACAAGTATCTTTGTACTGTAAATAGGTACAATAAATGGACTTCTTGGGGATTTCGATGGAAACCCATCTAACGACCTACTCTTACCAAATGGTACCGTTTTAGAACCAAACGCAACGGAGGAAACAATTTTCTTTTCTTTTAATAATGCATGTGAGTATTCAATTTGATTTGACATAAATGCATAAGAATACTATAGCTAATAAAATTGTAAACATTGTTGTTGTTACGATAATTCTGTTTATAACTTTTTTCTTTTTTAAGGGAGAATCGAGAGGAATGAATCTTTGTTCACATATCCCAACGGAAAATCATACGACGATTATAATAACTATTTCGTTAGAATGTTTCGTCCAGTATTTTCGTCATCTGTTATTCATTCTGCTACACCAAATGCTAGAGCTCTATGCGGCAACAACACAGACTGTCTGTTTGACTTCCACATTACTGGATCCCTGGAGATCGCACAGGCCACCCTAAACTTCACAGACGAACTACAAGATGCAGAAGATGCATCTGTGCCAGGTAGATAAGTGATTTATATGAAGGGGGTTCAGATGATTGTACATATAACAGCGGTAGGCATGCCTGTTATTCACATTTTGGCATTATTGGCTTTTATCCAATTGCATAAAGGTAATTTCAGAGGTCTTAGAGAGGAAAATGTTTATTCGCTGTATATATGATACTATTAAGACTTTTTATTACTGATCATTATATTTTAAATAACATATTTGCGTGGATAGGTAGAATTGTGCATGTTGTAGCTTTTAAAATCTAGAAGAAAAATATTTATAATTTCAGTGATCACGTGCCCGGTTCTTGAATCTATAAAAGGCGGGGTTTGGATATCAAACAGTACACAAGAAAATGCTACAGCCAGGTTCAAATGTGGAATGGACTACTTACTTATAGGGAATTGTCTACCAAAAACGTGTAAAAATGGAAAATGGACCCATGAACAGAAATGTCTATGTGAAAAAATAACCACCACGACACTGCCCTCCACTCCTCAAATGATAACTCCATACAGTACTGCTATGTTGAAGACGGTGTATGACACAGTCAAAATGATGTGGTACACTGTTGGTGGGGGTATTGTCATCATCATAATCATCGTCTTCATCACGTCCCTGTTAATTTGCTTTAAAATGAGGTAATAAACTTTATCATTATCGTATACTTAATCAGTAAAAGTACCAACTATGAAAAAGATTCATCTAAAAACTCATTACAAGAAACCGCACCATGAGCAGCGAATTATACTGCAATGTGTATTTTTATGATACGAGAACAATGTCTTTTGATGAAAATGATTTTGTTAATGATAAGATTCCTTAAAAGTTTTCCCGGTCAAGACAATTTTCAATGAAGGATATGGAGATAACGAACAGTATTCAATATCAAAGTCCATAAAACAATACAAAATAGGAGAAGAGCAAACACAGACCTTCAAAACATCAAAGGTGGGATCAGGTGCCATGGAGGAGTGAGCATCCCCTCGAGTTGGAGGCCACAGCAAGCAATTTCTTCTTTTCACGTATAAGATTTTGGCACAAAGTCTGCTTCATATGAATTCAATAAAAGGTCTGCTAATAAAGGAGCGCAATTGGTACCCATGGGAATTCCAATAGATTGTTGGAATATCTGGTCTCCAAAAACCACATAGATATTATCAATCTGAAAATCATGAATCTTTCTGATGTCAACTTCAGAGTATTTGTGTGTGCAATCAGAATGTGTTTTAACAAAATAATTTTGCAAATGACCAATGAACAGGTAAGTACATTTACGAGTTCCATTTTTATTGCAAGGAGCACACGGCAGATTTGATCAACAGGGAATGCTCACTCCTTTATGACACCTTATCACACCTTTGATGTTTCATTAAAAATAAAAGACGTGCATTTCAGTAGAAAATTAAGCTATACTAAGCATGACATTTTCATATCCTTTAAGTTCCCGCCCTGAAGAACAGAAAAGAATGAAAGCTTGGAAAAATCGACATGCTAATTAGGCTTTTCACTTCTAACTGGAAGAAATTACGCTTCTGTTGTACAACTCCTTCTATCATTGAGAAAATACCCTAAAGTTATTTTTAAAAAATAGTTATAAATTTAGAGCTACCTTTGCATTACTGTTGAGTATCCTTAGGCCTAACAAACAAAACAGTGATACCTTAAATACAATATTTGCATGGTTTCAGATCAGGAAGGGAGTATATGGAAACTAACAAGGGTACTCCATCTTATTCTGAGAGCTCTAATGGGTACAAGAGAAGAACTGGGAGACCCCCTAGACCACGTGGTAGCTTCTCCAGTCGTTCCGAGTTAAGTGGGCGGAGTTTGCCTCGTTACAGTGTCCATGACAACAGAGCATTCGGTTACATGGAAGCTGAGGATAGATACGTAGATGTCCCGCCACAAGAACACCGACGTCACGATGTTCTCTACTAGTCAGTGGACACGGAGATTGACTTGTTATGTTACCAGTCCACTACTCTATAGCTCATAGCAATCATTCAAAATTTTTAAAATTATGTACATTTACATATTTCCGAAATAATGAAAAATTGGAAGATTTTACATGTGCTTTAGATATCTATAATGCGCCTGATGGACATTTTATTTATTCAAAACAAGTAATTCAAAGTTTTTAAACTTTCACAATGAATGCTAGGACTCATTGTATTACAAGACGTCAAGCACCCTGTACATGAGCTTTATCAACAACGCGACGAAAGGAATTGGGACCTGGAGAGTAAGTATTAAAAAGACTACCATACTAACATGTGTAGATTTTAACAATATAATAATATTTACATCCTCCGAATATTTTTTTCTTTATTTTCTATCAAGACCATTGCCATTTATCAGTGCATAAACGACATAAGCAAGCCAGGTGCAATGTTTTCTTAATAAAAAAAAAACTGCACTGTCTAACACTGTTGAAATTTCAATAATAAATTATTTAACATAGCATTACGGTCACCCAGTCTCCTAACAAACAGTACACATAGGCCTAGTGTCCGCAAGACCAACATTAGCCTTGGTCTACACACGTGCGGTGGAGCTGTCAAACGCATCCAGCGAGCTCGGAGAAACACGTTTTGTTTTGCCGAGAAGTTACGATGGCAGACAAAACTTTTCTTTTCTTAATTAGATCATATGAAAACGATATATATATATAAATCCCTGTTGAACTATATATAGTTTGTTTTTTGTATCTGCAACAACTTGTGTTTAAAATGGCCGGGTTAGGAAAATCAGGACCGGGTCGGAAAATTCTAAACTGAAAAACTTTTTTGTTTTGAAAATTACTGAAATATACTAATGTATTCGTCGCAGAAATTACTTACATTATTCAAGTTCTATATAAAATGGTATGCTGAACTTCAACACGAACCCGAATCTCCAACCCAGTTCTCGTTTTGCCACACATACCCTACAGTTTACAAAGTGTACACACGAGCAGAATCCGGCCAGGGATTGAAAATTCCGTCATTTAATAATACACACACACAGACAGATTAATTTTTTCTTGAAGAAGAAATTGTATGATAATTAACGGACTATAAACATATACTTAATACAATTGTTGATATAGTATTATCAATTCATCGGTGAAAAGATGAATAAAGAATGACCTAAATATTCTCTGTTATCAAACATGTAAAAAAAAAAAAAAGGCTGAGGAGGGAGCGAGCGTAGGAATAATATATTCGATCAGTGCATACTATTTATGCAAGATACTGTAAACCAACTATTATTCGCGTCATCATTTATTCGCGATTCGTCCGTTTGTAATCAATCCGCGACGATTAATTTACGCGACCGAGGAAACTTTTCCTTCAAATACTAAGGAAAATGATGATTCGCGGCGATTAATATTCGCGAGCTAAATTCGGTCGCGAAACTCGCGAATATTTCTCGCACGCGAATAAAAGTTGGTTTACAGTATATTACTGTATTCAGCGGCGGCTCACACAAATTGGTCCGACCAAAATAGTTCCATCATGATAAGTAGATACAACATTATTTTTCATGATAAGAGTAAAATTGTGTATGTCATACGTTAAAGAAATCAAAAATAACGTCAAAATATTATTAGAAAGTCACTTTCCCCCCGAAATGCAAATAAAGAAGAATAGATATGGGTTACCCCATATCCAAAGATATTAGACTTTTAGATTTAATATGTTTAACAGTGTTTATAATGACGTTAATAAAAAAACTGCATTGTCTAATTATGGAACTGTTGTAAATTTCGTGAGTCCATAGCATTACGGTCACCCAGTCTCCTAACAAACAGTACACATAGGCCTAGTGTCCGCAAGACCAACATTAGCCTTGGTCTACACACGTGCGATGGAGCTGTCAAACGCATCCAGCGAGCTCGGAGAAACACGTTTTGTTTTGCCGAGAAGTTACGATGGCAGACAAAACTTTTCTTTTCTTAATTAGATCATATGAATACGAATTCTGATTAATGAAAATCATACAATCCCTGTTGATCTATATATAGTTTGTTCTAACATTTGTATCTGCAACAACTTGTGTTTAAAATGGCCGGGTTAGGAAAATCAGGACCGGGTCGGAAAATTCTAAACTGAAAACCTTTTTTGTTTTGAAAATTACTGAAATATACTAATGTATTCGTCGCAGAAATTACTTACATTATTCAAGTTCTATATAAAATGGTATGCTGAACTTCAACACGAACCCGAATCTCCAACCCAGTTCTCGTTTTGCCACACATACCCTACAGTTTACAAAGTGTACACACGAGCAGAATCCGGCCAGGGATTGAAAATTCCGTCATTTAATAATACACACACACAGACAGATTAATTTTTTCTTGAAGAAGAAATTGTATGATAATTAACGGACTATAACCATGTACTTAATACACTGTAAAAAATGCGCTTAGAAAATAAATACTTCCATTACGTGTTTTGACCTAAACATGTATAAGATTGTGTTTAACAGCTAAACACTTAGGTCTAAACGTGTGTTAGATTGTGTTTAACGGCTAAACACTTATGTCTAAACATGTGTTATATCTAAATGATGTTAAGATTTAACACATGTTTAGATATAAGTGTTTAGAAATTGAACACTTTTCTGTGAAGTGCAGAGTTATCTTTCCGGAAATGACGCATATATATTCGAATGATAAATAGAGCGGTTATCGAAACAAAGGAAATCCCAATGTTACTAAAGAAGATGGATTAAAGGAAGTGAATGCTAATCAAAGTGATAACCATGAAGAGATTGTGAAATGCATTGAAACTGCAACATTACTGCGATAAAAGGTATGTTAACTATTATTTTCATTTTACATAAATTGACCATGATGGGCTACGTAAATAGACATGCGTTTCCACATGTAGCTGTAGATCAAGATTACCTTCGGTTATATATTTTGTATTCCTGAAATCTAGAAAGGAGTACACTATATAAAATATCAATAATATCTATAACAGTATCAATACTAAATAGTGGTTATATAGACGAGGTTCAATAAAAGTAGCACAATAATAGCTATCAAACATGTAAAAAAAAAAAGATTCATACAAATCCAGCCATTGAAAAGCATATTTTGATAAAATTTGAATTTCTTTCTTACAGGATATGGTCCACATCGAACTTGAAAGCAAAAATACATGTATCAGAGAAACTGTTGCCATCTCCAAGTCCACAATGACATGCCATCGTTCTTACATTTTCAACACTTCTTACTTTCTAGGGGAAACTGAGTTTTGTGAAGTCTGCTGTTCGTTATAGCTTTGAACAACCTAAAAGTATTCTCAAATAACGACAGTGGATTACCTACTGACGGTCACAGATGAAAACAAATTATGCGTGTGTTGCTCAGTGAAAAATTGCTGGAAGTTAAACTTGATACAGACATGAGAAATAACTGCTTGCTAATCTGGTTAGAATTAAAACCAGCGTGTAAAAATTTAATGTATATTTAATTTAAAATTCTTTATAAATAATCCCTGTTTGAATGTTCATTGAATAAAACTCAAAATGTAAACAATTGTTATTTTTTCAGCTTTCTTGCAGGAAGACAACGAAAACATCCAAGTGTTTAATTTGTAAACATGTATCATAACATGTTTTGTAAAGTGTTTAAGGTCTAAACATGTAAGTGTTTAGGGTCTAAACACTTTCCGTTACACGTAATGAAATTAAATGTGTTTAGAATTTCAACGCATCAAAAAAAGTGTGACAAGAAAGTGCTTAGGAAAGTGTCTATCATCTAAACACATTTTTTACAGTGTACAATTGTTGATATAGTATTATCAATTCATCGGTGAAAAGATATGAATCGAAGAATGACCTAAATATTCTCTGTTATCAAACATGTAAAAAAAAAAAAGGCTGAGGAGGGAGCGAGCGTAGGAATATTGATATTTTTTATTTGCATTTCGGGGGGAAAGTGACTTTCTAATAATATTTTGACGTTATTTTTGATTTCTTTAACGTATGCCATACACAATTTTACTCTTATCATGAAAAATAATGTTGTATCTACTTATCATGATGGAACTATTTTGGTCGGACCAATTTGTGTGAGCCGCCGCTGAATACAGTAATATATCTTGCATAAATAGTATGCACTGATCGAATATATTAATAATATTTACATCCTCCATATATTTTTTTCTTTATTTTCTATCAAGACCATTGCCATTTATCAGTGCATAAACGACATAAGCAAGCCAGTTGCATTGTTTTCTTGAACAGAGGCTGTTCCATCCATTATGCACACAATCATGACATATTCATCAATAATAAAATATTTAACGTTTAATTTTACTTTGAATGTTTTTTTCCATACAAATGTAAATATATACAATGAAATGTCTTTCTTTGTTATACTGCAAAAAAAAAAAAATACTTGTAAGCGGGTTATGTATTTTTTTCTGCAACAGCTGCGACATTCATTCTCGTACTAACAAAGAAAGAAAGCATTTTATCATTTTACATTATTTTAAAACTTGCATTTTAATTCCCTTAATTATCTCATAAACTTTTGAGCATCAATCCCAGCTACATCACCATGTTCAAAACAAGCCAAACGGGTCTCACGAGCACGAGTTCTCAACAGCTGCTCAAGTAGATAAAATTGCTAATCGTGGGCTCCCCACAGAATAAAGACCAGGATAGGGATATCTGAAGAGATAAATTTAGTTTATGTGCTCTTAAATGCGGGCAATCATGAACAACTCAGTTCGTATGTACATGTACCTGAAGCACATTTGCAGCTCTGTTCTGCAGCCATTAAAATGATAAAGCGAGTGTTTGTGAATAGAGCATTTATTACATTACAAATGCCAAATAAAATGAAAAATTTTACAATTTCAGAATGCAGCAGAAGGTGGGGTGCAAAAAATATCCCACACCTTCAACACAAGAAAATCAGTAATCTGAACAATAATAAAAATGTGCATGGAGGTTTGAAGGGGGGTGGAGGAGGGTAAAATTTTCAAACCACGTTTTTTGGAGCCAAGCGGAATTATGAATATGGGTTAGGCTAATAGCCGTAAATAGAGGGCGCTTGGAAACTATAACCCGGAAAAACCCCTCAAGACCCAAACATTCATACACATTATTAGTAAATCAAAATACAAAAACCTTTGAGCATTTAGATCCCATAAATTCCTTTATATACATAAATACACTTATTGCATAAATGTGTAGTTCTTCAAAGCCCATGTTAACACTTGTACCTGTTTACTCATTTGAAAACAACCTTTTGTTACTTTACATCAGCTATTCAACAAAATGTTTCATATGAAACAAGTTAATCTTAAAATCTCGTATGAAAGTTTTATGAATCTGAAAAACGGTTCATCAATAAAACAACCATTATTGTTGTTTTTATTCTAATCTTGCTTGCAAAGGATCACATAACTTTTAGAATTTTTTACGTCAGTTTATTTTCCAAAAATACAAAATTGTACACACCTCAAAATTGGCAGAACACAGCAGTATGGTTGCTAAGATTCATTTTAGGTAAGATAATAAATCCAACTACATGTACTCCCTTTGTTTATATTCTCAAATTATTTCCCATTGCCAAGGGCTTAATTTCCAATACAAATAAAAATCTTCCAAGATATGGGTTAATAATTATAAGAAATGCCTGAACCACGCCAATTCCAGGTATTATTATATAATAAAGATATTGCTATTAATTCAAAATGAGTTTACCGTTTTTGACAATCATTAATTTTTTTACTGTTGTCTTCAATAAATTATTTTTATATAAGAAATAAAATCCAAATCTTAAAAAAATAAAACAAAGTAGATAAATTGAACTTTAAGAAACACATGCTTCAAAATTTCTTTTAAAAAAAGCACTTCGAATAAAAATATACATGGTTGAAACTTTTTTCTTAAACCAGAGAATTGAAAACGTAAAATGTAAAGAATTCTGCAAAGAGAAATTGCATATCATGTACCTTTCTCATCAGCTGTTAAACTGTTAATCTGATTTTTACCTTATAATACCCTGTAGATCATGCATGCAAGAACTATAATAAGCACTAAATACATGTAGTATAATACTCGAGCACTAATTATTGAAATAATTATGAAAGACTAATAAATGACTAGACAATTTTAACTCAACTACACACGCAATACAACTAAGATAAAACTTTTTTTTTTTAAAAATGCATGATACTAAAATAATGCTAAATAACGTGAATAAGGGTAGTTACTTCTACTACTAAAGACAACTGTTGGAAGAAAAATGAAAACAAAAGACCCTTTCACATCACTGCAGAGAAAACAACGACATTACATAAAATGGATCTCTGATATGCTTCAATGGACTATGGAATACAAGAAGTAATGTTTAACATATTTATAATTAATGATCAATTTCTTACAATAAATATTCTTCAATATTCATACTTAATCAATTTTCATAATCAGAAAAAGTAATTATTCTTCAACTGGCTTAAATTAAAATGAAACTAATTCTGATAAAAGGTTTTCCTTTTTTTCAGCAAAGCATTTTTTCTTTGATATCAACTCTGAGCCTAATCTTTAACAGAATAATTTCACGAGACCTGATTTTGTAGGAGAGCATTCAGGATACGAATTCTGACAACAATTTTTTTTCACATAAAGTAACAAAACTGCATGTTTTCAAAAAATCATGATTGTATTCTAAAAAAAATATAAATTTCTATGCATGTCCTTCTTTCGGGTCTCTGCTGATGGAGTTAATAATGTTTACTTAATGGCCTTGTATCTCCACGTCTTCATATTCTTTTCCTTATTTACTTCATGGCCTCATATGCGTATCTCTGCATCATTATTTACTTCATGGCTTTGTATCTCTTCGTCCATATTAACATTTACTCCATGTCCTTATGGCTACATGTTCTTATTAATGTTTTACTTCATGGCCTCGTATCTCCGCGTCAGCCTCTTTGTGATTTCCTCAGACAGAACTTTCCACACTTTCCCGTGTTTCTCCATGTCCACCTTGTCGGGGTGATAATGGATGATAGCCTTCTGCAGCGTTTTCTTCACGGTACAATGATCGACGTAGGACCCTTTTTTCTTCACATTTCCCTCCAGCTTGTGGTCCTTATTCTTTGGAGGGAAGACTCTGTACACGTATCGGAGGAATTCCTGGCTGTCTTTTTCGTCTGCTTTCTCGATGTTCTTCATTTCTTTCTCTATGCCCTTTATGATCTCTTCTCGTTCTTTGTTCCACTTTTCCTCCTCGGCTGAAACGGTCTCTTTCTGGTAACGCTCAAGAATTTCTGCACAGTCCTTGAACCAGTCTAAAATAAGGATGAAGATTCTGATATGTGGTCACATCCTTTGGGGGAGAATTATAATCTTGTTTCAGAGGTAACAAAAAATTTCCAAAGCTACTAAATTCCTTTTTTTAAAACTCAAGTAAATATTATTGCTCAATAAATAAACTTATCTATGAAACATAAAAAATTTTGGTCATTTTGATTGTTCAATTATCATGTCCGTATGCAAATCATTAAGTTTTATTTATTAGCTCCATCATCCTTTATGAGAAATACGAGATAAACACAGACCCTCTGAGTTAAAGGTGCGTGGGTGCATGGAGTGGGCTAACTGCATGGATCTCATCAAATATTCTTTGGCTTTGTACTTGATTTTCAGGACTTTATCATACACCCTTCCCAGACGGCTGAGAGCCACAGCCTCCATCTCGACCTCTGTGACCTCACGCGTGCGAAGAACAGCCTGTTTGTACCAATCAATCACTTCATACACCATATCCATGTTCAGGGCCTCCTGATCCAATAACAGCCTCCCATACAACTGATCACCTGACAAATAAGTACAGATTAAGTAGATCAGAAATGTACTGTATCAACACAAATTTTCATGGGGATAAAATTTCCTTGATTTGCCATCTAAAATAGTTTCATGGGCATTTAATTTCATTGATTTGAAAGTAACCCTATTCAATATTTAGTCATATAAATTTTCATGTGGGATTTAATATCATTGATAATTCTTAACAACGAAATAAACAAAATGTTATCCCCCAAGAATATTTGTGCTTTTATAGTATATTTTGCAATCATCAATAAGAGGCCTAAAGGCCATACTGTTCTTTACCAGAATTCACCCCTGTAATACGTATTATGGCCCCATCCTACCTCCAGGGGTCAAGATTTGAACAATTTAGAATTAACATTACCTCATGATGCTTCCACATAAGTTTTAGCTTTTCTGTCCCAGTGCTTTTTGGGATGAGGATTTTTAAAAAAAATTTTCCCAATATATCTTAGAGTAAAACTTGGATTCGCTATTGTGACCCCACCCTATCTCAGGTGATCAGAGAAGCTCACTTGAGCTTTCAGCTCAAACTTTCAGCTCAGGAGAGTTAAAAAATAGCAATAGCATACATTTTTCTAAATACCAGATACCAAAGGGAAGTAATGCATCAATTACTATGATTTCATTCACAGATCTGCCTCTTCCATTTCAAATAAATTAATGAGTCTCGGTAATTGATAATTACCAACACTAATGGCCTGCAAGGATTCAGCCATGCACTGGTGCATGAAGACATCTTCCTCTAGGATTCGGACCTCTGCCTGCAGGTTAGCTTTATCTCCCTGGAGCCTCTTGGCCTCATTGATTGGCATATAGCAGTCTCTCATCTCATACAGCCCTAGAATGATCAAATCAATAGTTACTGAAATCTGCCAAGTTTATTCACCATATCAAAACATGCTTTTACTTTTGGTATTCCAAACAGTCTACCAATATTTGATATATTCACATAAGTTTAACTCTTTTCCCCCTGTTGCCACCATTTGACGCACTGGCCATTTCCCTATAGCATTTCTCTGGCTTCCCCCTGAAGCTTTTTTGACTGATTTAAGAAAACTACTAGTGCAAGTTTAATGGATTTATTTTGATATAAAACATCATCAGAACATCACATATTGCATATCAAAATGATCAGAAGACATTGAACTTTGAAAATTTTAGATTAGTGAATGTACAGAAGTCACCTGTATTTCATAACAGAAGTGAATTCAGGTAAATTTACCTGTAAAAAAGAAACTTTGTGTTTTTGCACTATTTACAACATGATTTCAAATCAAAACTTCTTATAACATATAAATAACATCTATAGCTACTATTTCTCAACAAATTTAAAGTCAATTGTTGGCTTAAAGGTAAATTTTTTACCTGAGAAACTACACGAGACAATGTTCATAATAATGAAAAATCCATAGTTGCCAACTCACCCGATTTCGTCGGGTTACACCCGATTTTTCGACCCTTAACCCGATTATTTTTTATGACCCGGCGGGTCATGCTTTTCACCCGATTTTTGCCGAACAACCCGAAAATCTCCCGATTTCCGGATTTGGTTTGTAAATTAGGTTGCACTTTTAACTTCCAGTTACAACCCAAGCTTGGATCTACGTAAACAATGCCGATGGCTATGCTCAGTGGGCCATTTACCAGTAAATTATGAGTGCAGGTGTAAACAATTAACTGGGAGTTGTTTTGACAAATCAAAGTTTGAAGTCAATTTAAAATGGCTTCCGATAGAAGTAGATCATTATCAGGGTCAGCAGGAACAAATTGAACCAAGAAAAAGAGAAGCAATATTTATGTACATATCAATTAAGGAATCTTGGAAAGCAACTTTCATACTATAAAATACAGTGATCGAAGATAGTGTAGACCTTCCTGTATATCTAAAACATATTAAACTTGTTATTTAATTAAATTAAATAAGAGATAGAAAAAATTACTTCAAAATCAAAACTGGAATACTTCCAAATTTAGCACAAATTAAAATGAAAAGGCTTTCTTTAAAAAAATAAAAAGCACACTTAATTCAGGTCAGTACTGAATTAAATAATGAAACCTTCAATGCTCTTTTTAACCTCTAAATTCAACATTTTAACATATATTAATTTTTTTGTCTTTGTAAGTTAAAGCCTTTTTTAAATAAAAGAATTCTCAATACACAAATACTTATATATATATAATAAAATATAATTTAATGATGGTGAATATGTCGTGAATGTCGTTACGCGTTAAGACCAGATTTTTTACTTTCCAAATCTGGTCATGACCAGATTTTTACATGTCAGAGGTTGGCAAGTATAAAAATCAATGATAAATAAATAAACTAGAGCCGAGCTCGTTGCAAAGCAACGAGTAGGTCTTCCGTCCTGTTTGACCGGGAGTGACTTTCATTTTAAAACAAAATGAGTAATGAAGTCCAAAAATAGTTTAATCCTCCAAATCTATGTCAATTATTGCAAAATTAAGCCATTCTTTAATACTTCCGGTTCAACCGGAAGTGACGACAACGGACGGAAAATTAATATTTAAGCTTCTGGTGACACGTTACCCAATAACCTGTCAAAAACGGCAAAAATATGCATTTTCTGACTACTTCCGGTTCGACCAAAAGTGACGTCGCCGGACGTAGTTTGACGACCCCATTAGATAAAGCTTGATATTTTGAACAACTTTGCTTCTTTGATGTATAACAAATTCTCAATACTTTTTGAGATATCTGGAAAAAAACTTTTGGCCCCTCTAGATCCCATAATTTAGGGGTCAGCCTTTTTTTCGACATATCAATTGAAACATCTTCTAATTCTACACAAATTATGTTCTATATATTTTAACAAAATATTTTTAGTTTAGAAGAAAAGTAAAATATGCGTAATTTTTGGCTCTTTTAAGCGTTCTAATTTTTGACCCCTATATAGCGCCATTTTGAATAGAGAAATCGAAAAACAAAAACCAATGTGCACAACTTCAATCCTTCTATTATCTAAAATCAGTAGAATTTCTGCTCCAGCTTTAGCCGTCTCTGAGCCTTTGTCTGGAAACGAAAGCCTATAAATTTTCCTTTAAAGGGAAATAACTCAAAACCGGAAGTGGCTTTTTCAAATTTTAGACAGACTTTTGATAGAGTTTATTAACGTCTATAACCTCTGAAAATTTGAGCAAAATCCGTTGAGAAATGAGCGAGATATGAGGCCTCAAAGTTGCGGTCTAGGAAGCAGAAGAAAAAAAAAAAGAATAATAATCTTTACCAACAGAATCAGTAGAAGGTCTTCCGTTGGAAACGGAAGACCTTAATAAGAATGAAGTTAAAAACTATCACATGCTATATATCACTGAGTTCAGAAAGTATCTAGTTATCTTTTTATCACATAATAATACAACAAATGCAATTAACATAAAGGTAAACTCAGGTAAATTTACCTGTGCACTATTACATTTAATTTTTGCACTAGTTGAAGGCACCAATTTTTTTTAACAACATTTTGGATATAATAAACTATAAAATTATGAGTTAACAGTTCTAACAAGATTAATTCAGCATCATAAATTAGTATACACCTGGCAGGATTTCATAAATATAAACGAACAGTTTTGATATATAAATAGAATTTCATATAAATAACAGCAAATAGACATAAATCATCTGAACTGAGATCAAATCATACAATGAGACTTTTAGTCACACAAAATATAAAATTGAATCACATTTTCTTGGCACTGTAGATACACTCAGTCACACAGGTAAAACAGGTAAGTTTCAGGTAAATTACCTGGTGTGAAGGGGATTCGCACTATTTAGCTCATGAATGTTTTGCACGAAAACAAGGCTGACACATGTGGAGATTGCAAACGGGACATCCTGTCACAACTTCTTTACGAACACCTTCCAGGTAGCAGTGTTTGCACCTTCGACGCTTGCCCTCCATACGCAACAGGGAATGTGGCATACGATTGTTCTCAACAGCCATTGGAGAAAGGGCCTCACGGACACACACTCTCTTCCTTGAACAGAATTTCCCCACCAAACCACGGCCAAGTTCGAGTACAAAGTCCAGATGAGTAAATCTCTTCTTCTTTATGGTCCCTGCAGATGATTCTTTGTACAGGAGGTACGAATTCACACGGCAACAGTCCCAAGATGAACCACAATATATACTTCCAGTATTTCTTGCTCGGACGGCCACACGCATACTTTTTACGCAGTTGATCGTGAATGTCCACTCCGTTCATGTAGGTGTTATAGTCCGAAATGGCCTTAGGCTGCGGAACCATCACACGCTCACGTCCTACCTGACGCTCACACCTGACAGGATCACTAGAGCTGTTGTTGTGCAGGATAAGAACAATGTTGTTGTCATTCCATGCAGTCAGCGTCAGATTGTCTTTCTCATAGGCAACAGAATTTCCTCGTTGTGGGATGTGTTGTCTCTTGATGACGGATTTCTTCTGTCGAAGTGTTTGCGAAAGATCTTTCCTGTTGGGATTTACAGTTCCACAGGTGTAAATGTCATCCTCAAACAGGTCATTTGCGAGTCGAACACTGGTGAAGAAGCGATCATGGTACACGTGGTGATTCATTCCCACTAAGTCTTCTTGTGAGGCTGTGCACAACACTATAACCCAGTCCATATTGCTCCTGTATTGGTGTCCTATCTCTTTTCCCAGTGTACAGTCGGAATTCACTCATATAGGAGGTGCGTCCATCACATCGGGCCCAGAACTTGATCCCAAATTTCTCTGGTTTGGCAGGCATGTATTGTCGAAGTTCTGTCCTACCTTTATACCCCTTCATGGCCTCATCTATGGAAATTTCCGCTGAATGTTGGTAGAACTTCTTGAAGTTGGCGTTTGCAATGTCGTAGAGTGGCTTCACACGGTTGATGGGGTGATAGTGGGGGTCGTTTCTCGGCTGACGGGCATCCTTCGCATTCAGATGAAGATACTGGGTTAGTTTGGCATACCTGTCTCTGGACATCACCATCTTGAATCCCGTAGAACTAAGAAAATCGTCATCCTTCCAATAATCCTCATACTGGTGACGTGGGGAAGCGCCCATCAAAACGTTCAGTCCAAGGTAGGCCCGAATTTCTTCACCGGAAATCTGGGTCCAAGTTCTGTCGCACTCCCCATTTTCACGCTGGCACAAGACTGCATAGGCATTCGTTTCCTCGGCGATTTTCTGGTAAAAGTCTTTGGGAATGAACAAACCCAAACTAGAACTGTCCAATAGGGACAAATACCCCCCCCTGGGTTTTTCAGAGTAGGTGCCAATTCAAAAATATTTTATGGATCTAGTAAGAGGTGTTCACTATTGTCTAATAAAGTGCCCCGCCACAGCATGATACCCCCATCAAATATTGTTCGATAATCATAAATTGGTTAGGGTGCAAGAAAATCAAGTAACCTTGATTAACAGATTGACACAGATTTCAATGATCTAATTTCCATTTCTTATCATGCTTAAAATATTGTACATACATCTCTAAGAGACTTACAGTGTAAGGATTAATTAAAACAAATAATACATCATATAATTCTAAACTGGCTGTGTTAGAGCTTAACAAATATCCATCTGCAGCTTTCAATTGTTTATTGCATATTTTATGAAATAATGGAAATGCTACAGTCTAATAAAAAAAATCAAAAATTAATTATTCTTTAGACTATAAAATTCTAAGTGAGACATGACTGCAATTTGTTGCAAATATATAAAAATTGAAATGTAATTTTTTTTTAATGAACACATGTATAATTAATTTTAATTATATTATTCAATACTAATTCAGTTTTAATCATACACTAAAACATCAATTTGTTTTAATTACATTACACCAATTGAAAGATCTTTATCTGAACTACAGCCATCAAGAACTCTTAATTAACAGAAGCAACTATAAGGCCATTTCTTTTTGCCCAACTCCCAAGAGATAAATTAAGATAACACAGCATGATGCTCTTATTAGTTAACTCCCGACAATGAACTCATTAATTTCTCTCTAATTTGACATGCACATTTCTGCTATCAAAATTTCTCCTTGACCAGTGCTTGATAATTATGCCCATGGGACAAACTGAATTCCTTTCAAAACATTAACATTTGTTACAGAATTTGCTGTAAAGTATATGATAAAAAATAAGTTTTTACTTAATTTAGCATTTTTTAATAAGGATACAACTATATTTTTACATTTTTTAGGATTATGAAATTTAAAATTTTAAAGACTTATTTTTTTTTTAAAAAATCACTTAAATTAAAGGTCACTGTGACCTTGAAATAGGTCGTGACACACCGTCTACCCAAGATGCATAAATTGTCCAAGTTTGATGATTGTAAGTCTAATAGTTTTCTAGTTATGAGCCAAACAAAATCACAAAATAAAAAAGAAAAAACGCCTGTAAAATGCAGAAAAATCATCCAATCATGATGAAAATCCCAGGTGCACACCTTCATATGGTGAATAATAAGTGTATAAATTTTCAGACAAATCCATCCAACAGTTTCTGAGAAACGGTCCGGACAAAATCTTGTCTACAGACAGCCGGACAGACGGACAGACAGACGGACATGGTGATTCCAATATACCCCCCTAAACTTCGTTTGCGGGGGTATAAATAATCCAAAGGCGTTGCCGTATCAACATGGAAATCATCAGGTAACTTGGGGCCTGCAGGCAATGCACACCTGGGGACACCGTCGTCGCCATTGTTGTTTGCCGGGTGGTTCCGATTATGGGCCCGCCAGTCTCTCCCGTCGTTTCCATTCAGCACATCTTCGTTGTCGGAATCTGTGTCGATGTCATCACTACCAAAACCAGAAAATTCGGAGCCCGAATCTGCCTCAATAATGTCCATAACATGGTCTAAATCGGAGTCGTACTCGTCCGAGGACGCCATTTTCTTCTCACTTCAACACAGGTGTAAAACCCCGGATTTACACGTGACCTCTCACCTCTACGAAACATTACCAAATATGGTAATGTTACCTCATGTCTAATAAACACGATTGGATGTTATTTAGAGCTGAATTTATTTTAGAAACTGGGAAATTACCGAGATATATTGGGCTGTGTATGAATGCGTCAAAAGTCGTCAACAGGGAAATGGCGCGAGTCGTCAAATCGTGGCAACAGGGGGTAAAGGATAAAGTGCTCTAGGGGGAAAAGATTTAAACATATGGCAACCCAAATTTCCCCTGGTTTTTCATTGATGACAATTTGTATAACATCTTTTACTGAACAAATTCTATAGATAGATTGATGAGGTTGTAATCACTCATAACACCCCAAATTAATGATATTTATTCCTGTCAAATTTCTGAAACTACCGAGTAATTGTTCTCTATAAATAATGCAATTGAAAATGGTTGTGCCAATTTTGACAGCTACATGTATTTACATTTTAAGGCGCCAGTGATGAAAACCTTTTACCTCTTTTAAAATCCTTGTTCTGTATAGCAGTGATTCCGCAGTGAAAATGACAGTTAGTGAGCTCAATGTAGCACTCGGCTTGGATCTCAGGTATCTGCATGTGCTGGACGAGATCATGGTAAGTATGAGCCCGGTTCTCCATGGTGAGCTCGCTGACTCGCCCCGCCCGTAACTCCTCCCAACACGACTTGGCCGAGGCCAAAAGTCCGTCACGCCAGGTGTCCGGCTTCACACCAACAGAATGATGGAAACCGAAGGAGAAGTACTTGAAGGACTCCTTATACTGGTGGATCATCAGGGAGAACCTCTCAAGACACTGCTCGTCCACCCGCGCCATCTTCCATGACACCATAGCCAGGTTCTTAGCAGCAGAAACCTGTCAATATTTAGGGTTTTTTTTCTCTCATATATTTTAATTTTTATTTTTTCCAATTTTTTTTTGAAATTGCACATTTCTTTGTCAACTTAATATACATACAAATGCATATTGTTAATTCTCATATTTGTAGATATATACAGTGAAAGCTAGTGAAAAAAATTAATAAAATATTTCAATACCTCATACTAGAAATCTATACCAAGGAGATCAATTGAAATATTTCCTTTTTTCAACCAAGCTTTGAGCCTAAGTATGACTCAGTGTTTTCTGTATTACCTTCTCATCCTCATTATTGCTGAAGTTATAGGCTTTGTAGTAACAGTTTGCTGCCTGTCTGAGGCGCTCCTTCCTAATGGAGGGACACAGATTATCCTTGGCCGTCACGTAAATAGTATTCCCCTGCTCCCTCCAGTGACTCGACGACGTGTTCTGCGTCATGACGATCGCTCTTTGTACAGGAATTAAAATATGTGTAGAATCAGAATTCTTCAATTATTAAAGTTTTGCCACATAATTGGTATATTTTTTTCAGCAAGTGCAGCAAGCTCAATAGACTAACATGCAAAGACAGAGGAAATTCAGAATGAAATCTCTATAATTGGGATGAAATATGCATGTATGTCAAGTAAATTTTTTATGTGAAACCTTCTCAGAATTCCTTTGCTACCAATTAAGATTCCATGCGATAATGTGATTAAATAAATAACCTAAAACATAAAAGGCTTCCAGTTTATAGGAATCTTAAAAAAAACAATCTACGTCTTTTGTCAAAAACATTCTTCTAGGAGGTTACTGTAGTTCACTAAATTTTCGCGACACCTTATTTTCGCAAAATAGTCATTGACTCTTTATTAGCGAGACATGATTTTCACGAACTGTTGTTTTTCCTCTATATAATCATAAGGAATACTATTAAATGCGAGAATGAAATTTTCGCGACCTAAATGTCTCGTGTATTTAAGAGAAAATAAAGTTCTCGAGAATAAAACATGATTTACAGTATAATTGTATTTATGTACTGGATCATCAATAAGCACCGTTAAGGGGGCCGACTATAGTTTTATTGTGTGAAAACTACAATAGCGAAACTCTTCATTTTTATACCATATATAACTTACATTAACTTCAGTGTACTTGCAAAGTTTGGGGAAAATCTACCGTCCAGGTATTTTTGAAGGACCGTCTCAATATACAGGTACATTTACTATAGGATTATATAGGAAAATGCCAATTTTTAGCACTTTAAAGCAAATTATACAAATACTACAATAGACATTTTGTTCAAACTATAATATTTTATGAGTAATACTATAAGATACAATATATGTAAGAAACACAAAATTTTACCGTCTTGTTAAGAGAGGGGGCATCTCAAAATGCAAAAAAAATTTGACTATTTTTATAGAGTATTACAAAATATGACATCAACAATGGATTCACAAGAAAACATAATAAAAATACTGGAGATATTCTAAAATTTCTATTTTCTAAATTTCAAAAGCATATGTTTATTACTTTTTCTGTAATAATATTTTTATTATCCCTTTCTTTAAGAGCTTCAGATTACCATAACGTCAAAAAGACACTGCAGCAACGTCAACCTACCTATCAATTGCAAAATCGGTTAAATTATCAGTTATATCAAATTGTAATTAAATTTTTATACCTATAATTTCTTAATTTTGTTTAATTTTAATAATCAAGCAAAAAAGTTGTATTAAAACAATAAATACGCTTCATTTTACTATGATGCACGAAATATTGCACAATGGAAACTATAGTCAGCCCCCTTAAAAAAAAATCATGTGCAGGGCAGGACAAATAGAGACAAAAAGCGAGGCTTGTAGCACGTGGATTGGCAGAATCAATATCATATGTAAATATTGAGGAATAACTTTCAGATTTTTCGATTTCATGACGATGATCAATTGACTGGTTTGCGTGATAATTTTATGCATAAACGTCTTCAGCGCTTATGCAAATTATCACACAAGCCCTAATGGTCACACCGTAAAACATATTAATTGCTTTTCATTAAAATCTTCTACTCTGTTCTACAACAATTTCTTAACAGAAATGAACCATAGTACGAAACATTTGATTACATTTGACGGAGATTAAAATGAAAAGCACATTGTTATGAAAATCAACATATTTTGTTGGATTTAAGACCTTTTTAGAGGTAAGAGTGCAAACAGCTTGTGTTACTGTAGAAATATGAAACGTTTAGAAAAGGTAGTATATCAGAATCTATCCCTCTGCCATACAACTTTCCTACTGGATTTTTCTACATAAACAAGCCTTTCAGTGTGGTATCCCATTCTGCAATGAATCAGTAACGAATCCAGTGGCTGAGTGAGTGACGCGACGGTTTCAAGTTACACCCTGTGACCCATGCAGTGACCCAGTCCCTTTGACCTGAATCCTATCGACATTTTAAACCATGACAATGTGAATGAATGATCTTTTAGAAAAATAAACATTTTAAATCACACAAACATAATTACATTGTAGTGTTGACAGAAAATATCCCTCAGACTGCTTTCTCTCTGACCTTTTGACTGCAACTGGGCTGGTTTTCCCGCGAAATCGGATCCGTAGAACCTAGAATGTCGAACCCGATGTTTTCAAACAACTCATTTACTAGATTTATACATTGTATATCGCGTGTTTCATTGTACATATTCAAATTTCATGGCTCATTGATTTTTGTTTTAAATATCAACATATCTGAATGTAAATTTTTGTTATTTAAAAAACTATGGAACATGATTTGGTAAAAAAATTATTCAAATAAAACGTAATTTTACAGAAATCCATTAATTTTTAGCCCACTGAGTTTATTTAATCAGGTGAAATCTATATAAAGTTCTTACCTTGAAAGTCTTTAGTTTCTCATAATATATTTTATGTATCTACATGGTAAAATAAAAAATAAGAATTGAAGTCCATGTCAACCTCAAGTTTCAATGTTTTCCCATTTTACCTTAAATATTCAAAATTCAACTTTCCAAAATTAAATTTTGTATTTTAAACTTTAGAACTTTTGATCTACCGTTTCTTCAGAAAGTTTACGCTTAAGAAACTACAGTGCAGTACAGAAATTTGAATTGTTAAGTGTTACACGGACTTGGAATTGAACTATGCTTTGACAAAAACCAACGAGTCTGTCAATGAATATTTATTTTTAGAGAGAGGGCTAAAATATGCTGAGTCTACTATAACCCCCGTCCCATACACATATCCAATTCACATTCGCCAATATACACTTAAGGCCTGAAAGCAAAATATCCACTTGATGGAAAGTAAATGGTTAATTTAATTGAGCAATATATTATTGGTTTACTAAAAGCCAGTTAAGTTGAGCGACTTGAATTTTATTTTATGTGTATGTACCTTTTAAAAGGAAATTATTGTATGGAAGTTTTTGACAATTAAGAAGTTCAACGTTAATGTATACCAGTAAGTGAAAACATTCGTTATTATTCATATTTAGAACATAGGATGCTAAAAATATATGTAAGCAATTTGTAATGGTTTGAATATACTGCAGTTTTTATTAATGCTAAAACACATATTAATCTATCATGAAATTTTTTTTCTCTCGATCTGATTTTTCCGATCCTTCTAATTAATATAAACATAAAGTTAAATAAAACTAGAGGTCCTGTGAGCGATGAGCTCACTAAATGATACCCCCCGCCTCCATATAGTTATAATACAAAGTCCATATTTTGCTGTGGCTGGGAAACCCAAAATATGTGTCGGATCAAAAAGTAAAATAGGAGGTGCACAATGGCAATATGTAATAAAGATTCAATCTGTGAAAGTTTCGTCAAATTTCATTCAGTGGTATGAGAGGAGTTGCGGATAAGAGATGGGTACCCCAAAGCGTAACAGACGGACGGAAGAAGGACGGACGGACGGACGTACGAACTGACGTACAGACGGACGGAATTAACGATTACTATATACCCTGCCGCTTTTCAAGCGGGGGGTATAATAATTATATCATGTTTTACAATTTAACAAATTTATTTGAATCTAAATACAAATGTGAATGGCAGTTCGCACGTGGACATGGGCCTGAATAGCTCAGTAGGTAAAGCGCCTGATCTAGATGTACAGGACGCAGGGTACGATTTTCTGGTGCAGCCACACATTTTCTCATTTCCTTGGATCTATATCAAAATTTAGTGCAGCTGACCACTACCTTAAGCCAAACTAAGTAATTTTGCAAATTGCTTTAAACGAGACTGCTGATATTCTTGTTTCAGCAACTTGTTTGTCAATAACTTGCCTCGTTTAAAACATTGATCATAAGTAGAGCATGCTTTTGCGTATCGAATCAATTGAGAGATATACACCTTGTATGCAGGCGATGAAGGTATATAAGGTATATTGCTGCATAAGTAAGGGAAGTTGACAATTGAAAAATTAAAGTATTCACGTTTATCATAAAACTTGGTTGTTGGATTACCATTATCTTCCTTTTCAAGTAAAACATCTAAATATGAAACAGATGTGTCAGACTCTATGGTATCTTTTATCTCAAGCTCACCGAGATATCGTATCGACGTAGGAATGGAAATTACCATTGTTAAGTGACAATGCGTCGTCGATATATCTAAATGTCGAGTTGAAGGCCACAGCAATGTGATTTCTTCTTTTCACGTACATGTATATTTTTGGACAAACTATGGTTCATATGAATACAAAAATAGGTCTGCTAATAACGGGACGCAATTGGTACCCATACGAATTCCAACAGCTAGACTGTTTGAAAACCTGGTCTCTAAAAACCACAAAGATTTGTCAATCAGAAATTCAAGCATCTTTTTAATATCGACTTCAGAGTACTTGTGTTTACAATCAAAATGTTTTTTAACAAAATAATTTTGCAAATGACCAATGCCAAGATGAATAAATTTACGAGTTCCATTTTTATTGAAAAAGCAGCTGTCAGTGATATCAAAAAGCCTGGACTTTAATTAATCGTTGGGAAGGGATGTGAATAAAGTCGAAAAGTCGTAAGTTTTTAAGCTATTGATTTTGGTAAAATCTTGTGATTTCAAATGTTCCAAAAGTTTCTTGGAATTTTTAAGTGTCTACATCTGATTTACTCCACTTCTTGAATATATTATTGCACAGTACTCTTGAAGTTTCTCCTTCACTACTGTTAATATCTTAGTGAGGAGTAAAAAAAGAGGCTTGGTTGAACATTTACTGGAACCCGTTATGTATCTTTGTTTGTAAGGATTTTTATGAAGTTTCGAAATCCTATATAGATATGGTAATTCATGTTCTCATGTTCAATTTGGTTGTTTTGGTATTTTAAAAATATTCGAAACTGACTATGATTTTGAAGAATTTCTGCCCTAGAAAGGGAACTATGAGTATAAGTTGGATAACCACTTGTAGAATTATATCCAAGTTCTTCTAAAATACAATTTATAAAATGAGCTTTCTAAACGAAGACAATGTTGTAACCTGCTTTGTCAGCAGGGACCAGTACGTACTGATTATGTAATCTACCTAAGTCTAGTTTTCACTTCTAGATAATTGAATACAGAAGGATAAATGGTTTTTATTGCCCCTCAATCTTTTAATACAATATTTCTAATTTCACAAAATTATAGAAGGGCACTCTAGTAGCTAATTATGTTCATCACTTAGTTTGTGTTTTTTTCCTGCCAGATAGAAAAGAGATAAAATTGTCTTAATTTTAGCCTAAACCATTAACGTCCAAGGGGGTGGAGACAATGAAATTCACAAATTTTGACACCATTTATGTCATTAGAAAAATTTGCAATAAAATTTTTATAACCTAAGAATTAAACCATTCAATGCATTTTTCTTCTGTTAGCAGTTAGATGATCAAACTGCCATCCAATTATCTGATGGTAGTGAAAACCTAGTCATATTTTGAGACAAGAACGAAATTCTTTGGGCGACATTCAGCAGCTTAGAGGCCGTTGTCTTGCCCGATTTTGACGTCTTTTTTTTTTATCTGGCAACCATTTTTGTCCCTTTTAGCACAGTTCTAATTCTTTTCCTTTTCCATGTGTCCTGAATTAAAGCAATTAATGAACAGTCAAACAGTAATTGACCACCCTCGATCATCATCTTGCTGACGATCCTCAAACATTTCGTTAAGCCTACCGTTGGTCGGTCGATATTTAGGTTTAGGGTTTTCGTACATGTCGACCGACAATGAAAATCTAACTGTTGGTCAGAGTTTGACTTTTATTTAAATTATTGGTGTTCCTGGGAAAGTACTAGTAATGTGAAATAAATGATCTATCAAGCTGACAGATTGTCTAACTGTCCGTCTCCTAAAAGTACATTATTTGGCAACAAAGAATGCATGCAATGAATTCCTTTAAAAACAACAATAGGACGTCCAACATTAAAAGAATTGAATTGAATGTTAATTTTAAAATGCTTTCAACATTCCCTGTATTTGGCATGTTTTATATGATATGCAAACAAACTTCCCTGATTGGAATTCTGATTCAGTTAAGCAAATAACTTAAAATGGACCCCGAAGTGCGTAGATGCAATATACTTATTTTCCTTTCAGCTAGTTAATTTTTATATCTTTAAAATAACTGTATCTGTTTTACAACTGGCTAGTTGAGAAAAGGGAAGTTTACTCAATGATTGACAAATGGACATTATAAAATATATACATGTAACCAGGGTAATTCACTATTCAAAACACAACGCAAAACGTATGAAGATGCATTCACGGATGTTCCTGCTGTGGTCAGTTTGTCTTGTACACGTGGAGAGTTTGACAGTCTCGGACTTCTATCCTTTTGGGGTGGGCCACGGAGATACTACAATGGCAGCGAATGATGATGGGAGCTCTCCAAATATTTCAATTTCCACAAAATTCCCATTCTTCAATCACCAACACGACAAATTAATTGTAAGTACGTTAGAAAATCATATTTAAATACCATGATGGATAGTTAATCATGATTTGCCGGGTTTTTTTCTAGGTGAGTACGAATGGTGCTATTTCATTCCTGACCCCAGTGTCTCAATATACTCCGGATCCTTTCCCGCTTGGTGGCGACCGTAGACTTATCACTCCCTTCTGGGGAGACGTAGATGGGTCAATATAAAAAAAAGCAGCTAAATGTGTCACTTCTTTGTAAAATCCTATTTTTTATTTTCTCCCAATTTTGGATTGTTGCTTTACAATCTATGACATCTGTACTTTCTATTTACTTATAGAAATTTTCGCATAATTCATTTCATTAAAGTCAATGGATGGTTTTATCACACCAATCAGCCAAATTCATGCTGTCAATGGAATTTTTCTATTCATATAAGGATAAATACGCCAAAAATTATATGAAATTTTGTCTGAAAAATCATGTATACATAAAATAAACGTTAAATAGAATATATCTTTGAATAAAAAAATATGAGCCCCACCTTCCATTTAACTGATACAGCATTTAATATGACTGTACAAGAAAGTTGTGTCATTGGTGTTACTATTTTTGTTTTTGCTACAAAAAAGTTATCATTCCTGATAAGAAAATATAAACAGTCCTAAGTCATATTACATCACCTCTCACCAAAAACAACAGAAACTGCTCCTTGATATTCATGATCAGAACATATTAATGGACTTCAGAAGTAAAAAAGTACACTAGTACAAACTTTTTTTGTCAGTGGTGTTTCCATCGTTATTTCAAAACGATTTTAGATATTCATTGAACTCTTTTACGAAAGATGTTCTTTAGGGAAACTAAAAGCAATGTTGACATAACTTTTACTTTATCCAGGGTAAATTAGAAATATTAGATCATTTTATGAATAATACGTCATTGGTGTTACGGTCATTGGCATTACTTTCTAAAGTTTAACACCAATGACAGGAATGGTTACACCATTGACAAAACAAGTACTTTTGGAGACAAAATACATTCTTCTTATATTGAAAAATTATTTATTTGTATTCTAGTTTGCAAACCTAATTTATGGTATTTGAAAGTAATTGATCTATTTTCCAATAAATATTTTTTTTTCCACGTACGGAAGTTTTAAATATTAGGTAATGCAAATGACAACTTCATATCATATACATGTAACACCAATGACAAAACATTTTTTATGCTCAAAATATATATTTTCCCTTCTGAAAAATTCACTGGCCATGCATGAATGTCAGAGTTTATCACCTAAGTAAAGTAAAATTAGTCAAGTTTAACTTAGTTTGTATAAATCTCTCTACGAATAGTTAACTTTTATGGTAACACCAATGACTGGCGAAGTAACACCGGTGACAAGAGATTTTGATTAATACATTTTATCTACTAGTTCTCTAATGAAGAATGTGGGATTTAAAACATCATATCCTTCACAATTGAGACCCTTTTACCCTACAAACATTTTTTCTTTCAAACCAATGATTAACAAACACTGCATATCTCTTGTCACTGGTGTTACTTCACCAGTCATTGGTGTTACCATAAAAGTAAACTATTCTGTCACTGGTGTTACCAGATTTCTTTTTGTTATAAGATCATTTTAAGTATGAAATCCCAGAAACTTTTTTCATTTTTGTATGTTAGCCATGCAGTGTATTCTGTCTTTCACATGAAGTTTCATGTTATAGTATGTTTAAATGCTAATTGTTAAGTGCTAAGTCATTAGTATTACTAATTTCGATCATTGGTGTTACAGTTGAGTCAGTGGAGTAACCAACCTAAAACTTGTTATTTTTGACTTTTAATAAGTTTAAATGTAAGAAATAACTTTATATTACCAGATTTCACTCCTTGAAAAAAGTCATAAATTATGTTATTTTGAACTGTACACACATGGCACCAGATTTACAGCATTTTTTAGTGTGTGTCTATTTATTTTTGTCTCATGTCAATGTCCAAATATGATTGAAAACTTAATTTTCATCACTGGACAACGATACTTTTGGACTTATCAGTAAACTTGAATAATCCTAGTACATGTTTATCATGGCTTGCATTCATAAGTTTTTTAATTGATTCTATACAACAAAATTTTATAAGGTAACACCAATGACAGAAAAACACAATTTGATAACTTTTACGAGAACATTCTGAAAAAAATAGCTTCCCTACTGTTTGCTAAATGTTGTTTTCCCAAAATATTGTGCAGCTTTATCAATTTAGATACAAAAAAGAAACGGAAATATTTAACTGTATCTCCAATTTTCATATGAACCATTTAGCTGCCTTTTTTTATATTGACCCAGATACAAGGAAAGGGGGAAATGTGCGGTACAGGGAAACTACAGACCCAAAAATATTAGAAAGAGCTTCCACTGAAATCAGGGCGTACTTCCCCGAGTTTTACAGTTTTTACTCTGCTTGGGTTTTCATAGCTACTTGGGATGATGTCGCCTTTTACGGATGTTCGTCGACTGGTTGTTTAAAGGTTTCCTTTTTTGCATCAAAGATTACGTGTGCTTCTGAAAAATTACTTTGTTTTAACTCTTTGTAACACATTATGTATTATCTTCAATGCCCAACCTTTTCAGAGAAACACCTTTCAGGCTGTACTGATTACAAATGGATTACATTCCTTCACTATTTTTAATTACGCAAACATTGACTGGACAACTGGGACAGCAAGTGGTGGAAATGCAGATACTGGGCTTGGGGGAAAACCTGCACAGGTCAGCAATTTGTTTCCCGGAGGATGTATTAAATTCATATAGTAAACTTACAAATATAGTAAAGTATTTTCTAATTTTCAGGGAACACTAACACTTTTCACACAAATGTATTTCATAGGAAAATTAATTTTGTGCAAAAGCGTAAAAATATGAAACCAGATCACCAAACATTCAAAAGTTTTGCTTAAGGTTAAAGTATTTAAAAAATGGGTCAAACTCAAGGATAACAGGTCAAAAGGGTTGTGACAAAAGAAAAGATTTCATCAGTCATCACAAAAATATATTTCTAAGATAAGAAAATCCTAGCAAGAACAGTTAAAAATACGGGAATTTCTTTTTCAAAAGTAGGTCAAACACTAAGGTAAAGGTCAAGAGTTCAAAGTCAATGGTACCTCTATAATTTTATAAATATTTTAAGGTTGGTTTTAATGCTGGTGACGGGAAAGTTTACTATGTAGTGAATGGCTCACGCACAGCAGACATTGTCAACATACACAAGATGTCCAATGTACGTATTCCAGGAAAGTTCGTCTTCAGAATAGATTCGTCGGAGATAGGAGGAGGAGGGTGTAACACGGAAGGTATAGGGTTATATATATAACTAGAGGTACTGTGAGCAATAAGCTCACTAAATGATTCCCCCCGCCTCCCATATGGTTATCATGGCAAAGTCCATGTTTTGCTGTGGCCGGGAAACCCAAAATATGTATCGGATCAAAAAGAAAATAGGAGGTGCACAATGGCAATATTTAATAAAGATTCTGTGAAAGTTTCATTAAATTCACACTCAGTGGTATAAGAGGATCCGGAGTTGCGGATAAGAGATGGGTACCCCAAAGCGTAAAACACATGTGCTAATAAGAATTTTATTTCCAAATTCCAAGATTTTTTTTAATACAACTCAAGGCATTCTCTGAGCTTCTTTCATACATGAACCATCTTTACATCATAAGCTGATCAAAGATATTTCCACCATCTTCTTATAGCATGTGCTATCGTGTTTTTTTACGTATTGAAGACCTATTCCTAATTATATCATGTAAAATATTCATTATCATGTATATTTTGTTTATTTGTTTCATTTTGTAACTCATTAGTTAAAGCAATAGATAATAAGCACAGCCCTTAGATTTACCTGATCTGTATTCTCCCGTCAATCAAGTGAATTAAGACCATTCATTGGGTACTTGAAATTGATTGACATTTAGCTACTAGTCCCTTTGTATAACTCTATCACCGGCGCTTATTACCTCGGGCTTTAAAGAACAGGAAGTCTAATATGCAACGTTTAGTTAAATAGAGTGTCGATATTATTTTAAACGAAAGAACATAAATGTGAATGCTATATATTTTTATGTGTTCAATTAGGTACCATCTGAAGGGAATTCTGACTCCCTTTTCATAAACAGTTCTTTATTGGATGGTATTTGATCACATGATCACAAGCGCTTCATCATGATGTATCGGGCTTTCGATGTGTGAGAAACTAAGAATAATTTTAACATGAAAAACATTTAAATAGAGTAGGTCCCCCTGCTGCTCTGGTTCCTATATCAACAACTCTTAAGGTTGTTCCACATACATTTCGTGAACAGTACCTGTTATATATTGAATTCTCAAGGTACAGCATCCTGGTCCCCCAACAAGAAGTGCATTTTCAAATTTATTGTGCAAAAATTAATACAAACTAGAGGGAACTGTGAGCAATGAGCTCACTAAATGATTCCCCCCGCCTCCCATATGATTATAATGGAAAAGTCCATGTTTTGTTGTGGCCGGGAAACCCAAAATATGTGTCGGATCAAAAAGTAAAATAGGAGGTGCACAATGGCAATATGTAATAAAGATTCTGTGAAAGTTTCATTAAATTTCACTCAGTGGTATGAGAGGAGTTGCGGATAAGAGATGGATACCCCAAAGCGTAACAGACGGACGGACGGACGTACAGACGGACGGAACGGACATACCGATTACTATATACCCTCCCACTTTTCGGGGGGTATAAATATTTAAATGCCAATTTGTGACATTACATATATCACTGGTTGGCAGGGGATGCTCACTTTCCCCAGCTCTGACGTTTTGGAAATCTGTGTTTGCTCTGGAATTCCCATGGGTTCTTAACAGAACTATTTTTATTTTCATATGAAGCAGAATTTGTCCACAATCTTATGCATGAAAAGAAGAAAACACTTGCTGTAACCTTCAACTCGACATTTAGATATATCGACGAAGTATTGTCAATTAACAATGGTCATTTCCATTCCTACGTCGATACGATATATCTTGGTGAGCTTGAGATATAAGATACCACAGAGTCTGACACATCTGTTTCATACTTGGATATTTTACTTGAAAAAGACGTTAATGGTAATCTAACAACCAAGCTATATGATAAACGTGATGACTTTTTAACTTTTCTATTGTCAACTTCCCTTACTTATGCAGCAATATACCTTCATCACCTGTATATGGAGTGTATATATCTCAGCTGATTCGATACGCAAGAGCAGTCATCATTTCGTAAATTCTATGGTCGATACAATGACTTTGTCAGCAAATACAATTTATCATTGAGACAAATGCTGACTGACGTTTTTCATTCTTATTGTCAGTCCATTATTTATACACTGAATTGACGACGGATTTTTCCGCTATTTTCCGATCATGACAAGGAGCATACGGTAGGTGTGACCGCTCAGCAGGGCATGCTCACTCCTTCACGGCACCTGATCCCACCTCTGATGTTTCGGAGGTCCGTGTTTGCTCTGCTTCTATTTTGTATTGTTTAATGGACTTTAATATTGAATACTGTTCGTTATCTCCATATCCTTCTGCTCGTATTTTGTATTGTGTTTTGGACATTTGATCTTGAATACTGCTTGTTATATCCATATGTTTCATATAACCTATTTGGCTCATAACAACCCTTTATGGAGATTGATCTCAAACTGCTTACTGAGTAATTGATTTTTTTAATCTATTCCTATTCAGGTAATGTCATCATAACGCCAAGTAGCGGTCCAATGTTGGGTGGTCAACATCTAACATTCAGTGGACCTTGTATAGAAGAATACACTTCATTCAAAGTCAAGTTCTCCAACACAAGATATACATTAAGATGTGAAAAGGACTCACCTTACAGCTTTTATTGCATTACACCTATGTTTGACAGCACTGGTAATATTCAAGTAGATATCATATTGGCTGACGAAAGCAAAACCAAACCGTTCATAGGAAACTACACTATATGTAAGTACCTGTATCAAATTATGTATGAATTTCTCTACTGAGTGAAACCATGTGAAGAAAAAAAACTGCATCCCCTGTCAAAAATACGCAATTCTGTCGAGGTTGCATAAAATAGTATTTTCATTTATTCAGCGTTAGGTTTTCTTTAATCATTATTCCTACTAAATCTATTTCCAGAGAGCACATTGAATTTCATTCATCTTGTTGCATTTTACGTGTGTCAAAAATATAGGATCTCACATGAATTATAGTTGGATATGATCTTTATCCAGCGAGTTGTGTGTTTTATATCCCTGAGCCTTGGCAAGGGGATAAAAACGCACAATGAGTTGGATAAAATCATATCTAACTACAAATCATGGAAGATTCTTTTTATCCCATGTTTTATACAACAATGTTTAACACTGTTTTTTATCATTTTACTTCATCACTCTTACGCAAAACCCCATTGTGACGTCACATCTGTGGAATACTGTGGAATACGAAAACGATGTGCTATATCCGCTGGATAAAGGGTTAAACATGAGATAAATATGCATATAAACTTGCATTTTAAACTGTGCTTAAAATTTATTATAAATAATGCCCTGTTCACACGGAGACTTTAATTCACAGTAAATTAATGCGAAGTAAACTAATGCGAATCAAACTAATGCGAATTAGATTGCGTTCACACGAAAGCTAATGCGAAGTAAACTAATGCGAAATATATACATTTGTGGTATCTTTCCACCACGTAAACATACAGAGAGAAAATATCTTCAATTCTGTATGAAGTTTGTCGGAGGTCAAAGGTCAATACATGACCGAATCACACGGCGCAATAATTTCCATCGTGACTTATAAATATAAAATGACTTGATTTTCAGGTATAAAAATGAACAAAATAAGCAAGTAAAATAATTGTTTTATTTACAATGTAAACAAGTACTTCATATATTTTTAGCTCACCTGAGCCGAAGGCTCAAGTGAGCTTTTCTGATCAAAATTTGTCCGTTGTCTGTCGTTGTTGTCGTTGTCGTCGTCGTCGTAGTCGTTGTCGTTGTAAACTTTTCACATTTTCATCTTCTTCTCAAGAACCACTGGGCCAATTTCAACCAAACTTGGCACAAAGTATCATTGGGTAAAGGGGATTCAAATGTTTTTGTTCAAATGAAGGGCCACGCCCTTTTCCAAGGGGAGATAATCATGAATTTGTTAAAAATTAATGGCATTTTTAAAAAAATCTTCTTCTCCAGAACCGCTGGGCCAGGAAAGATGAAATTCATGTGGAAGCATCCTCAGATAGTGTAGATTCAAGTTTGTTCAAATCATGACCCCCGGGGCAAGGGTGGGGCCAAAATGGCCGACCCAAGTTTTACATAGGAATATATAGGAAAAATCTTTAAAAATCTTCTTCAGAACCGCCAGGAAAGATGAAACTCATGTGGAATCATCCTCAGGTAGTGTAGATTCAAGTTTGTTCAAATCATGACCCCCGGGGCAAGGATGGGGCCAAAATGGCCGACCCAAGTTTTACATAGGAATATATAGGAAATATCTTTAAAAATCCTTCTCAATTACCACTGGGCCAGGAAAGATGAAACTCATGTGGAATCATCCTCAGGTAGTGTAGATTCAAGTTTGTTCAAATCATGACCCCCGGCCCTGGGGATAGGGTGGGGCCAAAATGGCCGACCCAAGTTTTACATAGGGATATATAGGGAAACCTTCTAAAACTTCTTTTCAAGTACTTCAGAGCTATGAGTAGTGATACCCGGGGTATTTATATGGAATCATCCTCAGGTAGTGTAGATTCTAGTTTGTTCAAATGATGAACGCCTGGAAGGGGGTGGGGTGGAGTAAATTCAAGCCCGATGTGCTCAGGTGAGCGCTGTGACCCCTGGGCCTCTTGTTTGAAGATCAATTTAACCTGTGCACATAGAGAATTTTCGATAGAATCTAGCCTTTGTTTACACGTTGTATGTCACTTTTGTCAACTGCACAGTCTCTTACTTTTTAGTTTATCCTTATTTTTGTTAGACCTTAACAATGCTTTAGTTAAATCTTCATGATATATGCTAAAACTATATTTTTTCATGAAATCCTACTCACGATAAATGTGTAAATCAATTGGAAAATATCAAAGCATTGCAATCACGCCACGAACAGCTGGGAAACACCTCGATCGGTGTTGTCTAACTTCAATGTAAACTGTCGCCAGTGTCTCCGCGTGTTAACATCATAAATATACCTTTAGTTACTGAAATCGTAGATTAAATGTTTTTGATCAAATTTAATACTTGATTGCAAATTAACTGGCTCGGACAAGTGTCTCAATGATCAATCCATCGGATCAATCCATCCCTTTCAGGCGACCGAAATTCCTCCAACTTTTTAACATCAATTCTCGGACGTGTTTCCTGTGTCTTTTCAGCATTAATGATCAATTTTCACAATTAAAAATATTCCCAGACAAAAATCTATTCACTATTACTGATCACAAAAGCCTTTAACAAAATATTCCCTTCGAAACAGATTTCTTAGCCTGACGAATTCGAAGCCTAACCGCCTTTCAAGCCGATTTACACCTTACATACTTTTGACGGAAATCTACGGCGACCTGTTAGTGCAATATTTATATCCTAATATATTTAATTTAGAATGTAATTGTCCATCTCAAATGTATATATAAGTAATAAATAACAAGTTTATAAACTTCAGTGGGAATTGAAGTGGGTCGGTACGTGATCAAATCTTCTGAGAAGGCCTTTGGCCTTCACAGGATTTGATCATGTGACCGACCCACTTCAATTCCCATTGAAGTTTATAAACTTGTTATTTATTTCTTAAAATTAAAATTTTACTTCTGCAGCCCCGCGTCAGCATGGCTATTGTGACGTCATTTGTAGATCACGTCACCTTATGCAGAAGCAGATCCATTTGACATAATGTGTATACACATTTTGATGATTAACAAAATTTTCCTTAATTCTTCACTCAAAAATAGCACAAGTATTTATAGCTGACCACCGACAAGTGGCATTTGACTAAATTTTGCCATTACGCATGCGTCAGAATTTAATTCGAATTAACTGCTTTGCGTTAACACGGAGCTAATGCGAAGTAATTTAATGCGCAGTAAACTAATTCGAATTAAACTAATTCGCATTAAATTCTCCGTGTGAACGCTAAGCGAAGCTGATTCGCAATAACTTTACGTTTAATTCGAATTAAACTCTCCGTGTGAACAGGGCATAAAAGAACACATCATTATCTGTTAACAATTATTTACAGTGAATCCTGCTTTCAGCAAAGTTCTTGTAAGTCGCCAAAATGGAAACAGTTTGGAAAATGATGAACATAATATATCGTGGAATGGAAACGTCAAAGAACTTCAAAACAGTAGCACAGTAGATATCTACGTATACAAAATCAAGGTACAAGAGAAACAACAGCACGGTTGATCATTGAATATATCATAAGGGAATAAATATATTTTGTTTTAAAAAATCAGATGCACAGTAGACCTTTACCTATACACAATCAAGGTACAAGTATAATTCAAAACAAGCTAATGTAGAGAATATGCCTCAGCTTAGGGAAAAACGAAGAGCTTACGGGGTCGATGGGAGGGGGTACTTTAAGAAAGCCAATCAGACCCATAGATCGTTAAAGTAATAAATTTCGTTCGAATAGTTTCTTAAAATATGAAAGTTTTTCACTCACAAAAATAAATAAATTTACGATCTTGACCTTTGACCTCTTGACCTCAAAATAATGGGGGTCTTCCTTAGGCCATAGGAAGCATTGGTATAAAATTGCATTGCAAAAATCTCAAAACCTTTGATACATCGCACAGAAGCGAAAGTGTTAAAGCAAACAGAAGTTATGAATTTATAAACTTGACCTTTGAATTTTTCACCTCAAAATGAATTGACGACTACCTTAGGCCATAGGGAGTTGCTGTGTTAAATTTTAGAAGCATCTCGAGATATCACGTGGAAACGAAAGTGTTGCAGACCGAAAGAAATACAGACAGACGGACGAACAGACCGGTCGAAATCAATACATCCCACTTTGAAAAGCAGGGGACAAAAAAGCAGTAGCATAGGATACATACAATCAATGTACCAAACAATTGTTGTAAAAATATAGTATATCGAGATAACTGGATTTTGTTTTTTTTTTCTTCAAACCAAAGGAGGAAAATGGTGAGATTAAATTAAACACTTTTATTGCAATGAGGAATATATCTAACTCAATTGGTTGGACGACTTTTAATTTAAAGATGCATGAACAGGTCGCCATTCTACGTGTAACTTCTCGTGTGGAGACCGCATTCAAAATGTAAGTTAAAATAAGGAGTTATTTAACATTTGTTTATATTTTGAATACTTAAATTTTTACTTTTGTTACATGTATATAATTACCGGGTAAATCTTTTTTGCCAGGCCACAAAGAGGAATATGGTCAGATTTGTTCCCCGTTACCCCTTCCAAAGCTGTTGCAAAACTTCTTTGTAAAAAATGGATAGAAAAAGAACGCACTCTTTCAAAGTTAAACGTTGCAGAACCTTGTCCGTGCACCCTCCAACAGGCGCTGTTAGACATTGTAAAGTACCAGCCCGATCCTGACTGCAACATGCTCAGCGTGGGAGCAGAGGGGCGGGGCAACTGTCGTTATAGACGTGATGCACAACATTGTGTGAGACTGACAATACCAAGGTATCATTTTCTCTAATAATATTTCCCACATGAATCAAAGTCCAGGCTTTTCGACTTCAGAGACAGCTTTTTTTATGCCCGCGTAAACGAAGTTTCGGGGATATATAGTTTTTGTCGTGTCCGTCCGTCTGTCTGTCTGTCTCTCTCTCTCTTTCTCTCTGTCTGTCTAGCTGTCTGTCTGTCTGTCTCTCTGTCTGTTTGACTGCAAAAACTTTAACCTTGCCCATAACTTTTGATTAAGTGGAGACATGACTTTCATATTTCACATGTGTATTTCTTGTGGCAAGACCTTTCTTTGGGTACCACCAAAGACCTTGACCTTGGAGCTTGACCCACTTTTACATGAAAATTTTAAACTTTTACTTTTGACATATCTTTTGAACATTAGATACCAGGACATTTATACTTCGCATATATATATTTCTTAAAAGACCTTTCATTGGATACGAACAACCTTGACCCTTTGACCTTGACCTTGTAGATTTCCATACTTGTTTGAAAAAATATAACTTTGGCCATAACTCGTGAACGGACTTTAGGACTTTCATACTTCATGTACGTAATCCTTGTGAGAAGACCCTTCATTGGATACCAAAGCCTTTGACCCTTTGACCTTGACCTTTGGGTTTGACCTACTTTAAAAAAGGAAATTTTAACCATAACTTTAATTGAATACCAATTACCTTGACCTTTTGACCTTGCCCTTGGAGATTTTATACTCATTAAAAAAACTTTGGCCTACTTTTAAATTTCAAAATTGTTTTCCAGTAAGAATACCCTACTTTTGGTACCAATTAATGAAATTTGCATTTAAGAAAAAGTTTATTCTTTGCTATGTTGCCATACGCAGGCATCAGTGTTTCACAAACACGTCTTGTTTTCATTAAAAATGGAACTCGGTAAATTTACGTACCTTGTCCTTGCTCTATGATGAGTCATTTGAAAAATTATTGTGTTATAAACAGTCTGATTGAACAAACACAAAACTACTCTGAAGATGTTAATAAAAGGATGCTGGAGATTCTGATTGACAATGTCAATGTGGTTATTGAGAGCATTTTTTCAACAAACTGTTAGATTTACCATGGGTACCAATTACACCCAGTAATTAACAGAGCTTTTTTCGTATTTATAAATATATAGCAAAATTTATTCAAAATTTAATACATGAGAATAAAAAAAACCAGTAGTTGTGGGTTTCAACTCGAAATTTAGATATATCGACTACATATTATCAATTAACAATGATTATTTACATTCATATATATGCAGACACGATATATTCCAGTGAGCTTGCAATAAAGGATACAACAGTCTGACACATCTGTTTCATATTTGTATAAGTTATTAGAAAAATACGTCTATGGTAATCCTATAACCAAGCTTTATGAAACACGGGAAGACTTTAACTTTTCAATCGTAAATTCCCTCACTTGTGCAGCAATTTGCCGCTATCACCTGCGTACAGGGTTTATATCATATATTTGATTTGATACGAAAGAGTACATGCTCTATTGATGAACAATTTAACATCAAACTCTATGATATTTTGATACTTGTTGACAAGAACATAATTATATTCGACCATAAAATTTACGAAATATCTGCTTAATGAAACTATTGATTTCCCAGTGTTTTCAAAGCCATTTATTTTAGTAATTATTTTTCAAAGTCAATGGTTGTTATACAGAAATGTAAGCTAATAGATTTGGCAAACGTTTTTCATAAATATCATGGTCCTTTGTTTTATGCAAAAATTGACTTCGTCACAGTGCACAAGGCGGGTGTGACCAATTAACAAAGGATGCTTTCTCCTGCTAGACACCTGTTCTCACCTGTTAAATTGCTTGGGGTCTGTGTTTTATGCCCTTGTCACAGATTAGTGTTGATTTTATTTTTCTATGAAATTGCTTTTTGTTATCTTCACCTTTATTGATTCATATACTTTTTAACAATCTTTCAGAATTTTTCAACCATCCCGTCTTTTGCCTCTTCCAAAATAAAATTCTCTTATTTTTGAATGAATTGAATGCTTTTTTCTTCCTTCTGAATAAAAGTGAAGATGATTTAATCTTCTTACACGACATTGAATACTTTTTCTACTTTAAAAGGTGAAGATGAATTAATCCTTTTATACGACATTGAATGGTTTTTTTCTTCTTTCTAAAGTGAAGATGGCGCCGACAACGTTTGCTGTTTCAATAAACAGGGAACCTTAATAGACTCGAGATCCCACGAAGGTGGTACACAACAGCGGTATCACTATCGAGGTGACAACCATAACAATATGCCCTACGTGACAAACTTTTGCAAGGACGTTGTCCCGTTTTTGCATTGTTGTCGTTTTTCACAGACGTCTATGAATGAAACTAGCAATGAGGATGAAACATACAGCCTCTGTCAGGAGTTCCTGACATTACGGAAATACAGTTCTTGTGAAAATTACGACCCTCCTAAACCAGGTCAGATATATTTAGTATCAGATTCGTTATTCCGTATACTGTAGATATACCTTTTCAGGAACCTTAAAACGTCTTGTTGCATAGCGTTATGTCAATGAATCGAAAGTTATTTCATAAAAAAAATCTGGAGAGAAACATTCTATAATTAAACGTTAAGCATTGACTTTGAAACACTTGTTTGTGTGTATAAAGTTCCTTTTTGTTCCAGCAAAAACCAATGGTGACCCTCATATCACTACACTGGACGGGCTTAGTTATACGTTTAATGGAGCTGGAGAGTTCGTGTACATTTACACTGAGAATGAACAATTTAAAAGCCAAATCCGCTTCAAACAGTTCCGAAAAAACGATGGTAAGGTATACTCATTCACCTTTAATTAAATATTGCAACATTGATAGTAAATGAAGAAATGTATCAAAAGGAACTAATTTCATATTTTTTCTAAACAGGGTCGCTTGTAATGGCAACTGTAGCGACTGCCTTAGTAATGGAGTATGAGAATAGATCAGATTGCATAGAAATTAGACTCAACTCGATAAGAACAGCTGATGTACTCAGAAATGGAGAACTGCTTGATTTTCAAGACTCAAGATGGATAAATGCGAAAGGTGTTGTATTAATCTATGTAAATCGATGGATAGAATATTGATTTATTTCATTGATTATGCTTGTAATATTGAGAATTGTTCTAGGTGTAACCATTGTATCACTTCCTACTAAAGGAAATAACACGGGCAGGTCATTTATGATCATGTTTCAAGAGATCAAGATGGCATTCAGCATTGAAGCCTCAAAAGATATCTTAAACGTCATGCCAGTTGTTCAAGGAAAGGAACTGAATGGTACTTTTTCTATGTTATCTTCTTTTATTTATTTCAAATTAAGAGTGTTCGATAAAATAATATTGAACAACAACTTAAAAAGCTATACTGCAAGAATATGGGTTAAATCGTAAATTTATATGTACTCCATCCTATCAATAATCTTTTTGTAGAACTGTGTATTGAGTTGAACTAACTTGAGACATTTTTTTAATTTGAAGGAACTCTGAAAGGATTGCTAGGAAATTATGATGGCAGTCCTTTGAATGACTTATTTTTTTCAACACATCAACAGCTGCAGCAAAATGAAACTGACGAATCCTTGATTTTTGAATTTGGGATGTCATGTATGATTAAGTTGATTATTTATTTAATCTTTTATTAAGTGATTCGAAATTACAAATTAAAATTTTCAGTTGGCTATGTATATGGTATAATGTTACGGAGAAGTAATGATTTTTTTGGTTGAAGGGGTCATCAACGAGAAGGAGTCCCTGTTCACGTATGAGCCTGGTAAGAGTTTTGCGGACTATCATAAGCCATCATTCCGTCCTGTGTTTGAGTCCTCCATATCGGTTACAGAGGAAGTTAGGGCGGTGTGTGGAGAAGACAAAGATTGCATTTTTGATTTCTTTGTGACGGGATCACGTGACATAGCGGAACAATCTCGAACATTCCAGAAACAATTTCAGGAATCTCAAGAGGCAGCTGTAATAGGTATTTGTACATATATGATGTGTTATTATTGCACACGAACCTTCTCTATGCTATTATAGTCATTGTGAGTTTTTTCCCCATCTCAAAATACGTAAACACTTTCGTTACAGTGTTGACATGCGATGATTTGCCAACAATTCCCGGTGGAGTCTGGGAAACAACCAATGGGAATCTCGAAAACTCGTCTGCTTTCTTTATTTGCAGGGATAGATATACGATCTCTGATAACATAAGTTATATTACATGCTTGAATGGGCGATGGGAACGATATAAAAACGTTTCTTGTCAACTTAACACTTTTCAAACCACCCAGCCTGGTGCAGGTGTCCTAATGAATCCGGAAATGTTTCAGAATGCGAAGTTACCTGCCTACATAGGAGTTGGGGTTGGACTTTTCCTACTTACCGCATTTATCATGGTTTTTATCCTTTATCAAAGAAAAAAAGCAAGGTGTGTATTGTTCATCTACCACTCAGTGCAAAAACACCAAAATCAAAATTATATAGTTGGTTAAAGATTGCATCTCATATGAATTGTTTTTCAATCTTTCAGGCGCGGTCATTGGAAAGTCTTTTCTAGTGAAAAGTCTCTGACTTTCCCCAAAACTTCTGATTCGGAGGAAAACAGTGCTGCATTAACGCAGCTACCAATGGAACAAAACACAGAGAAATGTTAACATTGTTATTATATTCTTTTGTATTAACTAGTCTGATTTACTCATGTATGCAAAAATATTACTTGAAATATAACTTACTTTTGATGAATTTTTAGTTCACTGTGCATATAATGCAATATGTTGTACTGTTTCACATTGTACTTATCATGCTCTGAAGATGATTTTCCTAATCATTTAGTATTTTATTTTGTACTACGGATATCTGTTTGACGTACCAAACTTACAGAGAACTGAAAAGAGGGGTAACCCTGTACATTTACCTAGGTATAATTCAGTTAAATGTATATCAAATTATTTATAACTATCATATCAAATTAATTGTAAAAATCTCCAAATGAATTTAAGATAGACATAATTGAATTGACCATACCTTCATTCATTTGGATAAAGAGATTATTGATTTGAATATGATTATCATTAATAAATGATTGGAACAAATATTAAGAATGAACTCATCCTTCAAACTATTGAACCTATCTTCCAAAAAATAAGAAACTAAGGTTCAATTGAATTGAAGATATGTCTTTTAAAATTAATTATTTAGTATCTTAAATAGATGCTCACTCCTTCAAGACACCTGATCCCACCTCCGATGTTTTGGAGATCTCTGTTTGCTCTGCTTCTATTATGTATTGTTTTGTGGGTTTTTGAGCTTGAATACTGTTCATTATCTCCATATATTTTATGACTGAGCCTAGGTTCAAATGAATTATGTCTATTTTAATTCCATTATAGATAAGTTCAATTCAATCAAAGATACAAGTATAGAAATTGAATTATACCTATCTTTTTCCAATTTAAAGATACAGGTATATGTTTAATTGAATTATACCTATTTTCGTTTAATTTGAAGATAAGTAAAATTGAAAAGACTGGAACAATTAATTTAAAACTAGGAACAATTAATACATCTACACAAAGGAATTAAAGATAGGTATAAATCAATTATACCTAGGTTCAATTCAATTCCGTCTATTTTAAGTCAACTATACCTATCATCAATTTTGGTATTTGTACTTTTTTCAAATCTGTTATAGCTATTTTTAAATTAATTGTACCTATCTCCAAATGAAATAAAGATAGGTATGCATGTAATTGAATCAAAACATTATAGTTTTTTACGACGATTAATCTGTAAATGAGTAAAATCATTCGTTTATTCCTCTCTCACAAGTGCAAAATAGAAAAAAACACCACTTAAGAATTAAATGATTATTTAGAAGTGATCTGCAGTATTTACAAAAAAATTGTTCTTTTATCGCAAATATTTTAGCCAAAAAGCGAAGCCAAATAAGTATTCTTTTGCTTTTCAAGATTAATATTGAAAAATGTGATAAAAATGTCTTAACAAAATTCATGGCAAATACTAATAATCTTTGGTTAAGAAATACACAGTTATTAATAATTAAGTGTAAAGGAATTTGAAGATAATTTTAAATATCTGCATTTGGAAGCTTTCAGAAATATGTTCTAACAAAATAAAAATGATGACTGATTATACGTACTTTTACTCAGCTCAATGAAGACTGACCTTAAAAAAATGTCCTAGGCTCTTTCAGATTGCAGCACAATTTGATAAAGAAACATGTCCAGATCCATCTGATTTCGGTTTCCTATCACTTGGAACGAATTCAGAGAACTCGAACAACTTAAATGATAATGACACCTAAATGATTAATTTGTTGAATTCTATAACATTTTAGCGATTCTCTTTTTCTTTCATTCGTTTGTAAGGCAGAATGCGTCTGATAATTTAAACAAAATCATAAACAAGTTCGCATTCAGTTACAACACTGCGTGATACGTTCATCACAGAATGTATTGTGCCTGTTCTCTTTGTTGGGGATAAGCTGTCTGGTTTTTGTGGACACGGTGATACTTTTCATACTTTTATCCTTTTGGTGAGGACGTGGGTGACACGACAATGCCTGCAAATGATAAAGAGAGCTTGCCTAACATTTTAATTTCTGCGAAATTTCCATTTTCAACCACCAAAGTGACCAATTAATCGTAATTTTGTATAAGTTCGTAAAGTACAAAGTCTTTGCATAAGTACTGAGACTTTTTATGATAGAGAATATTAATTGTAAATAATACTTATGTGTTTTCTGTTAGGTGAGTACCAACGGTGCTATTTCATTCCTGGCGCGGTGTCTAAATTTACACGTGATCCATTTCCGCTGGACGGGTACCGTAGACTCATCACTCCCTTCTGGGGAGACGTGGATACTACAAGAGGGGGCATGTCCAGTACCGGGAAACTACAGACCCCAATATTCTAGACAAAGCTTCTCATGAAATCAAGGCATATTTTCTTGACTTGGTCGTTTTCACGCTGCTTGGGCTTTTATAGCCACATTGGACAATGTTGCATTTTATGGATGTTCAGGTAGTGGATGTTTAAAGGTAATAAATTCTTTTATTTTGTTTGTTTTCTTGTGTTTCATCGTGATCAGTTCCATATTGTATTCATTATAAATCTAAACACATCGAATGATTTATCTATGTTAATTCTATCTGGTTATACATGATATTCTTTATTCTTCTGTTTTATTCTTATAACATTATTTTTTGAAGCAAAATACTTTTCAAGCTGTATTGATTAAAAAATTGACAACATTTCTTTGCCATTTTTAATTATGCAAACATTGAATGGACAACCGGAACATGAAGTAGGGGGGACGAAGACACTGGACTCCGAGGGACGCCTGCTCAGATCTGTATTTCTGTCTGTCTGTCTCTCAGTCTGTTTGTCTGTCTAGGTGTCTGTCTGTCTATTTGTCTAGCTGTCTGTCTGTGGAATTGTGGGGGTTCTATACTGTTCGTTATCTCCATATGTTTCAATAGAGAAACACCGACATCTTACGAACGAACGTACTCTCCCTAACTTCCCGTATCTCGATAGTTTTCTCGGGACCAGTAATTGTACCATGTAAAGTTTAAAATCAGAAGAAATAAGTATATGTGTATAATAGAACGGATGGTGTTTTAACCACTTTGTATTTGAAAATTACTCATGTGAAAATTTTTGTAATCACTATACAATGTTTTAAAAAAGCGAACAAATAGAAGAAAATACACCTAATACTTTAGACGGATTAGGAAGCACGTTTGTCATGCGTCAGTGAATAAACAATACAAACTACTCGTAGTGTGCGCCTAGTTCATATGTGGAAAGGTTACTTTTTACAGCTTGAAAAAATAAAATAAATACGTGCAATCAAGCAAATAGGTAGTGCGCTTTATAAAGTGTCTTGTATTGAGAGAGAGAGAGATATTCTTTTTTAAATTTAATATTAAAATGGTAGAGAGTTTCTTCTTAGATGATGTATTAAATGGCGATCTTAACTAAATTATCTTGGGCTGCATTTATTTTATATGTATGTAACTGGCCTGAAGCAAGCAATTTCAGTTTTTTTTTTTTTTTTTTTTTTTTTGAGGGGGGGGGGGGGCACAATTAAAAGTTTAGAGTCACTACCAAACAATTCCCTGGGAAGCCAAATGAAAGATTTTTTTATTGAGGGGGCACAAGTATACAGTAGTTTCTATAATATTACATTGTTTATTTATCGACTTCATTAATGGGGGGGGGGGCTTATCCCCAGCCCATCAACCCCGTTCCTATATACGATTGTGTGTACATGTATATCTGTTTATAGATGTGGAATATAAAAAAGGCTGAAAATATGCATTTATGTAAGGTGGTGCATTTTTCTTAGTAAACTTCTTTTCTTTGTCTTAAAATTATGCTCCACAATGTCATTGTTTGTTAACCATGCATTCTTCGTCAAAATATAAAATTAGAAGATACACTATGTACTTTTGACCACACACAGAGTTATTTTGACGGAAGGTCCAATATACAAATAAAAACTATAACCGAAATTATAATTTGTTTTAATTTGTAAGGAAAAATATATATTCACCACCCTGTTGTAAAACAAAAATAAGATTGATTCCAGAAAACATATACGGACTTTTAAAAGTGTGAATAATATGAAAACGTAGTTGTCACTTAGTTGTCATGGCATCCTTCAAAAGTATGTGCACACATATGCTCATCACAAGTGGTTGTAGACCAAACAACTTCCCCATCCCCATCCCCATCCCCATCCCCACCCCCAATATAAATATCGGGTCCCAAGATATTCATATTTGTCTTCTTTCATAGATTAACCGTCTAGTACATATTTACAATGTGTTTCATATGAAAAATCCAAAAAGTACATAGAATTCACTTTTTATTTCAAAAAATCATGCCAGTAGTATCTTAAATCACCTCTGACTTTTTAACTGCAGGTATCAATTTTGTATGTCGTAAACTGTAAATGTTATTAACGAAAGAAAGCCAAAAAATATCTCTGGACCCGAATTTATATATAGTCCAGGGGTTGGGGGAGGGGGGCATAGGTCCTTTGATGGCATGCTAAATGGAACTTGCTCTCATAGACTGTAAACCAACTTTTATTCGCGACGACTTTATTTCGCGATTTACTGGGGGGTAAAGAAGTTCGCGACGATTAATTTTTTTACCGTACTGTTACCTGAGGAGGGGGTGTGGTCAAAGTAACAGTGGTGTTATTTACCTGGAGACCCCCAATACCCAAGATGTCAAAAATCTGTGTATACGTAGCATTACACAGGAAGTCTGCGTTTGGTAATCAAGGTCATCATTACGTGTTTTGTTTGGTTTTGAGTGAAACTACGTAAAATAATTATTTCAATATGAAATTTATTTGTAAACTTATAAACGCATTCATCGTAATCATGCAATGTTTTGAAGGAAAAATAATAAGATACATGTACAGCATATCGTTTTAGAAAATGTTTTCCTTACATGAAAGAAAAAATCACGCGTAAAAACTACAAATCAATAATATTATCTTTTTTTAATCTTCAATAAAAGAAATCACTTGATTAAAAAAGTCTGAATATTGAAATAAAAAAAAATTATTAATCCACCTATCCGTCGTGCATGTGAACATGCATTTACCGCGATCGGAATGTTTTTTTTTTTTCCTGGCCAACAATATTTTCCAAAATTTTCCATATTTTTGATCCTTCGTACGTTAACAAAAGTTATCTCTTTTCAGAATCGATCACTATTAATGATCTTCACATTTTCATTACGTATATATACAGACGCTAGAGGAAATTCGATCGAGCATTAATTCTGACATCAATTTCTGTACAACATCGTGCGGATTGTAGCCATAGTACAAAATAAAACATCTTTTAAAAAATATGCTATGCCGTTTATTAGTGCTGAATATTTTTTCTTATATCCCATTTAATTCTTAAAAAAAAATTTAAATCGTCGGACTTCCAATTACGGCAAATAGAGCCGGTTTCTGTGGACGCGGTCTTTTTTCTACAGATAACGTGGGCGATATAACACTTGCAAGAAACAAACAGCAGTGAAGATATAGAAAAGAAATATTTTATAATGTCAATGTTTTAATAATCTACTTTCAATTATTTTTTAAAATAAAATTCAAACATATTGGAGTTTTCTAACCCGTGTGTATACTATCCGGGTACATGAAAGCGTTTGACCCGTGACCAGGTAATTGTTTTCAAAACATGCCAACTCAGATTATCAGGAATCACAGATAGCTGACCTGTCAATCAAATTAGAAGCTATTGTTCTTTTTATGATTGACAGGCGGTAGATTATTGATCTTGAATCAGGTAGATTTTGGGGGCATTAACATAAAATTGGGTGTTTAAGCCTTTTTTGTAAGTGTTTTAATAGAAAAAGATACTAAAAGGATCCTTTCGCGACAAGAAATATTCGCGATGACGAGGCTCTCGCAAAACTCGCGAAAATATCTTGCACGGAATAAAAGTTGGTTTACAGTATCTTAAACTATGTCAAACACACAATTCACTAAACTTCCATCCCCCCCCCCCCCCGAAAGTTGAGGATATTAATTTTGGTCTGCCAGTTCGTCTTTCAATTCTGTCGGTCTGTTACGTTTTTGTTTCGAGCAATATCTCGAGAAGCCTTTGAGCTTTTACAGTGAAATTAAAAAATAGCTTTGGGTCTGGCATTGTAAGGGGGGAGGGGGTTCCAGTCCGCTAGCACCCGTGAGATTTATATGAAGATTTTTAAGATACATGTTTGTAAGAAGAAGCTTTATCCACCGACAAATTACGAACGGACATCCCCTGGACTTATGATATGGCTATAATACCTGTGTATTAAAGCCGTATTAATTTGATTTTTCGCAGCATATAGTATTTTGAACAAGAATTTATTTGAAGTTTTGGGGTTTTTGAAATTTAATTTTAGACCATAACGCGACCGCCTTTCGTAAAGTCCCCCCCCCCCCTCGACCCATACTAGATCTGCACATACTATTATTTTTTTATTTCATGCCACAGAATGACATTTTTTAAAATTTTCCTTTCATTCCCCTCTCGAACCCCTTTGCTCGTTTAAATGTCAATTGAAATGTATTGTAGCGTCACGGTAGCGACTCAATCGCATCATCTCGGGTCTTTCCGTCAGATGTCGGAAAAACAAACATCACCGGATGTTAAAAATTTATACATCTTCCTGTTTAGTCAAATATAGGATAGACGGAGATAGAAGTTCCATCTATGGTATATTTTAGGTAATATCATTACATTGAATAAAGTTAAACTCCATATTCCACAGATGAAGTGTCTCCATGCATTTATTTCAAAGATCGTGAAAAGGGGGAGTAGTAATGGCGTCTTCCTAGAACATTCGAGGTCGTTTTTCCGCTAGTCGGAAAGGCCCGAGAAGTTGCAATTGGGTAGCGACTACGACAAGACGTGGCTTTAAGGTATTTTGTAGAGATTTTATCTGTCAAAATCCCCATAAAATTGAAGAATTCAATAATCCAACCGTAAATACAATAGACTTCAATGACTGATCCCCGTTTTTGGTTCCGTTTGTTCGTAAGATGTCGGTGTTTCTCTAATATAACCCGGTAACCTTTTAAGCGGCACTGTTCATACCAAATTGATTTTGTTGTCAGACTTATTGCAATTGATGTTCGATATTTTTTTTCCAGTTTTACTATTTTCTACTGAAGTTAAACAGTTAGTTAGTCTTATCCTTGTATTTATGACGATTAATGCTACGCCTTTCAATGTCTTTACACGATAATGATGACGAATAATGATGATGATTGGTTTTTTTATATAGCGCTTTTCTAGCATAAATGCTACTCAAAGCGCTTTACAATCATTATTACCCCAGCAGACCATAACAATTCAGAATCTTTCTCAGTGCAAGCTGCCGTTAATAAGCTAGAACCCTAACATTCTGACAATATCTTTCACTGTCTATAGCCAGTCCCCTTTTACACTTGGGTGGAGTGAGGAAATTCATGTAAAGTGCCTTTCCCAAGGACACAATGTCGACTTGCCGCGGCCAGGATTCGAACTCGCAACCTTTCGGTTTGGAGTCCGGCACCTTTACAATTAGACTACCGATGCCACGATATAATCTTATAATCTTAAGTTTTAAAAAAAACAAGATCTAGTACAATGTTACATTAGGTCGCATTCTGGGCATAAGATATTAATCAAAACAGAGGTTATCAGTGAAATCATTACTCGCTCCCGTGTAGCACATGTGTGTTTTGTTGAATTAAATAAGGTTATCATTAAAATGCTATATTTTTTTTTTCTCTTTTTTTTTTCTAAACTTCCATTGATTATATATATTAAATTTGACTGCTGAAAAGTCAGTAAAAATATATACTGTAAAACGATAATATTTGGCGCACTACTAATTTTGGCGCCTTTGGCGCAAGAGCCCCTGAGCGCTAAAACGGAACGCGCGATTACGTTATGTTGAAGGTCATTGGATTTTATATAAACACTAGCACTGCACATGTTCGGAAGACAGAAAGTTCTGCCAAATTATAATTTAATTAAACTATTGTTACCCCGGTAGTTGTTACCCGATTATTATCATTAGCACCTTCAAAGTTTGGCTTCTTAGCGTGTCAATCATCTATCGCCTCGAGGTAAACAATGCAATCAAGCATGGCGACTGAGCTTGCAGACAATACCTTATTAGGATTACCGTTTTATCTAAGTAATTTTTACGAGTTGATGGACATCAACTCAGTAATGCTACTGCTTACAATGTTGACCTAATTTTGACCAAAGAACACACCTCGTTTATTCAGTTCCTTCTACGATGAATTGTATCACATCTTGAGAAACTCTACATAAATAAAAGCGAACATATATATTGAAGACATGTCAATGTTTCTTTTTTTGAAAGGAAATTTATTTTAAGTATAAACAATAACATTTTCATTGACATCAGACATGCCTTATTGTGTCGTTCCGACAAAAAAATAGTGCATTTTAAACCGCCGAAGAATGAAAGTGTATTTCGTCACTTCTCATATTCCTATATGTGCATATATGTCTTGTCGATTTTTAAAATTTTCAAACTAATTGCATAAAACATTGGTTAATTTTTCTGTTCGTTGGGATTTATACAAATGACACATAGGCCTAACATAGAGATCGAACTCCTTTTTCATATTCATACGCACCATGCTACTTTGCTTTGTAAAAAACACGCAAAATCGGCAGCACAACAGTGACTTCAAAAGAAATTGACGGGACTGTGGAGGCTTACTAGGAAATTTTTAGAAGGTACGTAAATGTAATTACATGTACATTTAAGTATAGTTGCACGTGTTGCTCTGAAATATAAACTTAGCCAGTAGTTTATCGATAGGACTTCGTATGGTACTGACCGAGTAAACATTAGCGCCACCTTGTTTTTGCGGCTTTAGGGGCCTGATTCTATATAAATTTTTCTTTGTGTTTTTTCCGCAAAAGTAGCTTCCATTGTAGTAATGAGGCAACTGCCTCACTAGAAATATTATTTTCAAGTCTTTGAAAACACACAAAACAGCAGTCGTGCGACAGGACATGCCATTGAAATTTCGACTAGATTTCCACTTTCTTGAGAGAATCGGTAATGTTTTAGTGAAAATCGAATGAATATTTTTCTGCATGCAATGATACGAAACGAAATTATCCAAGATAATATTTCTATTTGTTGTATCACACGAAAAATACGATGAGAACGAAGCATCTGTTGGAACGACGCCATTTTTATTTTAGCCAGGAGCGGATCAAAATCCACCGCATGCACCTGTTCATAATAAATCTGGAATAAGTTATTTTAATTGATTTATGTTTACTCATATCGCTTCAGAAAAATATAGACCACTTTTTTAGTGTAACATAACAGGGTGAAAGTGTCTTATTTATTTATTTTCATTATAAAATAAAAAAAAAATATTCATAAATGGGAATATGTGGAAAAAAAAATACACATGTTCTGGATGACATGCGAGTACAAAGGCATCCTGTGTCATACAACTATGGAATTAACAATTTGAGATGTAAAAAAAAAAGAGATCAGATTGAGATTTTGATGATCTTAAAGATGCATTATGTTGATGATGTCAAGGGCTCAAAAAAGAAAAAGACAAAATTTTCTGGAAAATATCAGGTTCAAAGAAAAATTGTCAAAGCAAGTCTCAGCTATTACTTGCATTGCAGCAGATATGCATAAAGCATCAAACAATTTCTCAGAAGATAGTAGAGGTAGACAGTGTACGTGTTGCTAATGCACTTGTAAGCATTTTGTATAAAGAAGTGGTTTGAATTCCTACAGAGGATTGGAATTCAAGTGATCTTAATTTATTGCTTTGGAAAGATAATGATTTACATTTAAGATGTCATAATAAATAAAATACCCTTCAAATCTTATTTTATATGTTGTTTTAATTTAGAACTTAAAATTTGTTATTTTTCTAGAAGTACATGTATAAACCATAAGGGCCACAGCATAATGGTTCCTGGAAGGATTTGTTTACGAAACCTTTTTCATTGTTTCTGGAGGTTTGTTGGTTAATTTCTCATTCCGGAGAAATTTAACTCCATCACTACCATGTTGGGGGTTCCCTAATGCCAGATGACATCTCCAGGAAAGCAAAGAGGTACTTTTAAAATGTCATAATAAATAAAATACCCTTCAGATCTTCAATTTTACTTGTTATTTATATGTCGTTTTAATGATAATGTAAAATATTTTATTTTTCTAGAGGTATACACCACAAATGGCAGAGCATAAAGGATGGCTGGGAGATTTGATAAACTTACTGTTGTAGGAGAACAATTTGAAGCATTGATATATATTAGAAAATTGTGCTGTCAGTCTTTTGTATGTTGGAGGACAAGCTTCCCCTTGAAAACTGGAACAAATGTGAAATGAAGAATGTGTATCTTTATATTGAGAACTTTTCCTTGTAAAATCACCTCTGGGAAAAAGTTTATTTCATATCAATTTATTGTGTTCATTATCTGGTCTAATTTTATATTTGTAATTGTTTTAAAATTGCATGGCGAAACACATTTTTGCTCACCGGAGTCAAAAGCTTAAATGAGTTTTTTGATCCGATTTCTTTGTTGTCTGTTGTGTTGTAAACTTGTTACAACTTAATTTTTGTTCAAATGATGCCCCTTCCCCTCTGGGAGCTTGAGACCATTTATAAAGTTAAACTTCTCAAAATGGAACTGATATCTTCTTTTTTTCAAGCCGAGATTCTCAGGTGATGTACAAAGTATGTACTTTGTAGTGACATCAATTAGAAGCAATATCATTTTTAAACCGCAGTTTGATAGCAGAAATTTTATTTTCAAGAAAATGTTGGAGGCATATGTTTATATATATCATTAATTTCATGTTTGAATTTCAAAACCGATTTCAGCTACTACAATTTACATTGGGAAAAAATGCAGTTGTCCAACTTGTGTCTATTGTGTGTCATGAAGGTAAAATCTTACAGCTTATTGTGATATGCAACAAATATTTTACCGTGACCATGTGTTTTTGCAACAGTTGTAAAGTGTATATGCTCAAGAACATAATTATTAGTTTTCTCCTGTAGCCCAAATATAACTGTGTTAGTACTTTGATTACTGAAGCATTTATTTGTAAATCAGGGTCCTGTGTAAAACTTCTGATATTAAGATTACACACATTTTGCATTCTTAATGCTCGTTACACTTGTGAGAAAATTATGAACAAAATTGTGACGGCGACTTTCTCTTTTCTAAAAAAAGTCATTTTCTTGTATTTTACTGTATATTGTGCTTTTACACATTCAAACTGGAAGACTGCAATGTTAAAAAAAATCTTATATGATAAGTATAACAATAGTAATTGTCAAATTGATAATGAAAAGTATTTTAGGTCACCTGAGCCGAAGGCTCAAGTGAGCTTTTCTGATCACATTTTGTCCGTCGTCCGACCGTTTGTAAACTTTTCACATTTTCGACTTCTTCTCAAGAACCAATGGACCAATTTTAACCAAACTTGGCAAAAAGCATCCTTGGGTGATGGGAAGTTTAAATTGTTAACATGAAGGGCCAAGTCCCCTTACAAGGGGAGATAATCAAGAAAAGACAAAAATAGGTGGGGTCACTAAAAATCTTCTTATCAAGAACCTCTGGGCCAGGAAAGCTGAAACTTATGTGGAAGCATCCTTGGGTAGTGTAGATATTTTATTGTTAAAATCATGACCCCCGGGGGTAGGGCGGGGCCACAATAGGGAATCCAAGTTTTACATAGAAATATATAGAACAAAGCTTTAAAAATCTTCTGAAGAAGAACCACAGGGCCAGGAAAGCTGAAACTTATGTGGAAGCATTCTTGGATAGTGTAGATATTAAATTGTTAAAATCATGACCACCGGGGGTAGGGCGGGGCCACAATAGGTAATCCAAGTTTTACATAGAAATATATAGAACAAAGCTTTAAAAATCTTCTCAAGAACCACAGGGCTAGGAAAGCTGAAACTTATGTGGAAGCATTCTTGGATAGTGTAGATATTAAATTGTTAAAATCATTACCCCCGGTGGTAGGGCGGGGCCACAATAGGTAATCCAAGTTTTACATAGAAATATATAGAACAAAATTAAAAATCTTCTTCTCAAGAACCACTGAGCCTGAAAAGCTGAAACTTATGTGGAAGCATCCTTGGGTTGTGTAGATTCTGAAGTTTTAAAATCATAAAAGGGAAGGGGGTAGTGGGCATCATAGGTAAAGAAAGAGAGGGAATCTGGTAAAGAACTGCATCCCCCAAGTTACTCTGGTGAGCGATGTGGCCCATGGGCGTCTTGTTTTAAAGAGATATTACTTTTGCTGTATCCACATTAAGGGCTTCAGATACTGTTGTACCATGATACACTGTAGGTATAAAAGAGCGTTTCATTTCATTTGTTAAAATAGGGCACTAATACACAAAAAATGTTTAATTATAATGTAAAAAGAATTGCTTTCCTTATTATTTCACATGACATTATTTGTTTATGGGATTTAATAATACAGTGCATCATCTCATGAAATTGACATCAGAAATCAAATGGAAGTCTAAATTTCTGCAATTTTTAAAAGGCAATTTCATTTCCTTATCAGTAAAGCAGTGTTCAATTTATAAGCTTGAACAACCATCAACTCGTATCAGTACTTTCAGTACTTTGATTTGTTGATGCATGCATTGTTTTAATATGATTTAAATGAGTAAATACTCCATTTCTTTTAATTGAAAATAGAAATAAAACAAGATGTGTTTGTGAAGCACTATGCGCCCGGCGGCAACAAATTTAAAAACAGATCACAGTGAAGGTCACAAGGTCATTGATCTTGGTGTCATTTGAAAGATCTTGATTAGTGATGTATGCATATCAAATATGAAGTTGTTACACCGAAACTTTCTGTTTTTAAATAAAAACGCCCAAAGTTTCCAACAAAGTTTATTTTGTATTCCCGTGTAACACTTTACACACAGGACCCGACTGAGTAACTAATTGAACACACAAATTCTACGCTAAATATTAAGAACTGCCCAACCTTCAGACTGCCAATCACTGCTAAATTAACCCGTTAATTGTGAACACTATGAATTCTGCATTTTCTCATGGCCAGCACTTCGGACATTCAATCCCCCTGAGACTCGGGTGATAAAAGTCAGCAATGCTGATACAAGAGCTAAATTTCCCAGCCAAATCTTAATGAGCGGTCAAGACCTTTTCACATAAACAGATCACTGCAGTCTTTAGCTTAGAGCAATTACTACAAATCAACAAGATTAAGATAATATAAATCAAGCATTAATTATACAAACAATTTCACACAAAATTTCACTTTAACAGAAGTCTCTATCTTTCATGGTTCAAAAGTTATGGTGAAGGTTCAAAAAAAGATATTTTTAGCATATAAGACACAGTCAAGGTCATAAGGTCATTGACCTTGGTGTCTTGTGAAAGGGCTTTATTAGTGGAGTATGCATGCCAAATATTAAGTCTCTATCTTTCTTCGTTCAAAAGTTATGGCGAAGGTTAAAGTTTGCTGTCAAAAAAGCTATATTTAGCATATAGGCCACAGTCAAGGTCACAAGGTCATTGACCATGATATCATTTGGAAAAGCTTTAATAGTAGTATAGGCATACCAAATATGAAGTCGCTATATATCATGGATCAAAGGTTATGGCGAAGGTTAAAGTTTGCAAAAAGAACCTCTATTTTTAGCATATAGGTTACAGTGAAGGTCACAAGGTCATTGACCTTGGTGTCATTTGGAAGAGCTTGATTAGTGGAGTGGGCATACCAAATATAGTTCAAAAGTTATGGCGAAGGTTAAAGATTGCAGACAAACAGACAGACAGGCAGACAGACAGACAGGACAAAAACAATATACGCCTCGGATCTTTCGATCCGGGCGCATAATAAATTTTAACATTGTTCGACGTCCATGTGATAGCAACACGTACTGCGGTAAAGTTAACGAATGTTTACTGATATACGGGAGTACTAATGTGTTTCCGTGCTTCACTAACCAAAAGTCAATAACGGGTGTGGATTAAAAAAAATATCACATTTCTATATTTCAAGCGCTAAAATTTATTTGCGCCAATGCATTCCCACTTGCGTTTGCGCTAAAATACGTATGCGCCAAATTTTTCTCGTTTTACAGTATATTTAATAAGGCAACATATTTTTTGTTATTTAAGATGTATACTTTTCAAAAAAGTAGTTTATAATCATTATGATTTATTGGCAGGATGGGAAGGTGTTTTATGCAGTTAATGGGTCACAAACACCAGACATATATAATTACGATAATTGAGAAAACCAATGTCAATGAAATATGTGGAGATAACGAACAGTATTCGAGCTTCATAAAAGTTCATTAAACATTACGAAATAAGAACGGAGCAAAACATTACAGGTGGGATCAGGTGCCATAATAGAGTGAGCATCCCCTGTCGACCGGTCACACCCGTTTTATATATACTTTCTATTCAGAGAATATTTATAATTCATCGTCTTTACCTTTTTTATTGAGAAAATTTTATTATTGATCTGCTTCTTTGCTTTTCATATCAGTTTTTAATTTTTAAACTTAATTAATTGAACTTACGGGTACTATTATGCAAGGCTAGCCAGATAGCCCACGAGAATGTTCACCACATATCCTAGGATTTTGAAACTTCCAAGACGAACTTTCGGTTGTCGACGACTTGGTTATGAAACAGGGATGGGGTAATTGAATAAAGTAATTGTAATTGAGTGCAATTAATTACATTTTTCAAAGTAATTGGAAGTAATTTGTATTTGAGTGAGCCTTCAATTACAAGTAATTGAATGTATTTAAATACATTTCAAAAAAGGTCATGTATTTTCAATTACTTTTCAATTACTTTTATCAAAATGAAAGTTTATAAAAGAAAAAAGTGTCTTATACTGATACACAGTTTTTATACTGGTGGGTTTATACTAGTAACTACCTATTCCCACTTTTTTAAAATCTCAATTCTTATTCCCACTTGCAAATATTAATGATTTTTTTAGATAGTTAATTTGTTTTTACAGTAATTAGACCAACTACATTCAATTTTAGATTTACCTGTATTCTATTCATTCTATGATAGAAAATAATGGATGGAAATATGATAGATATTTATTTCCTTCAAAAATATGGATTTGAGAAAGTAACAAAAAAGATCTTGCCATACACCATACTGGTGTAGCATGGGCTTCTGTTTGTACAATAATTAAATGTCTCATTAATGTTTAATTTGTTGATACAGCGTGTCACACTGCCCAAGGCATTAGGTAAAGGTCTAATTTTGTATAGGTGTGAACCCCTCTCATACCCAAGAACAAAAACACTGAATAAAAGTTCACTATAGAAAAAATATATTTAAGAAAAATCTATATTTTTTTATATAAAAATAAAACTCAAATAATTAAAAAGTAATTAATTACATTTATCAAAGTATTTGAAAGTAATTAATTACATTTGAAAAAATCAATGTAATTGTAATTGCAAGTAATTGACAAAATTATTAATGTATTTGAAAGTAATTAATTACATTTCAAAGTAATTGACCCCAAGCCTTGTTATGAAGGGTAATCGCATTTTCGTTCCGAAGGGACAAAGGTCGACTATGCTCGAACGCTTACATATAGACCATATGGGCGTCACTAAATGTTTGAAAAGGGCTGGCGATTTGTTATTTTGGCCCAAAGTATCTTCGAATATTGAGGACATGGTCCTTAAATGTACAACTTGTTTGGAAAACGCTATGCGAATCCCAAGGAGCCACTTATTTCACACGATTTACCGTAACGCCCATGACAAATT